TCCTGGCAGAGCATCCTATTTGCAGGCATGCTTTGCCCAGGCAGGGAGCCCACGCTTTCTTGTGGTCACTGTCGGGCTCCCACATACTGAGGCTTCCAAGTGCTAAGTCAGCCTGCACAGTGACAATCTCAAACTAGCTGCAGCTCAGGGACACCTTAAACCAGCTATGGTGAATACAGACGTTTTTAGCTCTCCTTGATTTGTTTTACCTCCAGATGGTGGTTCTTATCTGTGCAGTGTGGACCTCTCCCTATTTCACATTCCAAGCCCTGTAAGCACAGGATTAGAAAAGGGAAGCCCACAGGAGAAAAGGAAAGAAACGGATCACAAAAAAGTGTATGTTTGGCCCAATGTCCAATGCCAGGCAAGCCTTGGCTGGCTGCTCTACGACTCAATGATCATCTGGACCAAGCTGTCATATTGGGAAAGAAAGGGCAGGACGGAGATGACTGAGCTTCTTACCAGCCAGGAAGCAGTTTTGCCTGGCTTGCTGATCTGCACAAAAGAAGAGAGGAAACACAAGAAGGTCCACTGGGTAGGATGTGGATGGGAAATGGGGTTTAGTTATTGCCTGTAGAGTATGGTATCCTCACTGGTGGTAAATGTGGTTCAACACCCATGGCTCCTTGGCCATTCGGTCGGAATAGCCATTCCTCCTTCTTTGGGGAATCCATATTAAGTGGGGCCATATGAAGGAGGGGCTAGATATGTCCTCTTGTTCATTGTTGTTGAAAGTATTCTCCAACAATGGGAAGTGGGTTCAGTCTGGCAGCATAAAGAATACCTTTCACTGCACTATCATATCCCTTTATACTCTACCAGCTCTCTATATCCTGTTAGGACTAAGCCATAAAGCCTGTTAGCGTCTCTCTCAGAAGAGTAACCCCTTAGCAAAGAACATTTATACGATGGGAGCAGAGAGGACAAACTTAGGGGAATTTTGACCAGCAGGAAAGATTAAATAGAATTCTCACAGGGAAAAGGATGGAAAAAGATTAGGAAGGTAGCTGCTAAGGGAGTGTGGTTGGCCTGGGTTCTTCCGGGACCCGGCACCCCTTCTTCCCTCCCTGGGACTTGAGTTTGAAGAAATGAGACAGTGAAAAGGATAATTTTGACTCTGAGTCGTCACTGCCATGCAAGTGACCTTGAATTATCAAAGGGTAACTGCAGCAGCATGGCAGTGGTCTTGTGTGTTTATGGAATGAGCAGGCATTAGTCTCACTCCTGTCTCTTTTGGCTCCTGGCTGGTACAGAAGAGATAGATACATATATATTTCTGGTTTGTTTTAAAATTCTATTTGAATAATTTTTGCATTTGCCTGTATATGTTTATAGGTCTGGACTTAACCAGAAGTTGCCAAAACAGTTCATAGAGTGAAAAAGAACACACAGCAGATTCCAGGAATATCTAAGCCCATGCACTTTATCAGTAGCTGGACGGAAAGCAAAGGCCAGCGTGTCTTTAAGGTCTGTTTACCTTTGCCTCTACCAAACCTTTCCTCTCTGTTAAGGTGGCATTTAGGCTAGAAGGAAGAGGGCAAAATCCTGAAAGGTGGCATTTACCCAAACAGATGGAGTTGTCTTTAACTGGCAAGTTCAAGAGTCCTTTTTTGCCTCCCCTCCCACAAGAATGAGGACTTGAGAGTAAGGTAAGAACACTAGAGAATAATTTACATTTCTGTAGCAGCACTCTGGCCATGTATGAAGTTACACACTTCACTCTGCTTCCAAGCTTCTTTGTCCTTATATCCGCATTGGCTCTCATTCATGTTCAAAGTATATTTATTGAGCACTCACTGAAGACTAGTTGGTGTTTGGTCATCCCTGTTGGCTATGTTCTGGGCCAGGCCAGGGCCCAGTTGTTTGTCTGGGACCTGGAGGACTGTTTCCCCAGCAATGGCCTGGAAATCTACTTCTGCTCCTGTCACAAGCCTTTGGCTGAAAGCACTTCAACGTACGTAACAACTTGGGCGCTTGGGTGGCTCAGTTGGTTGAGCATGATTTCAGCTCAGGTCATGATCTTACTGTTCATTAGTTTGAACCCAAGTGGGGCTCTGTGCTGACAGCTCTGAGCCTGTAGCCTGCTTCAGATCCTGTGTCTCCCTGTCTCTTTGACCACCCCCTGCTCACACTGTCTCTCTCTCTCAAAAAATAAAAAAATAGGGGCGCCTGGGTGGCTTAGTCGGTTAAGCGTCCGACTTTCGTTTAGGTCATGATCTCGCGGTTCGCTGAGTTCGAGCCCCGCGTCGGGCTCTGTGCTGACTGCCAGCTCGGAGCCTGGAGCCTGTTTCAGAGTCTGTGACTCCCTCTCTCTCTGACCCTCCCCTGCTCACGCTGTCTCTCTCTCTCTCCTAGAAATAAATAAAAATATTAAAAAAAAAATAAACTAGCTTATGGGTTCAATCCCTGCATCAGGCTGTGCGCTCTGGAGTCGGCTTCGATTCTGTGTCTCCCTCTCTCTGCCTCTCCTTTGCTCGTGTTCTGTCTGTCTCTCTCTCAAAAATAAACAAACATTTTAAAAAAAGTTACAATTTGGTTGATTTTGCACTTACACTTCTGGAAGTAGGAATAATGAATACAGCTTTTTTTTTTCTTCTAAAAGAAGAACGGAATTATTGGATTAAGCAAGAGATTACAACACTAGGTAGAAACAAATGTCCAGCCATTGCGATCTGGACCTTAAACAAGGGGAGCTTGGTAAAGGGGCCAGTGCTTTCCTGCGGGTTCCAGCTTGAGCACTTTTGCCTGTACTCAGTCGCTGTAATTCCATCCATCTTGGGTAGGGAGTAGAGACGGGGAGGCCAATATTTGCTGAGCTGTCACACAGGCTTACTCTTTAACTTAGGATTCCATTGGCCTTGCCCCGGGCTCACTTGTACAGCGTGATCCTCCAGGCCTTCTTCGTGATCAATAAGCAAAGTTTGCCATTGGCCTGGAACCGAGGAGAGCGTCTGGCAGAGGACCCTTTGGGGCGAGCGGAGGGTGGCCGAGGCGCCTGCCAGGAACCGAGAAGTGAGCTCCGCCTCTAGGCGGCGCGTTCCCATTGGTTGGAGGCGGTGACTGGGCGGGGCGAGGGCCCGCAGGAAGCGCTGGAGGAAAGACTTCTTTAACGCCCAGCCTTGACTTTGTGTCCAGAGCTCTCTGGGCTGGCCTTCCGGGCTTTCAGTGAGCACTAGAATTCAGGGGTCAAACGTCATAAGGCAAATGTAGACAAATGACTAAGACAGCTGCTGATTTAGGCTTGAGTTCAATGGGTACCAAACTTTGAGTGCTCTAGAATGCTTTTTGGGATTTTGGGGAATGTTTCCCAAATGCCGTTTGCCCCAAATCGAAGCTGTGTTCCCTTCAAAAGCTGCTCTCCCCCCCCCACTATTCCTTATTTTGATGAATGGCGCACCATAACCTAGATTCTCAAGCCAGAAATATCGGGGTTCAATCGTTCCTCACACTCATATTTAACTAATCACAAAGAGTTGACCCCATTTCCAAACATGTCTCTGGCTTTTCCCTTTCCAACATTTCCTCTGCCTCACTTTGAATCTCCAAAATTTTTCCCAGTAGGTGACTGCCCCCCTTCTTCACTTCCAATCCTCAATAATGAGGCAGAGTGGGCTTTTCCATGATGTTAATATGTAGTCTGGAGTGATCCTGCTTAAAACCATTTGCAGTAAATTAAACTATCTAAACACGATCTGACCGACTGGTTATTTCTGCAGCTTTACACCCCTTCTCCGCATCTAGCTCGTGTTTCCATTCTCCGTCAAGTTCTTTGTTTGCAGAGCTCAATCTTTAAGGGCCTTTTTGCTTCATCTCTTTTGGAAATTTCCCCTTTTCCCCAGCAGGTATAGGGGCCTTTTATTTTGACACTGTTAGCAGACCTGTATGGATTTGTCACGTTTTACTATTCTGTACTGTTATGAAAGGCTCCTTTCATAACTTTGAAAACCTCTGGAAGTCCTTACCGTTCATCTGTAAACTTGTGTCTGTCGCTGGAAGATACTGAATGCTTGCTAAATGAATGAATCACACTATATGATCTTTCACTTAAAAATTTTTTAATGTTTACTTACTTTTGAGACAGACAGACAGACAGACACACACACACACACACACACACACACAGATTGAGGGGGGGAGGCTGTCAGAAGGAGAAGGGGAGAGAGAGGGAGACACAGAATCCGAAGCAGGCTCCAGACTCTGAGGTGTCAGCACAGAGCCCGATACGGGGCACCAACTCAGGAGCAGTGGGATCATGACCTGGGGCCACAGTTGGCAGCCCAACCCACTATGCCCTCTTTTTTTTTTTTTTTTTAATGTTTTATTTATTTCTGAGAGCGTGCCGGCGGGGGAGGAGCAGAAAGAGAGGAAGACAGGATCAGAAGCTGGCTCTGCCCTGACAGCAGCGAGCCTGATGTGGGGCTAGTACTCACAAACCTTGAGATCTTGACTTGAGTCAAAGTCCGATACTTAACCATCTGAGCAACCCAGGCGCCACCATATGACCTTTCTTAATACACAAAAGCAAAGATCATTTAGGAACACTTGTTAAAAGGTTTTTGGTTTTGCTTTTTTTTTTTTTTTGTCTCCCGAGTTTCTTCTTTGGGAGGTCACTGTGAGGGTACAGGACTCTCCGTTTTTGACAGTTCTCGGATGATTTTCATGCATGAAGTTCAAAGATTACATTCTAAGAAATCTTTACCCATTGGTAAAGGGTGACTTTCTTAGGGGCTATGTCTGAAAGCTATTTGAGGCTAGGGCCTTTGTCCAGAAAACAGTTTTGAGTGAATGACAAAACGACGAGAGCATGGATGTAAGTCTGGTGTCGTGTGACATTTTGCTACACAGGTCCGAGGAGATCCCGTTACCTCTAGCAGCAAAAGTGGCCTTTTCAAGCCAAACCGCTGGAGCAGGCTCTCGCAGTCACGTGAGGCATGCCGGACTACATTTCCCAGAGTGCCAAGGGATTCCCGCGCAGGCGCACTTGGAAAACTGCGGCGTCCCTCTCCTTCCCTGAAACCCGCAGGTCTCTCCCCTCCCGCCCTCGCCACTCCCCCTCCCCTCCGAGCCTCGCAGTCTGAGCTGCAGCATTTCGGCTTGTTTTGGTGTGTGTGCGTGTGTCGCTGCAGGCCGGACTCATGGCCTCGCCGCTGCGATTCGACGGGCGGGTGGTACTGGTCACCGGCGCGGGGGGAGGTGAGCACGCGAAGGCCGGAGGGCGGGCTCCCATCTAGTTCTCGCGTCCTGAGCCCCCCTTTTCGCCTCAGGATACCCGCGCAGCCGCAACTGCATTCCCGACGTCGGGGCGTCGGGCAGTGGTGGGGCGGCGGAGTACAGGCGGCTTGGAGAATCCCTGGACCTGGTGGTCCCGGAGGGAGGACGGGTAACGGCTGTTCTCGGGGCGCCGACACTGCCGAGAGGGCCAGCACTGAGTGGGGAGCAGAAACACGTAGTCACACTGCCGCGTGTGGCCCGCTTCCCCGCCCCATCTTCTTGGGGGCCTCTTCCCAAGGCCCCGGGTCTTGCAAGACGGAGGCCGGGCTGGGCTACGGCTTGCAGAACCGGGGTAAAACATTCCTAATGACCCTCGATCGCGACCTATCCTGCCAGGAGACTCTTAGGCATGTTGTCAAGTGTTTTAAAGGTTGCCGAAAAGCCGGTCGCGGCAGGAACCCCTCCACACTCCCCAGGATTAGAGACGGCAGCCCCTTGCCTTTGACAAGTCATCAGTGTTTCTTTTCCCAGTCGGTCGTTTTAGGGTTCTTGAGAAGTTCTTCTTTGGAGAAAGTCTCCTCGTTGAAGTTTAAGTTTGCATGCTTATCAAGCCTCACATGTCTACGGGAGTGAGGCAGGTGTTAGTGTAGGAGTGCAGGGGGGACCAGCTGGTGAGCAGAGACATTTCTGAAGTAGAACAGATCTTCCTGTATTTCAGGAGAAACAAAATGGAGATTGGTTATGTGAAATAACCCTATTCTTGCAGAAGAAACGAAAACCACTCATACCCATACGGATACTTGGCAGTGTGATTTTACACTGTTTCCCACTAGTGATCAACCTCTATAACCACCACGTGTAGGGATCTTGGCCTTCAGTGCCTTTGATTCCCCACTGGTGGTACCTTACATCTAGAATAGACCTAATGTGGAATTAATTTAAATTGTGTATTGTAACAGCAGTGGAATTCTTCCAGTTAGTTCATTTGTATCTTTCTTTACATTCCATCGATAGAATGGATTCTGATGCTGCGTTTTGGAAAGTGCTTTTAAGATTAATTGGTGGCCAAGTTTCTATTACTAGCTGTATTCATTCAAAAATGGTCATATGACCTTGGGAAAACATTTGGTTTACACTTTGCTTTTGATGGAAATAATTAAGTGATGCACTCATTGTTTTAATGAGCCTCTTTTGACAGTGACTGGTTCACAGCATGAAATACATTTTGCACCAAGATTCAGTGCACATATACATCATTTATATTTGAAACAAGTTCCTGACATGGCACATAGTAAATGAAGTGCATTCTAAGAGTTTCTATTCTATTTCATTAAGTAAATAGAGATTATGAAACCTACTAAATTGATTTTGTGAATCATTAATGAGTTGTGACTAGACAATTATGGACTTAGTACCTCCTGTTTATAAACTGGTTTGTTTTTAAAGAGACTTGCAGGATTTCCCTTGCCTGGATTATGATAGAATCCTTAGCTATTGCCGATAGGAGAGAGGAATACAGTTTTGTAGTCAAGTTACAGATCACCATTGAGGAAGGGAGACAGAGCAGCTGTTCTCGAACAGCAACTGTCATCATTCTGGAAGGGAGATAGAGATCAAATTCCAGTCCTGTCACTGAGACTATTGTCCTTGGGTCTTGGGGTTTTCTCGTTTAGAAATCAAACCTTTAGAATTGAGGCATTGCTGAACATCCCTGGAAGAGATGTCCATGGATGGCTCCTGGGCCTGTGTATGAGAATTTGTCTGACTTCATCCCACTATTCTGTAGATAAAGAGGAATATATGTTCCCTATTCACGTGTTGTTGTTTAGCTTGAAATATAGATTAATGTATTTCAGGAGCAACAAAATGAAGATTTGTTATGTGAAATAACCTGAAAGAGTGGTGTAGAATTGTCCAGGCTTTATGTAGACAGTTTTGGTGGTACAGCAGAGGAATCACAGGGTATCACGGCTGTTTTATTAGCAGACTGAAGTGGTTATTGGGGCTGTAACTGTTGAGAGTGGAAGATTTGCACTGAGGAAGAAGGGAGTCTGGCCATTTTGAATTCAAGATGGTTGTGAGATTAGCAGATGTTGGATTTGGAGATAGTGAGAAGGGTGTGAGCAGGTGGAGATCTTGAAGTCGGGGAGAGAGATTTTGAAGTCATTTGAATTCCTTAGATTGGTAAAGCTAGAAAGTGAAATAGTCTAGGAAGCTATACTCAGCGCCTCTCTTAGAGTGAAGAGGAGTGGAAGCCATCAAAGAGAACACTGCACAAGCAGTTTGAGTTGAGAATCAACTGAGATTTGACAATGCTAAAGAAATTAAGGTCAAAAAAAAAAAAAAGAAAGAAAGAGATGGAGGGGAGAGGGTGGTTGGCAATGTATTTAGGTTTGAGGGAGATATAAGATAAGATTTAGGAGATTAGGACAAAGTGGAGGCTCTTGGATTTAACTTTTTGTGCATTTGGCCCTTAACGCCAAGTTGTGGGGAACGCAGAAGAGTGACATATTCAATCTGAGCCATCAAGAACTTTCTAGTTTAAGTGAGGGAGGCAGACTAATGGATATGAAGTAGTTAAATGATGTTTACTTAAGCACACATGTTAAAATGTAGAAGGACCCTTACCAGTCTGCTCATGGGCTAGTGGTGTTGAAGGAAAAAGAAAGGAGCTGTCATTTTTTACTTTCTATGCAGATTTGTGTATAGTTTGTATGGGCCTTTGTGATAAAAGTACATCACTTACAATGTCTTTGAGAGAGCTGTAAAACTTGATTTTAAGTTGAGATAATTTCTGATTAGGTCACTCTGCTAGAGATCTACCCCATTCCTTTGATCTAATGATTTTCTACTCTGTTACCCAGTAATTTTGCCTTCTGGTCACAAGCCCGTGATTTCTTTAAACACTATGTTTAGAACAAGTGGTCCAGCCTTGCTCGGATAAAATATGAGAAGACTTGAGTTATTGTATTGGCTGAGGGCTCTTATTCATTCAGAGCAGATTAACTTCTAAAAAAATTTTTTAAAAAGAGGCACCTGTGTGGTTCCGTTGGTTGAGCGCCCCTTCTTGATTTTGACTCATGTCATGATCCCAGGGTTGTGGGATCGAGCCCTATGTCAGGTTCTGCACTGAGCATGGAGTCTGCTTGGGATTCATTTTCTTCCTCTCTCTCCCTCTGCTCTTCCTGCTCTCTCTCTCTCTCTCTCTCTCTTTCTCTAAAATAAAAATAGTGAATTAACTTCTAAAATGAATTATTTGGTGATATCTTTCAGTTTTGGAAAACTTTATATTTTGGGTTCTTTGTATATTTCTTGATCCATTTAAATGAAATTTAAGCTGCTAATTACATTTACCAATCAATTTACTTAAAAAAACTATACATGTTAAACTAATTTAAACAATACAAAAGCAAGCCTTCCTCTCTTGGTTGCTAGTCACAAACTTCTGTTTCCCCAGAAGTAACCTCTAACTGCGCATTTCTTCTCTATTCTTCCTGAGATGTTCTATGCCTATTAAACTCATTTAAGCATAAGTATATATATATTTATATAAGTGTACATATATTTGGATGACAAGTTTATGCCTCATACCTTGGAGTCAGAATTAAATATTTTTTGTGTTTGGTGATTGTGTAGGGTTTGGTGTAGGATATAGAAATCCTAGATATTTGGAGCAGGAAAGGATTTCACACAGGCAGTGAGTCTTAGGCACTTCCTCTTGGGTTGACGTGCAGAACAATACGGAACTGGTTCTTTAGGGGAACTAGTACCCCTGCAACTGCTTCTGGAACTGCTGCAGCCCAACCAGCACTGGATACCAAGGGTCTATAGAATGGAAGCTGCTATCAGAGCTTAGGGAGCTAGATTGATAAGTTGCCACTATACCCACTGTTTGTTTCTTTGTTTTCTTTCTTTCTTTCTTTCTTTCTTTCTTTCTTTCTTTCTTTCTTTCTTTCTTTCTTCCTTCCTTCCTTCCTTCCTTCCTTCCTTCCTTCCTTCCTTCCTTCCTTCCTTCCTGTCTTTCTTTCTTATTTATTTTGAGAGAGAGAGAGTGAGCAGGGGAGGGGCGGAGAGAGAGGGAGAAGAAGAATCCCAAGCTGACTCCACACTGTCAGCAGAGAGCTTGATGCGGGGTTCCATTCCACACACCATGAGATCATAACCTTAGCTGAAATCATGAGTCAGAGGCTCAACTGACTGGGCCACCCAGATGCCCCACTCACTGTTTCTTAATATTTGGGAAGCTTCCAGAAATCAGCTTCTTAACCAACAACAACAGCCAGAAGTCACAGTAAGGTACCTTCTGCTTCCTTTCCACCTTCCAGATAGGCAAATACATTTAATGTTGGTGCTCACACCCAGCATCCTAGCAGCTAGGTAGGGGGGTAGGAAATGGTAGGCAGAATAGATAGAACGTACAGTTTGAAGCTTTTGGACCTCTACAGGTTGAAGAAGGTGAGGTAGGTGTTGAGAGTACCAACGAAGACCCTACCATTGTAATATAATATGAGCGGTTTGTCAGTAAACTTTAAAATGGTTGATTTGAGTGGACCAAAAAAATTATGCTAATGTTTACTGTTTGCTCGACTTTCTGATTATTTTGTTTTTCATTAGGACTGGGCCGAGCCTATGCCCTGGCGTTTGCAGAAAGAGGTGCATCAGTTGTTGGTAAGTTTTTTTCTTTTTAATGAGTAGATGGCGTTTACGGTAGAGTCTCCACAAGTGAGCCAGCTTTGCCTTTACATCAAATAATTTTCCAAAGTCACATTTCACCCCTTGTTAATTTCTTCTGCCAGCAAAAATTGTCCTCCTTGAGAATGATTTTATAACTTACTTTTTTTTTAAATAGTTTATTGCCAAGTTGGTTTCCATAAACCACCCAGTGCTCATCCCCACAAATGCCCTCCTCCATGCCCATCACCCCCTTTCCCCTCCCCCCACTCCATCTGCCCTCAGTTTGTTCTCGGCATTCAAGAGTCTCTCGTGGTTTGCCTCCTTCCCTCTCCCCCCCATTTCTCCTCTTCTTCCCCACGGTCCTCCGTTAAGTTCCTCCTAATCCTTCTATACGTGCAAACATATGGTAGCTGTCCTTCTCTGCCTGACTTATTTCGCTCAGCATAACACCCTCAAGGTCCATCCACGTTGCTATACATGGCCAGATTTCATTCTTTCTCATTGCCATGTAGTATTCCATCATATAGATAAACCACATCTTCTTGATCCATTTGTCCGTTGATGGACACTTAGGCTCTTTCCATGTTTTGGCTATTGTTGAGAGTGCTGCTATGAACATTGGGGTATATGTGCCCCTATGCATCAGCACCCTTGTGTCCCTTGGGTAAATTCCTAGCAGTGCTATTGCTGGGTCATAGGGGAGTTCTATTTATAACTTACTTTTTAAAGTAGACTAGCTTCACAGATTTTTCCCCTGAGCAGAACTGACGAAGAAGGTCAGGCACTTACTGTATACAAGGAAGTTCTTGAATTTGGTAAATTACCGAGCTGTGATTTATTGAGCTAGAAGGCTGGTTTGAGGTGAATCCCCGTAAATATAAGTGTATTGATGACAATAAGAAATAAGTGTATTTTGAGAACTAGAAGTTTGGAGTCAGAGAATCCGAAATATGTGGTGGTGGTGGTGGTGGTGTTGTTTTAAACCTCTTTCATCAAAACTTTTCACATGAAGCTTTTTATAAAAGTTTCACTTGGAGAGGCAGTTGCATGAGTTTTATTAAGGCTCATCAGTTAGAAGATGCTGTAGTGAAGAATCCTGAAGGCGGGAGGTCTTAGTAATTTAAAGGTTTTGCACTGACGCAACATGGTGTGCACAGAGGAGTGGGTTTGTCTGCAGCCAAACCTTTGTGGGGAATAAATGAACACTCCTTCATTGTGCGCAGTGCAAGGGAGGTGGGTAAGGCAGAAGATACAGCCCAGTATTTATTAGTATCTTTGCTGGGATAAAATTGTTCACCCACGATGACTTTCTAATGCCCGTTTTTCTCCCTCTTACTAAGGAATACAGAGAGACAGATTGTCTCCAATTTGTTTATGGAGACATGTATAACAAAAGGGTAAGCAAGCAGCCTGGGTTTCTACAGAAGACCCAAACAGGACATTTGATTATACTCTCCTCCCTCACTGTGGACGTGTAGCTTTTGTTTTGGTTTTAAAAAAATTTTTTAATGTCTATTCATTTTTGAGAAAGATTGCAAGCAGGGGAGGGACAGAGAGAGAGAGGGAGACACAGGCTCCACGCTCTGAGCTGTCAGCAAAGAGCCCGAGGGGAACCCAAGCCCTTGAACCGTGAGATCAAGATTGAGCTGAAGTTGGACACTTAACGAAGCCAACCAGGTTCCCCTATGTAGCTTATCTTTACAGAAGGGACACAGAGTCTTTGGATGTTCCTTGATTAAGGTCATGTGCAGTGTCAATTAATCCCATCTACTTCTGGTGGTAAGGACACGTTTCGTTATTGTGGGATATTGAGGTATTTAGCCAGAGGGTATGTAGTTCCAGCCCTCTTTGCCAGATTTTCCCAAGATATTTCATGTTGTTACTGTTAATCTTTTTTTTTTTATCCTATTGCTATCCATTTCTTAATATTTTCAACTTTGAGCTTTTCACGCATTGACATTTCTTACTCACTTCTGTAAGTATAAGGCCCTCGTTTTGTCTTCTCTATCTCCTGAAGGACCTAGAATATTTCCTTGTGCAAAGAAGGTACTTTGTTCTTTGGGGCCTTTTTTGTTATTTGACATAGACTCGTTCTGGAGGAAATGGGGAGGTGGGCCAGGTGGGTCTTTGAGACTGGTTGAATACACTCCTGCTTGTTGTCATGATTACGTATCACCTTAGTTTATAAACCTGATCTGTAGAAAAATTTACAGCAATGCGTGTTTGTGGGTCGGGTTTCATAGATTTTTGTGTTACCACTGAACCATGAGATCATGACCTGAGCCGAAGTCGGGCGCTTAACTGCCTGAGCCACCCAGGCGTCCTTCTTTCAGCTTTTGAAAACTCAGATGCCCTGCTACCAGGTTGCATCACACACACTAATGTTCCTCCTTTGTTAATGTTTGTTCTGCTAGTGTATATTTTACATGAGTAAGAAAAAGTGGAGGAATAAACCTAGGACACCATGACAGCAGAGTGTTTTATTTGTGGGACAGTGATTCCTCCGATAATTTTATGACAAGCTCAGAGTCCAGTAAGAAGTGAGAACAAAGGGATAGAAGTGCTTGTTTCTCATATAAGTCAACATATGTCAGGTTATCTGGGTTAACAAACACATCTCAGTGACGTAAAATAATAAAGGATTATTTCATGTTTTTGGGAGTGTTAGCTTCTGGTAGGCTGTGTCTCTGCTCTAAGTGTCTTCCTTTTTTTTTTTTTTTTTTAAATTTTATAGTTTATTTGTTTTTGAGACCGAGAGAGACAGAGAATGAGTGGAGGAGGAGCAGAAAGAGAGGGAGACACAGAATCTGAAACAGGCTCCAGGCTTTGAGCTGTTGGCCCAGAGCTTGATGCGGGGCTTGAACCCACGAACTGTGAGGTCAGGTCCTGAGCTGAAGTCGGACGCTTAACCGACTGAGCCACCCAGGCGCCCCTCTAAGTGTCTTCCTAATTTCAGGATTCCAGTTAAAGGAGCAGATCTGTCTGGGACATTGCTGGTCTTGGGATGGATGAAAAATATACATGGATTGACTTGGTGGCTCTTAAATCCACTTCCACTCAAATTTCATTGACCAAAGGAAATCACTTGGCCAAGCATCACTTAAGATAGTCTCTAACTTTATATTAATATGATTGCTATTTTTTTTTAAATAAAGGTGTTTCTTTTTTAAGTTTATTTATTTCAAGAGAGAGAGCGAAAATGGGAGGGGCAGAGAGAGAGGGAGAGAGAGAGAATCCCAAGCAGGCTCTGCACTGTCAGCACAGAGCCCGAGGTGGGGCTCCATCTCATGAACTATGAGATCATGATCTGAGCTGAAATCAAGAGTCGGATGCTTAACTGACTGAACCAACCACCCAAGCGCCCCCTGATTACTGTGTTTTATATTCCATAATAAAAAGCCTTAGGGGAGGTTTCAATCTGGGTGTAAGGACTGCTCAGCCTTTGGCTACTAGTTATAATGTTGCGGACGAAATGACACAGAGGACAAGACACACACAAAAGACAGACACAGACACAACTCCGGCCGGAGGAACAATTCTACGCAAGCCCCTCTTGCGGTTTATTTTATACCCCGGTAACTGGATACAAACTGAAACCTACAAGATGCATTCCTTTACCAATTAAGGGCAAGTAGCCAAACACATTTCAAGGACAGGGGGGAGCAAAGGGAGGAAGTGACCACAACATGTTTACTAAGAGGCCTGCTCACAATTCCAGCCTCCTCCTTATTTCTAAGGAGGGCATGTTCCCTGGTATGCGAGCAGACCATTAAACTTGGATATTGTGTGCAGGCCTCCTGGCAGAGCATCCTGTTTGCAGGCATGCTTTGCCCAGGCAGGGAGCCCCGTGTGCAGACACATGCCGGCGTCCCTAACCACGCTTTCCTGTGGTCACTGTCGGGCTCCCACATATAACAAAGAATGTTTGGTTTTCTGTAAATTACAGCTTGCAGGAAAGTGAGCTGCCTTTGTAGTTTAGGTCACGTTTCCAATCCTGGCCATGCTGCCTGATCATGTGACCTCTCTCGCTATTGGTAGCCACTTTGTCTCGCTTCCAGGATTATGGTAGGGGTTCGGTGGCATCAATGGTTAGAGGCCTCTGTGATGGGAAAGAAAGGTGCCCGGAGTCAGGGCTGCCTGCCACGTGCTGGCCCTGTGCTCAGGACTTGGATATATGGCACAACTCGAGGGCATCCCCACCTCTGTATCTAAAACATGTCTCTCTTCTAGATTCTTTAGAGCCAAGGGCCGGCCTTACGTACTGATGCCTTCTCTTCACGGGTGAGCATAGTGCTTCACTTAGTAATCACCCAAGACCTAGGTGTTGATGAAGGGGGTGAGTTATGTGACACACGGGGATCACAAGAAAGCACATGTGGTTCCAGCTTATAATAAATGAGCTACGTATGCAATGCTCACGTCTTCCCCAGATGCGACTGTCACTAACCCAGGTTACGGGCGGCAGCCTTTAAAGATAGCTTTAGAAGAGCTTTTAGCCATTTATCAGTTTAAAACCCCAGTTTTGAGATACTAACAAGAATCCATACAAGCCGTAGCATCATCTGGGCTCGTTTGTTCATCCAGCAGTTATTATTGGGTGCTTGTTCGGTAGCAAGCACCTCTCTGGGAGCCGAGGGCGTGGAGTGGGGACTAAAACTGACAGGAGCCCTGCTTTCACAGAGCTGACATTCCAGGGGTGGGCGGTGGAGAGACAGACCGTGAACGCATGTGGAAATATAGCAGGTCTCAGGTAATGACAGGTGCTGTGGAGAGACAACTGCAGTGCATGGGCTGGAGGAGAGCTCTGAGGAGACACCTGCAGGCAGGGGACCAGATCGGGGGGCCCAGGAGCCTGTGGCAGGGGGCACAGCTGGTGCCTCAGTCTCTAGGCGGGAGCGGGCTCAGTGTGTTCAGGGTCAGCAGAGGGCCTGTGCAGCAAAGTCCTCACGGGGGATCGGAACCGAGGGATAAGGGCAGACAGTTCACAGGAGGCCAGGCTGCATGAGACCGTTTAGTTCTGAGTCAGGACTGGATCCCTCCGCTTGCTGTGTGGAGAATGATTGCAGAGGAGCAAGCATGGAAGTGGGGCCCGAGGATGGGCTCGCCAGGGCTTTTATACTCTTCACTCTCCTTGGACGTTCTTGTGATTATCCGTGAAAAAAGAGAGGGGGTGGGTAAGGAGTGGAGACAGAGAGACCTGCCAAGACATTGCAGTGATCTCTGTAAGACATGGTGGTGATTTAAATAAGTCACAGGCGTGTAGGTGGTACAAAGCGGTTAAGTTCCGGGCATATTTTCAAGGTCGATAAGGCAGGATTTGCTGACTTGCCTGCGTGGGTTGCAAGGGAGGGCAGAGGATAGAGACAGGAGGCCCCGAAGGAGGGCCAGATGGGCAGAGACGAGGGGCTCCTGGCAGACCTTCAGACAGAGATAGTAAGTAGGCAGTGGGGTGCATGACTCTCGAGTGGGGGACGAGTGGGAGCTGTGTGCTTCTGGAGCTTCTCAGTTTGTAGATGGTATTTGAAGCCAGGAGACTGGATCACATTACCAGGTAGTGAGTGTGGGTGAGAAAGAGAAGAGGTCCGAGGACTGAACTCTGGATGATCAGTTTCCCACGTTTCGTTTTTTCTCCCAGTAAACATACCTTTGATGCCATCTTGTTGTTGAAACAGGAGAATCAGTTACAGGAGCCTAACTTAAGGTGCCCCTATCTACGCTACCTCCGCATTTTGTTCTCCTTCAAATATCTAGATACATTGATGGCCATCTGGAGAAGATTCCTGATGAAATAGGGAGACTGTAGCTTTCAAACAACCAGTGAAAATAGTATGGCAACTCCGTGTTGCTCTGTTTTCATTTAGCGGAAAAACATGATAAAAGAAACTTGTTCACAGCATTGGAGGGACGGAGTGGCACTGTCAGTGCGTCCATGCTTTAGTCTGGGTTTTGCCCCTTCATGCAGCCTGGGAGCCTGGGGCAGGTTACCTAACTTGTCTCAACTTTCCTTATCTGTGAACATTGGAACTACTGTTCCCACCACCTTCCTTGTAAGGTCCGTGGAGATCAGATGAAGCAGTGAACACAGTGGCTCTCTGCAAATGCAGAGTTCATGTCTGCCAGTGTAAGGTAGCAGTGGTATTTTATAAACTTATGTATTGTTATTCCCTACCCACACATTTGAGTGGAAACAGTGTCACATAGTATGAATACATGTTTCTTTGCATAATACACTTGCAAAAAAATCTTTTCACATTGTTTCTAATCCCAGCCTTTCAGCGTGTAACCAGAAGTGTGCTTTTCCAGTTCAGGGCGTAGCCATGTGGTTTAGGTCTGGTGATGGTGGCGTGACCAGTGGGGTCAGTTTGAATTTAGTGCACGCTCCTATGAAGACATGTCTCGAGTAAATCTGTCCCCATGCTGTTTCACTGCACGTGATTGACCTCAGTTTATCCAGGCTTCAGCGCTTTACCTGTTTGGTTGTACTTTGAACAGTTTCCACTTGAGGGTGGTGTTCTATTGCACAATAGAGTGATTCTTCCTTTACTTAAATATTGTTTGTCAGTTTGCTTTTGAACTTTCCCTTATGTAGTTAAAAAGGCTCTTAAAAGACTGTTAGCTGCAGGTCTTAAAATCTTGATTTTTTTTTTTACTCGTTGTTTCCTATGATTGGAATAGTTGCACGGAAATGGACATTTAATAGGAATTGAGTCTTGACGGTCTTTTCTTCATCTCTTTCCATTACTTTGTGTCTCCATACCGGTTTTTATTTGTGGTAAGACAATAAGATCATATTGTTAGAAAAATATATCCCAGGCCACATTTTGAGAAACCCATTTCCCTAAAAAAGTTACATGAAACTTTTACAGTTACACCTGACTTAGTGGATTTTCAATACATATAGATCTTGGCTTTTTCATCTCTCTTTTGTTTTTTAAAAATATTTATTTATTTTGGAAAGAGCCCAAGCAAAGGAGGGACAAAGAGAGAGGGGGACAAAGGATCCAAAGCAGGCTCTGTGCTAACAGCATGTGAACTGTGACATCATGACCTGAGCCACAGTCAGGTGCTCAACTGGCTGAGCCGCTCAGTTGTCCGACTTCAGCTTGGCATTGATTTTTTCTCTGCCTCATTCTTTGTCTCTTAACCACCCAAACCCACCAGCCTTGACCCTCATCCAAAGGAAAAAATAAAAAGCCATTCAAAACAAAAAGCCTTTTTTTTTGCATATGTTGTCACCGTCAATTTGGTAATGCTAAAAAAACTTTAAATTTTAGTATATGCTACCATGGCGTTTATTAATTAGTAAAGTTTTTAATCCAAAAATGTTCATCTTGCAATATAAATTATTTCTTTGTCCCAAATGTTTATGTTAAAGTGTGTTTTTCAAGTTCTTTGGTCTTTATCTTTTCATTAGGTTTTGTATACTATTATATAAATTTTACTTTAAATTATTACATAAACTAACTTTGCTATTTGTCCCCATTGCTTAGTTCTGTTGCCCTCTATACAGTTGTTGCTAAAATCTATGCAGGGCGCCTGGGTGGCCCAGTCTGTTAAGTGTCAAACTTCAGCCCAGGTCATGATCTCAGGGTTCATGAGTTCGAGCCCCATGTCGGGCTCTGTGCTGACAGCTCAGAGCCTGGAACCTGCTTCAGATTCTTTATCTCCCTCACTCTCTGCCCCAAACCCGCTCTGTCACTGTCTCTGTCTCTCTCTTTCAAAAATACATAAACATTAATAAAATTTAAAAAAAAGATTGCCTAGTCATCATTAAAAAAAAAAAAGAAATAAAATGTGTGCATTACTGCAATCATCCCATACTTAACTTTCAGTAGATGAGAAAGTCTTTGCGGTCAGGCACCAGTTTTATATATCTTTGTTCCTCTCTGTAGATTTCCTTGCTAATAGTAACAGATTAATGTTTATATCTATATGACTGGATATAGGGAGATGCTATGTAGTGAACATGGTCACTTGTTAAACATGGAATAATGGAGTCATGGTATCAATCAGCAACTGAATGCATGAGTTCTGTATATAGTTTCTGGTCTCTCTTAATAAATAATCTCTATTTCCTTTATTGTAGACCTGGATACAATATGTTTTATGAATGCTTTTCTTCTTTTTGCTGAAATTGGGTTGAGTCACGTTCTTTTTTTTTCACAAAAGGAAAACCATTGCAGAGTTGAACACTTCATGACATGAGCCTGTGTTTAAATATGTTTTCTGCTTCATATCTATATCTAAAAACAAAGACATGTTTGAAAGTGCATAGCTCATGGTGTGTTTGTGTGTTTATTTATTAAAGTATATTTATTTATTTTGAGAGAACGTATACATGTGAGCATGGAAGGGGCAGAGGGTGAGGGAAAGAAAATCCCAAGCAGACTCCACGCCGTCAGCTTAGAGCCCTAGTTAGAGCCCAAACTCGTGAACTATGAGTTTACAGCCTGAACTGAAATCAGGAGTTGGATGCTTAACTGACTGAGCCACCCAGGTGCCCATCATGGCATGTTTAATGAGATGGGAATACTGAAGGAGGGAATTGAGGAGGTGACTGAAGAAATACATTTCATTGTAGGATTTTATTTCCAATTCATATTTGGATCGTCTAGAAATGAATTCTGTGTGTTTTTGCCTTGCAGTGAATGACTTAGGAGGGGACTTCAGAGGACTTGGTAAAGGGTCCTCTGCTGCTGATAAGGTTGTTGAAGAAATAAGAAGTAAAGGTGGGAAAGCCGTGGCCAACTATGGTATGATATTTGCAAGAACTGTATTCTTTCTTTTATTCTCCTTCAACTAATGCTTTTGCTCCCATTAATAATCATTGAGCAAATATCTCAGCATTCCAGTGTGATTAGGAGACTAGTTTTTTTCCCTGAGCCAGCCAAATCTGTTTGGGTATCTAACTTAATATAACATATGAGGTTTTCAAAAACCTTTGATATAGATTGTTTCATGAGTCTAACTTTTAGCATATTGCTTATGTAGTATTTTTATTAATAAGCACATGATAAAATCAGTAAGTTATTAATGATGTGGATATGAATATGCTCTTATTCTCGGAAGACCTATTTTAGCTAAAAGGTTTTATGTATTTTTACAGAGTAACGTGAGATTCTTCTTTTAAAAATTGTTTTAGGACAGGTTGTGAAGTAATATAGCTTGGGAAGTGAAATGCCCCCTTCCTGTACCCAACCACGGTGTTCCATTTTTCATAAGCAGTCATCGCTGTATGTAACTTTCTTCCCTTTATAAAAACTTAAGAGTCAAAGTTAGGTATTAAAATGAAGCCACCAGGAAAACAGTATTTGATATATTGATTGTAATAGTATCCGTAAGGAACCTTCTCAAATAGAAGCACGTACTTACTGACTTTTCTGCAAATTAGATTGTTTTTATTGGCCAGGGATAAAATTAGATTGCCAGTGCCTTCATTTTGAAATTTTAAAGGACAGGAAATAAGAAATGATTGTTTTGAGCATTCCAGGGAATAATGAGACAGACATCCTAACATCATTTCACACTGAGGAGCTAGAAATATGTTTTCAACATATAGAATCACTTTTATAAAGGTAATAATTCCACACCCCCCCACCTCTCCCCACTTTTGTGATGCGACCTGTATCACCCAAGATTCAGTAAGGAAAACAGAAGCCCCTCTAGGTTTCCAAGTGTGAAGGGTTTTATTACAAAGAATTAGAGGCTTGCATCGCCTTTGAAGGACTGGGTAAGTGCATGTCCGGGAAAGTGGGTGACCTTGTCAGCCTGTAGCACATGGGTCTCACGGTTCACCCAGCTGTGCCTGTGAGCTTTCACCTGTACTCTGCTCATGAGATTGACTGGCATCTGCAGGCTTCTCCTACTTTTCCATCCTTTGATGGGTATGTCTTTCTGGCAGATCTAACACAGGACTGTATGAGTCTCAGGGAAGGGAATATATTTCCCGGCTCCTCCCAGTGATTGCAGAGAGAATAGAGAAAGGCAGTATAGAGAAAGGTGGTGTTGAGTTGACACCTGACCATGTGACACACAACTGTGGGCCTATGAGCTCTTCCCCTGGGCCAATGAGCAGAAGATAAGAAAGCCACACTATTTTGTTGGGCTTTACTTTTTGTATTTAATGTTGCAGCGTCTCCATATGTAGTTAATATAGCACTGAACATGATTTTTCAAATTAAACGCATACCTTCTTTCCTCCCTCCTCACATCTAATATATGTCTTTAAGGGGAAGTATCCGTGTGGCTTTTTAAAATTAAATACAAATTAAACAAGATTAAGTACTCAGTTTGCCTGTCATACCAGCCACATTTCAAGGTTAGTAGTTAGTGGCTCCTGTCTTAGTACAGAAATAGGACATTTCCCTCCTCACAGAAAGTTGTATTAGACAGTGCTATTTTAAATAGTGGTTGCCAAATTTCTTATTCTCCCTTTTTTTTTTTTTTTTGGTTTTTTAAAGAATTGTCATAGGGGTTACATTTCTTTTGTAAAATTAGATCATATATATTTTGATATGTATGTAATACACATTTATTTTTGTGGAAATGAATTCTGTTGAGAAGAGTATCTGTCCTGGGCTCTGATCCACAGAATTTAGGAGTCATTTGTGAGGGATATTACTGATGTTTTGCACCTAATTTTCCCTTCCCCCAGATTCAGTAGAAGCGGGAGAGAAAGTTGTGAAGACAGCACTGGACACTTTTGGAAGAATAGGTGATGTTTCTTTCTGTTTATGGTCTTGACTGAGCACTTTCTACCTTCCTGATAAAGTGTTCTTGATTTTACTTTGGTTTATTAAAAAAAACTCCCCCTTTTAAAAAAAAGTTTTTTTAACATTTATTCATTTTTGAAAGACAAAGGATACAGAGTGTCAGCAGGGGAGGGGCAGAGAGAGAGAGGGAGACATGGAATCTGAAGCAGGCTCCAGGCTCCGAGCTGTCAGCACAGAGCCCGATGTGGAGCTCAAACTCTTGAACCATGAGATCATTACCTGAGCCAAAGTCAGACCCTTAACGGACTGAGCCACCCAGGCGTCCCAGAACTCCTTTCTTTATGACTAAGTTTTTAGTTTTGTTTTACAAACTAATTATTTTACATACCCCACCTTATTCTCACAAAGGGCTTGGAGGTGGCATTTTTTTAAATGCAAAAATGTGTCGAGTTTGTTTTATATTTTTCTGGATTTCAAAAATGTTTAAAAAATTAGCATTTTCTAGGTTGCTTATTTATAATAATTTAATTATACCCCAGATATGTCTATAAAATATTTTGGCAATAGAGAACCCAGTGGAATTTTTGGATAATTATGATTTGGATTGAAGTGATTTAATGTTTTGCAAATTAGTTAAGGTGAATTATATGTAGTAGAAATCTATTTTTAAGAAGCACTTTGAATGTATTGTTTAGTTTATCACTCTACATCATCTTCTTCGTTTAGTTACACACATTCTTAGTAAAGGTTATTAGTTACTTGAGGGAAATGTTACCGCTGGGAAGCCCAATGTGTTTACAATCTGGAAAACATTAATTTTTGTAACTTGAATGTGCTCCCTCCACTTTAATTTTTGGCTAGGATGTTTGTTTTTCTAGTTATGTTTCGTGAAACTTTTATGGGACTTGTTCACATATAATTTGACAAACGGATAGAGTCCACAGAGGTGTGAAGTTGCAGGGTGAAAACAGCCACAAGAACCTTAAAAGAAATGGTTCCTTTTTTCTATTTTTTTTTTGACTTTTGAGTGGCAAAAACAAATCTTTTAAAATTTATTTTCTGAGTGAATTCTGAGGTTAATTAAGGGATGGCTTGTGGTTACCAGTGAATGCTAAGAACCGTAAGGCTTGGACAAGAGCTAATTCTACAAATAAGCTAACAGAGTTTTGGCAGAAGGTGGAGGTGGGAAAATGTACATACGTACGTTGAGAGAAAAGGCACTGATAAGGATGCTATACTTGTGCATCAGGTTTTTTGTTTTATTTTGTTTTTACTTTAGGTATTAAAGATTGTTCTGATAGCACTCTTTTCCAATGGTGGGGGACCCCAGTTTTGAAAGATATATGAATTGAAAGCCAATGCAAATTAACACGCTTGCTTTTGTATTTGTGACTTGGATTTAAAAATTAATTTTTTTTTTTTTATGTTATAGATGTTGTGGTCAACAATGCTGGGTGAGTATTTCTTTTTTCATTCTACATAAAATGTGCATGTGAAATCTTTTTTCCAAGTAGATATTTCTTGCCTGTAACCCATATAATATCATTGTTTTTAGAATTCTGAGGGACTGTTCTTTTGCTAGAATAAGTGATGAAGACTGGGGTAAGTTGTTTGTAACATATGTCTCTGTGAGACCTAACCTGTCCATTTAGCATTATAATATTTGAGGAATTTGTATATTTAAGGGAAAACCTACTTCTGCCTACTTTTGCTCCTTTCAATGTAGATGATGAATCTGATGAATAAACTTGACAGCTGAAAATGACAACATCATTTGGAAGTAGCCTGTTTTCTTTTAACATTTGATAAATCAGAAATAAATCAACTGATAAATCAGTTGAAAGAAGTTACCTGAAAGGATTTTGTGCCTTTCAAATCATTGTCCCCTTTTTCTTCTTGAGAAGATGCTAGCATTTCCCAGCTGGATTAACTTTTTTTTTTTAGTTTATTTATTTTTGAGAGAGAGAGAGGAGGGAAGTGGCAGAGAGAGAGAGAGAGAGAGAGAATCCCAAGCAGGCTCCATGTTGTCAGCATAGAGCCCAGTGTGGGGCTCAAACCCACAAACCGAGAGATCATGACCTGATCTGAAATCAAGAGTTGGGGGCTTAACTGACTGAGCCACCTAGGCACCCCTCAGCTGTGTTAACTCTTTGTAACAGTCTTTACCCTGCATACCTGCTTGTGTGATTCTTATTTTAAGAGCCAGAGCAGGATATAGAAGGGGGTCTGAGGCACTGAACATGTTGGAGATCTGAGAACTAGGGAGGGAAAATGCTCAGTGTAATTTCGAAGTTTCTAATGAGTAGGAATGCCACAGCAAGATTGAGCTTATTTATTTTTAAATATACATTTATTTATTTTGATGATGAGGTAGAGGGTGAGCGGGGGAAGGGCAGAGTGAGAGATAGAGAGAGAAAGAGAAAGAGAGAGGGAGACAGAGAATCCGAAGTGTGCAGAGCCCGATGTGGTGCTAGAATTCACTAGCTGTGAGATCATGACGTCAGCTGAAGTCAGATGCTTCACCGACTGAGCCACCCAAGAACCCCAGAAAGGCTGACTTTAGATAACAAACAAGTCACAGTTGCTCCCCACGTCTGCTCTTCATGCCTCTACTTTCATTGGCCATGGGAAGGAAAGTAAACTATGGTGGCTGAGGCCGTGGGAGGTGTGGTAACTGAGGTGAATCATCACATCACCGTCCATAGTGCATGCTTCTGGGGAAAATGGCCAGGGGTTCTTTTGGAAGAATCAAAGTATCTTTGTGATTTAGAGTTAACCAAAGAAGGGCTTTTAATTTCTTCTTTCTGTTTTAACAAACTGGGACAAGAAAAGAAGCCTGAGAAAGTTAGGATTTGATGGCAAAGGGGGATTACCTTGTCGATTTCCTTTCCGCTGCAGTGGGGCCAGGCCACTTCCCTCTCTGCTGTTATCCCAAGCTCAGCACTCCTCACCCCCGAGTCCCCTTCCCTTTCGTCTTTGTCTTTCCTTTCTTAAGTTCCTCCCTTTTCATTATTACCTTATTCTTCTAATAGACACGTGAAAACCTTTGTTGACACTTCAGATCAGAACGAAAAATAAGCTACAGTGGGTAGAACCTTGATAATTAAGAGAACAAAATTAAATCTACAGTTGTTTGTCTATCTGAACCATTCCCCAACTTGTCTGTTCATTGGATTGACATCTCCAAAAGCAGATGGGCTTCTCTCTGTCCACCCTGTGTCCTCCCTCTCTTCCTCCATTTTCTTACCTGCTCTGTCCCAACTCATTTGCAGTTTGGCCTGGTAGAAATAGGGAAATAGGGAGCAGTGTTTTCTCAACAGTGAACTGTGTAGTTTATAATTATGCTTTTTTAAAAACTTTATTTCATTAAATTTTCATTATTAAAGTATAGTTGACATACAATGTTATATCTTTTTCAAATGCATAGCATAGTGATTCAGCAGTTGTATACATTACACTTTAATGTTTGTGATGAATCCCAATTATATTTGTAAAATTCTTGAATATTTGAAGTAGTGGATTTTCTTTTTAATTTTTTTAAATGTTTATTTATTTTTGAGACAGAGAGAGAGCAAGTGCCAGCAGGGCAGGGGCAGAGAGAGAGGGAGACAGAATCTGAAGCAGGCTCCAGGCTTCAGGCTGTCAGCACAGAGCCCAATGCAGGGCTTGAACCCATGGACTGTGAGATCATGACCTGAGCCAGAGTCAGACACTTAACTGACTGAGCCACCCAGGTGTTCCAGTGGATTTTTTTTTAAGTTTATTTATTTTGATTGAGAGAGACAAACTGTGAATGGGGGAGGGGCAGAGAGAGAGAAGAGAGTGAGAATCCCAAGCAAGCCCTACACCAGCAGCTCGGAGCTTGATGAGGGGCTTGAACCCATGAGCTGTGAGATCATGACCTGAACCAAAATCTGATGCTTAACTGACTGAGCCACCCAGGCTCTGTAGTAGTGGATTTTTAAATTAAATTATTTTTAAGTTAAAGAAGGCATCGTGTTCAGATGTACTCAGGGATTATAATAATTTTATCATGAATTATAAGGAGTGTACTAACGAATGAGTGTGAACTATTGATTGTTTACATAATTGGGACAAAAGCAAAAATGGGTACTCAGGGAGTAGTGTGACAGTAGTTGATTTTGAATGCTTGGTTTAAGGGTACCTAGGTGGTTCAGTTGGTTGAGTGTCCAACTCTTGATTTCAGCTCAGGTCACGGTCCCATGGTCGTGGGATCAAGCCCTGCATTGGGTTCTGCACTGAGCATGGAGCCTTCTTAAGGTTCTCTCTCCCTCTGGCCCTCCTCTGCTCATGCTTGCTTGCTCTCTCTCTCTCAAAATAAATAAACGAACTTGAAAAAGTAAAATGAATGTTTAGTATAAAGTGAATGTATAAATAAATCATTGCTTATGTTGATTCTGAGTCATGCCTATCTAATTTTTAACAAAATGTATAATAAAAGTAATTTGTTGTTTTAGATATAATCCACAGAGTCCATATGCGAGGCTCATTCCAAGTGACCCGGGCAGCTTGGCCTCATATGAAGAAGCAGAAGTTTGGGAGGTAGAGTTGAACATGGCTGTTGGGGGACTAGAGACGTGGTGTGTGGGTCCTTGTGTCCAGGGAAAGATAAGTGCTTTGACGTTGACGAAGTTACCTTCAGATCTACGTAGGCTTTTTTTTGTTTTTTAAATTTTCTTTTAAGTTTATTTTGAGACAGAGATTGCACAAGGTGGCTAGGGACAGAGAGAGAGAGAAGGAGAGCGAGAGAATCCCAAGTAGGCTCCGCGCTCTCAGTGCAGAGCCCGACGTGGGGCTCGAACTCACAAACTGTGAGATCATGACCTGAACTGAAGCCAAGAGTTGGATGCTTTAGCAACTGAGCCACCCAGGCACCCCTCCCAGCCTTTTGGATGTAGGGTTGGCATATATCCTCTCATTCAATTGGAGGTCATTTAGCTACAGATTAGCCGAGCTGGCCAACTTTACATTTCTTTTCACCTCCTACTTTTCATTAATAATGGATTTCCTGCTGTTCTCTGATATTTGAGCAGTACAAACATGGAGGATTCAGCTGTACTTTATATGTTAACCAAAGGATTATTTTGTGTCTGCTGACCAAGTGGGGGGAGGTGAGTGTCATGTCCAGTTCTCTGAAACTGGTTGGACAGGTGTTGCTGGCCTTTAGGAATGGTTTGGGAGCTGTAGGACTCGGTGGCTACATCTGTGCCAGTGCCTTGGAACGAGGCGAGCTCGGAGGTGGCTCGGTGCCCTCTGACACGGTTCCTCCTCTTTACCCTGGGTTCACACACATTGGCTAGCAGTAAATTGTGACCCCTGCTCTGGGAGCATTCTAGTTTCTCCTGACCCTCACAGTTTCTGAAAATAAATGATATGAATTGTTTTTCTTGGTCGACCAAATAGAGTGAGTGAGATTGGGTCCCATTTTGGAGATGGTGTTGTTTTAATACGAGGCATTTAATATGATCCACGAAGAGAGGGGCAGTGTAACGAGGGTTAAAGAATTAGCACTGGTGTTTCTGATACTTCTTACCATAACATTAACTCCTATATTGCCACTTTATTTTGTTTATAAATATTTCGTGTTGTTCTCAGTCGATAACGAATATATGTTCTCACACTTGAATTTGTTTGGTCCTGATTGGCGATTCTTTTTAAAACAAGTCAAATTCTGTAGTTAAATTTTGTGAGATTACTTATATTATTACTATTGTTTAACATGTATGAATCATGATTGTAAGAACCTAATGACAGTATACAGAATTGCTTTTTATTTAAAAAAATTTTTTTAACATTTTATTTATTATTGAGAGACAGAGGCAGAGCATGAGCAGGGGATGTGCGGAGAGAGGGGGAGACACAGAATCCAAAGCAGGCTCCAGGCTCCCAGCTGTCAGTGCAGAGCACGACGCGGGGCTCGAACTCACGAATAGTGAGATCATGACCTGCACTGAAGTCAAACACTTAACTGACTGAGCCACCCAGGCGCCCCCAGAGTTGCTTTGGCAGGTGTAATAGTACAGTAAAAGAAAAAAAAAAAAGGTTTGGAATTTGCAGTGTTATCAAAACATAGGAAAGAGATTTTGAGAGATGGATTTTCCTTTTAGGATTATTATGACTTCCTCAGCTTCGGGAATATACGGCAACTTTGGCCAGGCCAATTACAGTGCTGCGAAACTGGGTCTTTTGGGCCTTTCAAACACTATTGCACTTGAAGGCAAGGAAAGCAACATTCATTGTAACACCATTGCCCCTACGGCCGGGTCTCGGATGACCCAGACAGTTTTGTCTGAAGGTAAGTAGCTTAGGTTTTCCAGTGTTTGTAGCTACAAGTCTGTGTGGAGTAAGCTTTGCAGAAGTATTTCATTTTCTGAATACTTAACTGTTATTTATCTTACAGTTTCAAAAGGCGTTAGACATAATTTGTATTCATCATAGGAAATTTAGAAAAGCATACAGGGAAAAAAATGTAAAATGACCCCTAGTTTTACCACGCAGAGATGAACTTTCATTCTTTTTCTCTGTATATTTACACATAAATGCATATATATCTTTGCTTTGTTGTTGTTGCTTTTTACAGGAGTTGCTAATAGCATTCTGTTTCGTAGTAATGATTATGTTTGAATACTAATAGGCTGTATTTTTTAGAATATGTTTCGTAGTAATGATTATGTTTGAATACTAATAGGCTGTATTTTTTAGAATAGTTTGAGGTTTCTGAAAAACTGGGCAGATAATGAAGATACTTTCCATGCAGTTTTTCCTAATACGTGTTAACACCTTGCACTAGTACGCTACCTCTGTTATGACAGATGAACTGATATTGATCCGCTGTTGTTAACTCACGGTCATCGTTTCCACTCTGGCTCTTTGGTTGTATAGTTGTATGGGTTTTCACAAACGCATAATGTTCTATATCCACTGTTATATGCAGAATTCTACTCTATAAAATAGTTGCACTGCCCTGAAAGTCTCCTGTGCTTCACCTCTTCATCTTCCCCTCTCCTTCCCGAATGTCTGGGAGGACTGAAGTTCGTTTCTTTTTGTCAGTGAATAACATTTCTTGATGTGGAGGGACCACAATTTATTAATTCCCCTATTGAGGAACATCTTAGTTGCTTCCAGCTTTTGGCAATTTGAATAAGAGCTGCTGTAAACATTCATGTGCAGTTAAAAAAAAATTTTTTTTAAATGTTTATTTATTTTTGGGGCGCCTGGGTGGCTTAGTCGGTTAAGCGTCCGACTTTCGCTTAGGTCATGATCTCGCGGTTCGTGGGTTCGAGCCCCGCATCGGGCTCTGTGCTGACTGCCAGCTCAGAGCCTGGAGCCTGTTTCAGTCTGTGACTCTCTCTCTGACCCTCCCCTGCTCACGCTGTCTCTCTCTCTCTCTCCTAGAAATAAATAAAACATTAAAAAAAAATTAAAAAAAAACATTTATTTTTGAGAGAGAGAGAGAGACAGAGCATGAACAGGGGAGGGGCAGAGAGAAAGACACACACACACACACACACACACACACACACGCACACACACAGAATCTGAAGGAGGCTCCAGGCTCTGAGCTGTCAGCACAGAGCCCGATGTGGAGTTTGAACCCATGAACTGTGAAATCACGACCTGAGCCAAAATTGGACGCTTAACCAACTGAACCGCCCAGGTACCCCCGCCACCCCCCCCCCATTTTTTAAGTTTCTTCAGTTTGAGAGAGAGAGACAATGAGAGTGTGTGTGCAAGAGTGGGCGAGGGGCAGAGAGAGAAGGAGAGAAAGAATTCCAAGCAAGCTCTGTGTTGTTAGCACAGAGCCCAGGCCAGGGCTTGATCCCACGAACTATGAAACTGTGATCCCATGAACTGTGAATCTGTGAACTGAGCTGAATCAAGAGTCGGACGCTTAACTCACTGAGCCACCCAGGCGCCCCCATGTGCAGGCTTTTGTGTGAACTAAGTTTTCAACTTGTTTGGGTAAATACCAAGGGGTGTAGTTGCTGGATTGTATGTTAAGACTATTTAGCTTTGTAAGAAATTTCCACACTGCCTTCCAGAAGGGGTGTGTCATGCTGTATGCCCACTAGCAGTAAAGGAGAGTTCTCATTGCTCCACATCTTTGCCAGCATGTACTGTTTTCAGTCTTCTGCATTTTAGTCCTTCTCATGGGTCTGTAGTGGTATCTCCTGTTTTAATTTGCAGTTCCCTAATGATGTGTGATGTGCATTTTTTCCTATGCTTATTTGCCTTTTATCTGTCCACTCCTGTGATGTGTCTGTTCACATCTTTTGCTCATTTTTAAATTGGGCTTTTGCTCATTTTTAAATTGGGTGGTTTGTTTTCTTACTGTTGAGTTTTTAGCATTCTTGGTGTATTTTGGAAACAAGTTCTGTTCACATACATATTTTGCAAATTTTTTTCCCCTACTCTATAGCTTTTATTTTTTTTCCCTTAATCTTTTTCTCTTTTGAGGGAGGATTTCACTGATAATGGGGTCTTGGGTTGGTAGTTTTTTTTCTTTCTACACTTAACTACTTCACTCCACCTTCCTCATGCTTCTTACGTGGTTTCCGATTCGGAAAAGAGGTCTGCTGTAATCCTTTCCTTATACATCTGTAGGCAAGGTGTTTTTTCCCCCTCTGTTTTCTTCCCAGATGTTTCTCTTTGTTTCTCTGAAGTTTGAATATAATATGCTTAGGTGGAGATTTTTTGGCAATGTACTGCTTGATAGCCTCTCAATTTTTGGATCTGTGGTTTGGTGTCTGTCATTAATTTTGGAAAACTTTTAGCCACTATTGCTTTAAATATTTTTTCTATTTCTCTCTTCTCCTTCTGGCGTTCCCCTATGGCGCGTTCTCTCTTTTGCAGCTATCTCACAGTTCTTGGATATTCTGTTCCTTTTTTTAAAATTTTTTTTATAGTTTATTTATTTTTGAGACAGAGACAGAGCATGAGTGGGGGAAGGGCAGAGATTGGGGGAGACACAGAATCCGAAACAGGCTCCAGGGTCTGAGCTGTCAGCACAGAGCCTGATGTGGGGCTCAAACCTACCAACCGTGAGATCTGACCTGAGCCGAACTCAGATGCTTAACTGACTGAGCCACCCAGGCGCCCCTATTCTGTTCCTTTTTTAAAATTCTTTTTTCTTTTCGCATTTTAGTTTGGGAAGTTTCTATTGACATATATTTAAGTTCACTGATTTTTCATTTCTGTTATATTGCTTTTGTTTTCTAACATTTCCTTTTGATTTTTTCTTAGAGTTTCACCTTTCTGCTTATTGTAGCTGTATCTATTGCATGCTGTCTGCTTTTTCCATTACAACTCATAGTGTATTAATTATCGTTATTTTATTTATTTTTTTAAAATATTTTTATTTATTTCTAGGAGAGAGAGAGAGAGAGACAGCATGAGCAGGGAGGGCGAGAGAGAGAGGGAGACACAGACTCTGAAACAGGCTCCAGGCTCTGAGCTGGCAGTCAGCATAGAGCCCGATGCGGGGCTCAAACCCACGAACCGCGAGATCATGACCTAAGTGAAAGTCGGACGCTTATCCAACTAAGCCACCCAGGCGCCCCTCGTTATTTTATTTATTCATTTATTTTAAAGATTTTTTTAAAAGTTTATATATTTTGAGAGAGAGAGCACACTCATGTGCATGAGTGCTTTAGGAGCAGAGAGAGAAGGGAACAGAGAATCACAAGCAGGCTCTGACCTGTCCGCACACAGCCTAAGGTGGGACTCGAACCATGAACTACAAGGTCATGACCTGAGCGGAAACCAAAAGTCAGACACTTTACTGACTGAACCACCCAGGCACCCCTAATTATAGTTATTTTAAATTCCCAGTCTGATCATTCTAAAATCTTTATTTTATTTGAATCTAGGTCCGATACATTATCTCTTCAGCCTGTACTTGCCTTTCAGCATGCCTTGAAAGTTTTGTTGAAAGCAGAACATGGTGCATTGGGGTAGTAGAAAGTGAGATAATTAGGTCTTTAGTTGAGGTTTTTTAAGTTTACGTGGTTAGGAGGTGGTAGGCCATGTTCATTGTGTGCTGGAACTATCTGTCAGAGGCTTTTTCCTCTGTGCCCTTGTTTCTGTGCTCCCTGTCATTTTTGGGTTTTACTAAACACCATTTGTTAAATAGAGTGTGTCTTGGAGCTTTGTCACTTATAATCCACTCTTGTTATACTGGAGTCCTGTTGATGTGGCTGTAAGTTATGAGGAAGGGAAATGTTCTTATGATTAAATCTCCTTTTTTTTTTTTTTTAATGAGTCAGAGTCATGGGTTGTGACTTGCAGAAGAGTTTCTTAGCCGTTTTTTCCCCCCTCCCCTTAATTGAGATAGGAAGACTAAAGAGGCCCCAGCCTTCTAAATGCCCTTCCCCTAGGTCACATGCAGCTCTGATAGTCTCCTGTGAGGGGAGCCCTTTGTTAAGGAAAGCACCGTGCTCTGGGTATATTTCAAAATGATTTTTTTTGGTCACCTTCTTCCTTTTTTTCCCCTGTAATATTCCAAAGTAAGTTTTTATATTTCACCTAATAAGTTCTTGGAAGTGTATCTCTAACAGATAAGGATATTAAAACCACAATGCTATCATCACACCAAACAAAATAATTCTTTAACATCACCTTATACCAAATTAATATTAAAATTTACTGACTGTCTTTTAGACAGTTTAAAAAAAAAGGTTTTTTGAGTCGGCTTACTCCACAGGGACCCAGATAAAGTCCACAGGTATTTTGTTACTATAGGTCTTGTTTTATTCAATACAAGCATTTGTTCTTTAAAAAAAGCCATTTATTTGTTGAAGAAACTAGTGCAATTTATTTGTCCTATAAATTAGTACTCATTCTTGGTTTGGGTTGTCTTTGCCCTTTTGTGGAAAATCAGGTGACCGGATAAGGGTGGGTCAGTTTCTGAATTCTGTGTTCTTTCCACTGATCTGTGCGCCTGTCCTTTTATCAATGCCATGAAGTTTTGATTCCTTTAGGTTTTTGTTTGTTTGTTTGTTTGTTTTTGAGAGAGAGAGTACAAGAGGGGGAGGAGCAAAGGGAGAGGGAGAGAGTCTCTTAACCAGGCTCAGCCTGACGTGGGGCTTGATCTCTCACAAACCTTGAGATCATGACCTGAGCCCAAATTAGGAGTTGAACACTTAACCATCTGAGCCACCCAGGTGCCCCTTGATCTTGAGCTCAGGTAATAAGAGTCTTCCAGCTTTGTTCTTTGAAAATGTAAAATTTTAGTGTATGATAAGAGAGCCTATTTTTATACTTATTTGTATAATTGATAGACTACTTAACTAGTGGACATGACAACCTTGTGGGTTTTTTTTTTAATGTTTTTTATTTCTGAGAGAGAAAGAGGCGAGAGCGAGCGCATAAGCAGAGGAGGATCAGAGTGAGAGGGAGATACAGAATCTGAAGCAGGCTCCAGGCTCTGAGCTGTCAGCACAGAGGCTGACGTGGGGCTTGAACCCATGAACTGTGAGATCATGACCTGATCTGAAGTCACACGCTTAACTGACTGAGCCACTCAGGCGTTCCCCCCCCCCCCCGCCCCGCCTTGTGGTTTTTAATACTTCTGTTTTTTTTAACATATTTCTGAAAGGAAATCTTCATAATATTTTATTTAAAAATTTTTTTTAATGTTTATTTTTGAGAGAGACAGAACATGCATGGGGGAGGGACAGAGAGAGAGGGAGACACTGATTCCGAAGCAGGCTCCAAGCCCTGAGCTGTCAGCACAGAGCCCGATGTGGGGCTTGAACTCTTGAACTGTGAGATCATGACCTGAGCCGAAGTCAGATGCTTTAACCAACTGAGCCACCCAGGTGCCCTGAGATCTTCATAATATTTTAAAAGTTGCTTCTTTGAAGTGACTCAAAGCAGTTGATGAGTGAAATTATTTTATTTTATTTATTTTATTTTTTTATTAAAAAAAATTTTTTTTAATGTTTTATTTATTTCTAGGAGAGAGAGAGAGACAGCGTGAGCAGGGGAGGGTCAGAGAGAGAGGGAATGACAGACTCTGGAACAGGCTCCAGGCTCTGAGCTGGCAGTCAGCACAGAGCCCGACGCGGGGCTCAAACCCACGAACCGCGAGATCATGACCTAAGCGAAAGTCGGACGCTTAACCGACTAAGCCACCCAGGCGCCCCGAGTGAAATTATTTTAAAATTAGCTTCTTCATGGAATGTAAATTATTTATTTGTAGTACCCTTTACTTTTCACATTTGAGCTAGAATCCATCTTAGAACTTGGGATTTGTAATTCTAAATATATACTTGCTAGCCTTTGCTAAAGCTGTGCCTAACCAATTCACTTTAATTAGAATAACTGTTTGGACCAGGAATTTAATTTTTTTTTCCTTTGTCTTGTCAGCAAGACCATTTTTAAATTTTTATTTATTTATTTATTTATTTATTTATTTATTTATTTATTTTAGAGAGAGAGAGACAGAGTGTGAGTTGGAAGGGACAGAGAGAGAAGGAGACACAGAATCAGAATCAGGCTCCAGGCCCTGAGCTGGCAGCACAGAGCCCGATGTGGAGCTCAATCTCACGAACAGTGAGACCATGACCTGAACTGAAATCAAGAGTCAGACGCTTAACTGACTGAGCCACCTAGGTGCCCCAAGACCATTTTGAAAAGTCCCTTATTTTAAAAACTCTTTGTTTAGAGAACATTTTAAAATCTCCTCATATTTATATCATGGGAAAGAACCAAATGATATGAAGGACAGATACCATCATCTTTTCCTTTTAGGTAGGCCACTTCATATATGTATGCAAAACAATGTAGGTTACTGGTAAGAAGAAAAGCATAGAAATATAATGAATAGTCATGAACTTGCTGCTCAAACCCAGAATTGGAGCATTACCAATAACTTGCATTCTCATTTTGTATCCTCTATTCTACTCTTCTGTTTCATGCCATGAGATAAACACTATTTAGAATTTTGTGTTTATCATTCTTTTGCTAGATTTCTACCCTAGTCATTTTTTTATTTTGCCATTGGTTCTACACTTTTTGGGAAGCAGTAAATTTTCAAGAAATACTGAGAACTTTAGGTTTTAATGTGTTTTTTGTTGTGAATGTTGCTTCCATTTATTTGAACAGGTCTCTGCCTCTAGGGATGTTAGGTAAATGTGTAAAGTAGTATTCTTTATTCCCACTGTATTCTAGTAAAAGAAGTTGGGAAAGTAAGATCTACTTTAGACAGCTGACTTGATCTTTCTGGACCTGTTTTTAAAGTGAGAGAAATTGTTGATCATTTTTAAAAGAATGTTCAGTTCAGATTTATAGATCATTTTTAAAAGACCTTTCAGATTCTAAATTTTTGCTATTTTTTATTTTGATTTTTGTTACCGTTTTACAGTTGGAGGAATGCTGAAAATTTACTTTGCCCCAGAGTTTTTCTTTTCTTCCTCCTGAATATCCACTTACAAGCTATCAAAAGGAATTATTTGCTAAAGAACCTGATGCTATAAGGAATGTGTGGAGACATTTGCAGTTTCATTTCCCAATTTGAAATATGTGTGATAAATCAAAAGTAATGTATGTAACTTACATGGTTTTTACGAGATAAAAGAATCATCATTATGTAGGCATACATAACTTTTCAAGCTATGTTAGTTATTGTAGTGTAATAAATTATTGCAAGGTTTAATGGATTAAGACAACAGACATTTATTATCTCTGGCAATTTCTGGGGCCAGGAATCTAGAGTGGCTTAGCACAGAAGCTGTGGGTCTCTAATAACGTCTTACTGAAGGTGAAGACATTTGCTGGGGCTCCGGTAACATGAAAGCTTGGCTGGGTTGGGGGCTCCATCTCCAAGCTGATAACACATACATGACAGTTGGCAAGAGGCCTTCATTCTTTCCGAGCTGTTTCCCAGAGGCCTCAGTGTTGCAATGTGTGGGCTTCTCCACAGGACTCCCCTCGATAAGGTAACCGGTTTCCCCAGAGCTAATAATTTGAAAAGAGAGAAACGGCCACCAAGGCAGAAGTTGCATCATCTTTCATAATCCAATTTTAGAAGTGATACAACATCACTTTTCTCTTATCTTACTGGTCACACAGACCAGTTCTGGTACATTGTGGGAGGGGCTGCAAAAAGGGATGAATAAGAGGAGATGGGGATCACTGTGGCCATCTTAAAGACTAGCTGTCATGCAGCCCCCAAGCTAGGGCATTTTAAACTTGCATCCAGTTTTGAAAGAAGTTCTGGTGTGCATAACATGCTGTCAAGCAATATCGTATACTAGAGAGAGATGATTGGTAAAAGGAAGAGTCAAGTGATGGGGCATACGGCATTGTTTTATTTTAAGAAATTGTCGTAGCCACCCCGGCCTTCAGCAGCCACCACCCATTTACATCGAGGGAAGACCCTCATCTAGCTAAAACATTACAACTCTCTGGAAACTCAGATGATGATTAGCATGTGTTAGCAATAAAGTGTTTTATTTTTTTATTATTTTTTAAATATTTATTTTTACAGTGAGAGAGTACATGCAGGGGAGGGGTAGAGAGAGAGAGGGAGAGAATCCCAAGTAGGCTCCATGCTCAGCATGGACCTCGATGCGGAGCTCAGCCTCACAAACCGTGAGATCATGATCTGAGCTGAAATCAAGAGTTGGATTCTTAACCGACTGGGTGGCCACTCAGGTGACCCAGTATTTTAAAATTAAAATATGTACAGTGTTTTTTTAGGCATAATGGTAATGTACATTTTTACTGACGACAGGGTAACATGAACATAGCTTTGATATGTACTGGGGAGCCAGAAGATTCATATGACTAGCTTTATTGGGATATTTGCTTTACTGTGATGGTCTGGAGCCAAACCCACAACATCTCCAAGGTGTGCCAGTTCCTTTCTACTCTGTTAAGTTGCTCAGAGAAAGTGGGCAGTGGGAAAATATTTCTTACACTTTGTTACTCATCAGGGATGGTTGCAAGCTTCATTTCACATCATTATCTTACTGCCATTACAATAATCAAGGCTGTTTTGTATTTTTCTAGCTTCTGGTTAAATTGCTGGGAGAGCCAAATGGTTTTGGAGACAAATGATTACTTCTGTTCCTCATGTTATATACAGTTTTGCTCACCAGTTATTGCCTAGGTAGCTTTAACTTGCTTCTCCTGAATGGTATGTTGCCCCTCTTGGAAAGCTGTATCTGTTGACTACACCTTCAAAATTGGAAGAGATGAAACAGCTCTTTCAAAAGCTTTGAATGTTAGACCGATTAATTTTGTAGATCTGATTCTGTTCCTCCTTTTAAAAAGTCTCTGAGTTACCAAGATTTATAAGTAAGGAGTTTTCAGAAGGCAAAATCGTTGGTTGAATATGTATATATTCTTGTCATAAACATTTTTGGGGATGTGTTTTAGATCTCATGGAAGCTTTGAAGCCTGAATACGTGGCACCCCTGGTCCTTTGGCTTTGCCATGAGAGCTGTGAGGAAAACGGTGGTTTGTTTGAGGTATTCTGCACCTTCCTGCTTTCTCTCAAAGCAATGTTCGTGTGATTAAACATAACAAAAATGATTTAAACAATAATATTTTCCAGTTATTCACATTGGGAAAGATCTGCATCATTTGATACCACTTGTGTATTTTTCTTTAATGATTATTTACTTATTTTGAGAGAGAGAGATAGACAGACAGACAGAGCCAGAGAGAATGTGAATAGGGGAGAGGCAGATAGAGGGAGAGAGAATCCCAAACAGGCTCTGTGGTGTCAGCACAGAGCCTGACACAGGGCTCGATCTCACAAACCATAAGGTCATGACCTGAGCCAAAGTCAAGAGTCGGATACTTAATGGACTGAGCCACCCAGGCGCCCCTCACTTTTGTATTTTTTAAATATTATAGTTGACTAAGGAACAAGTGTTGACCAATGTTCCTTTTTGAGAAAGTAACAGCAACTTGATAAATTCTGTTTCTCTGTGTTTCTTTATTTTTAATATTCTTACCAAATGAAAATGTGGCTGAATGTTAAAGTAGGAGGATGGGGCTAACGGGTTAGAGTCAGCCAGGCTGGGGTTTGAATTCTCTATTCTGACAGATGTTGGCCCGCTGCAATATTGTACAAATTAATGTACCCTAGCATCACTTTTCTTGGGTTTTTGTCATGATCATGGGAAACCCTATTTTTAAACTCTTAGCAGTGGATCCAGTACATAACAGTTACCCTTCAACTGTAACTATTATGTCATTGTAGCAGAAATTTAGCCTGGGTGGGCTAGGTCAGTAAATATAACCTATTATTTATTTTATTTATTGTTTTTTAAAAAATTTGTAATGTTGATTCATTTTTAGAGAGAGAAACAGACAGAGCATGAGCGGGGAAGGGGCAGAGAGAGAGAAGAGACAGAATCCAAAGCAGGCTCCAGGCTCTGAACTGTCAGCATAGAAGCCAATGCGGGGCTCAAACCCACAAACTGTGAGATCATGACCTGAGCCAAAGGTGGAGGCTTTTCCGACTGAGCCACCCAGGCGCCCCACCTATTATTTATTTTAATTTTTAAAAATAAGCATTCCTATTTTTCCATGTTGTAGAGCTTTAAATGTTTATCGTAAAAATAAGCACGCAGAATCCAAACTTCCCGTGAGATCCAGTTTTCACTTCATAATCAAAGTCCTTTTAGATCCCTTTATGCCAATTTATGCGTTTTTGTTTCCTCATTTGCATGTGATCTCTTTCTTTCCCCTAGTACTGTTATATTTTAGATTCCCTGCCCCACCTTTATTTGTTTCTCTGTGGTAATAATGAACTGTTATATGAAGAATACTATGACCTCCAAAAATCTTTCTTGGTAGCACAATTACCTGGCTTAGTTGGAAGTGAATGCTATATTAACCAGATACATTTGAATAAAAAGTTGATAAAATAAAAAATACGCATATCTAAGCAGAGATGTACACCTCCACTTTTTTAATCACAGACATTGAATTCAGATTGTGGAAAATTAGGAGTGAAAATAACTTTTTAAGAACTTTACAGATTTAATAATATCAAACCATCTTGGTTTCAGAATTTGGCCTGCCTGTCTTTTATGTCATTAAGGAATTTTTATTATTAATTCTATAGATAAAAATCCTATTTGATTTTATAGAAGATTTCAAATATACAGGAAAGTCTAGAGAAGAAAATAAAAACCATCCATATTACCTTTATCTGGAGATAACTACTATTAATATTTTTTCTCTATTTTTCCAGTCTTTTATTAGACATGCATCTTTTTAAAACATTTTTTAATGCTTATTTTTGAGGGGGAGAGAGAGACATAGAGCATGCACGGGGGAGGGGCAGAGAAGGAGACAGAATCCAAAACAGGCTCCAGGCTCTAAGCTGTCAGCAATGAGCCCAACGTGGGGCTTGAACCCACGAACCATGAGATCAAGACCTTAGCTAAAGTCCGACACTTAACCAACCGAGCCCCCAGGCGTCCCTAAATGTGTATCATATATGAATAATCTCTTTTCTTAGATAGACATTTTATATGTACAGTGAAACCCATAGAGACAGTAAGGTCATGTTATAGGTACAGTTTTATATGTTGTTCTTTATGTTGTGAACATTTTTAGTGAGGAACATTTGGTATGTGTGATTGATAAAACATAGTGAGAAACATCTATAATATCCAAGCTTAAACCTTGGAAATAAATTTTGCCAAGTTCTGAGACCCACCTAGAGGGTAAGATAGGGATTCTTTGGCTCGTTCAGAGTCCCTGTGTCCAGCACCTGGAGGAGCTCACAGCCTCTTGCGCCACTGCCCACATACGGTAGAATGCGGTATCTGTGTAGTCTGTTACCAGAACCACTGCTGACTTATCTACCCTGCCAGCATCGGGGCCAACTGGTCTGTTGTAAAAGTTATGGGCATATTCACAGGGAGGCATAGCGTGATAAAAAGCCACGCCCTTGACCCGGAGCCACTAACGTGTGCTATCTGATGATACATATTCTCTTGTCCCATGCTTGTGGAATTCTAACACTTGTAGTTGTGGTGCTTGAAGATTTTTTTTTTCCTAACATCACACTTTTTCTGGGGATTCCCTTGTGTGACCTCTAGAAAAGAATTGATCTTTCAATTAATATATTTGGGCATTTGCCTTCTCTCTATATTTTATTAAAACGACTATATGTAGTTGTTTAAGTCACCCCTAATTTTGTTTCTTTCCTTTTATGTTTTTATTCACCATTTTTTTCTAGAAGGATGTGTTATTTCATGCCTGTGTTGTGTGGGGCAATCGTACTGTTTTACATTATTTAACCTTTATGGTTATCTCATGAAGAATATTATTATCCTTATTTTACATAGGGGAAAACTTGGATTTAGGGTTCAAATAATTTGTTGAGGGTCACACAACTAATCATTAGAAGAATGAGTATAAAGCCTTAAAGCCTTAGGGTTTTTTTTTTTAAGTTTTTTTTTTTTTTTATGTTTACTTATATTTGAGAGAGACAGAACATGAGCAGAGAAGGGGCAGAGAGAGAGGGAGACACAGAGTCTAAAACAGGCTCCAGGCTCTGAGCTGTCAGCACAGAGCCCAATGCGAGGCTCAAACTCATGAACAGTGAAATCATGACCTGAGCTGAAGTCGGACACTTAAACGACTGAGCCACCCAGGTGGCCCTAAAGCCTTAGTTTCTGACATAAGTCATGCTTTTCCTCCGTAAGCATTCTCCACCACTTTATGTTGTTTTGTATTTCTGCTCTGATGTCATGAATAAAGCAAAATCATGGAGGCCCACAGACTTTTGTAGAACTGTATTATTTTCACCCATTGTCATGTAGCCTTCTAATACTCTTAGTATGATAGCTGCCTGTTTTTCTAATTTAAAAAGTTCTCTTTGTGATTCACTTTTGATGGTATAACTGTTTTCCCCTCTTTTTGGTAGGTTGGAGGAGGATGGATTGGAAAATGTAAGTCTCTTCTAGTTTTTGATTTGCCATACATTGTTTCTATATTTTTAACCTTGCACATCCAACTGGAGCTGGGTAAAGGTCTTGCCAAATGGCTGCCTGTCGGAGCTCGTGCACGCATCTTCAAACTCAAACATGGTTATACCAACAGGCATTCTAAAATGTGGAAGCCATCCTGAAGGCCTTTGGCATTTTCAAGAAACTGCTGAGGGCTTTTTCCCTGTTGGCAGTCCTTACTCAAGCATTGTCTGGCCTGTGCATAACTGCCTCTTTCTCCAGACAGCACAGTCTGTTTGTCCTCCTATGTCTGGCATCCCACATGATTTTTTTCAGTAAGGTTTATTTATTTTTGAGAGACAGATAAAGAGAGCATGCACACGTGTGCGAGTTGGGGAGTGGCAGAGAGAGAGAGGGAAAGAGAGAATCCCAAGCAGGCTCCACACCATCAGCATGAAGCCCGGTGCTGTGGCTTGAACTCCGGAACCACAGGATCATGACCTGAATCGAAATCAGGAGTTGGACAGACCCATGTGCCCCCACGTGATTGTTCTTGCTGTTCCTGCAGAGAAATGAGTGAGAGAGGGGGCTGTTTTGAAAAGATGGGAAGAGTCCTGGCCTAGACAGCACAGCAGGCAAATTCTCCAATTCTCTCGTTTGATTCTTTTCTTCCTTGGGGCCATGAGAGACATCGGGAGGTGACGGTCAGGACTCACAGCAGATGGTCAAGACTCACAGCGGACTACTTGCCGAGACAGAAATTGCAACTGATGTCTGGCAGTTATTGCCCTCTGGTCCAATAGTAAACTCATTTGGCTTCCACCGTCTCTTTCCCCAGCTCCCCAGTCTTGGGAATTCCACACTGGATAGTTGCTTCATGACATTTAAAAAAACTGAAAAATTCCAGTATCTCAAATCAGAGTTTTCAGTTGGCTGCTGGTATCCGAATTAATGGAATTATCTAAAAGGGTGTCAATACTGGAGGGCATTGATAGAGGATAGAGTATCAGTGTTTTTATCATTAATGACTATTCTCTTTGGTTATTACGGTACTGTATATTACTCAAGCGTTGTTCAGAATAAGTGTCTCAGGATATCCATTTAAGAAAGGAAATCAATTGTTGCAGTAAAACTTTTTTCTGAGACTTGACCAATAAGAAAACTCTAGAAGCATGTATTTCTGTCACTCCCTGAGACAAAGCTTCAATTTAATAATCACCAAAATCTGACCAATATGTTTAAATAAGGTTACTAGTGCTTATTTTATTCCTTGGGCTTTTTGAAAGGCAACAAACAGTCTAAAAATTCTCACAGAACTTCTCCAGCATTAATGATTTTCATGAATCTTCCCTATTCAAGTTGACTTCCTGTGGAGAAGAGCAAGAGCAAAGGGAGGCATGGGGGATTATCTGGGGTTATGTGACATTTTAAGTTGGTTATCCCTCACTTTGCTGTTTAACAAAGATCTCAAAACATATTACCTGAGTGATCTTTGGTCATGAAGTCAGTCTTTTGGTGTGATTACATAGAATTAAATTTTTTCTGATTCAGCATTACGGTCTTCCTTTAGTGCTATCTGACATGGTCAGAGGAGAGCTGTTTTCCTTCAGCTTTAACCGTATTTTTTAAAAAAATTCACATTATCTTCATGGGTTTGTTATCTCAAGAAAAGCACCTTTAAAAGGCTTATAGTACAGCTCTTCAGATGTGAGAATCTTTTTATTCCCCCCTGAATTCCCTTTCTCTTAACATTACAAAAAAAAACCCAAATTCAGGGGCTCAGATAAGTTTTATGTCCTGTGTCCTTTGTAAACTCTGTGCTTAGTGTCTTTGTTTCGTTTCTGTGACCAGTACGCTGGGAGCGGACCCTTGGAGCCATTGTAAGGCAGAAGAATCAGCCCATGACCCCTGAGGCGGTGAAGGCCAATTGGAAGAAGATCTGTGACTTTGAGAGTGCCAGCAAGCCCCAGAGAATTCAAGGTAGAGACCCAGCTCCCTTCACTCCTGGCTGGGAAGCCAGAGGCAACAGAGCATTCTCTCCTCTTACGGACCTGCCTTCTGGTTTTTTGTTTTTTTTTTTAATAGTTTATTGTCAAGTTGGTTTCCATATAACACCCAGTGCTCATCCCCATAAGTGCCCTCCTCCATGCCCATCACCCCCATCTGCCCTCAGTTTGTTCTTGGCATTCAAGAGTCTCTCATGGTTTGCCTCCCTCCCTCTCCTCCACTATTTTTCCCCTTCTTCTCCCCATTGGTTCTCTGTTAAGTTCCTCCTAATCCTCCTATACATGCAAACATATGGTATTTGTCCTTCTCTCCCTGACTTATTTCACTCAGCATAACACCCTCAAGGTCCATCCATGTTGCTCACATGGCCAGATTTCATTCTTTCTCATTGCCATGTAGTATTCCATGGTATAGATAAACCACATCTTCTTGATCCATTCGTCCGTTGATGGACACTTAGGCTCTTTCCATGTTTTGGCTATTGTTGAGAGTGCTGCTATGAACATTGGGGTTCATGTGCTCCTATGCATCAGCACTCCTGTATCCCTTGGGTCAATTGCTAGCAGTGCTATTCCTGGGTCATAGGGGAGTTCTGTTGTTAATTTTTTGAGGAACCTCCACACTGTTTTCCAGAGGGGCTGCACCAGTTTACATTCCCACCAACAGTGTAGGAGGGGGCCCATTTCTCCACATCCTTGCCAGCTTCTAGAGTCCTCTGATTTGCTCATTTTAGCCAGTCTTACTGGCGAGAGGTGGAATCTCAGTGTGGTTTTGATTTTTATTTCCCTGATGACTTGCCTTCTGTTTTTAACTAGTGCCTGGTTTCTGTTCCATGAGCTATTAGAACTCATGATATAAGATATGTATGTCAACCCCCACTGCCAGTTTGTCTGCTGTGTTTTGTAATCCTGTGTTTGGGGTGCACGTCCGGGTGGGGGATGGTATGAGCTCTTCACCCTTTTGTGCTCTGTGCATCTACTCCCTGCCTGACGGTTCATTTCAGAGTCTTCTCTCATCTAACCAGACACTGCTTACCTCAGCTGATTTTTCTCCATTTCCCAAAAAGTTCATGTAGGCCAGTTTTATTTAGTCTTAGTTCTTTTCTGTCCAGTGAGTAGATTTCGTGTTGTTTTAGCCCTTCGTCTTTGCTGCTATGTTTCTGCCCTTCTCCGATCCCCCTTCCTGGGGCCCCTGGGTGGTTCAGTCAGTTAAGCGTCTAGTTCTTGATTTCAGCTCAGGTCATGATCTCACGGTTTTGGGGGTTCCAGCCCCATGTCAGCGGAGAGCTTGAGATTCTCCCTCTCTCTCTGCCCCTCCCCTGCTATCACTCTATTTAAGTGAGAAATAAAAAATGCCCCTTCCAGGGCAGCTGGGTGGCTCAGTCGGTTAAGCATCGGACTTCAGCTCAGGTCATGATCTCACAGTTCTTGGGTTCGAGCGCTGCGTCGGGCTCTGTGCTGTCAGATTCTGTGTCTCCTTCTCTCTCTGACCCTCCCTTGCTCACACTGTTTCTCTCTCTCCCAGAAAAAACAAAACAAACAAAAAAACATTAAAAAAAAAAAAAAGCCCCTTCCTGCCTATATTACCTCTCCTGACCTCAGTGCTTCTCTAGAAATTTAAACTCAGGCCCTGGATGTTCAACCAAACCTCCCCAGATATTTTAGGCTCCACTGATCTCTCTTTTAGCTGGACTCTGACCATAGCATCTGCTCAGAGCTGCTTTTGTGTCGTAAATCTGTGGTTTCTTAACTGAACAGGAAGTTCCTTTGGTGGCAGAGACTGTGTCTTGTAGGTGCTTGTTTTGTATTTGGTGCTCGGTGGGTGCTCAACTCAGGATTCGGCAAATGCTTGTTACCTGGAATTATCCAGTCATCTGTGATTTGCCACAGGAATAGACAACCAGTAAAAGACACATTGTTTTTTCTAGTGTAACTCATATCTGCATATACTATATGAAGTTTATTTTTATTTATTTTTTTAAGTATATGAAGTTTATAGGATTTTTCTGGGAAAGATAATGATTCAGGGATATTTGGTAGACAAACCTTTTTTTTTTCTCTCTTAGTAATTTTATATTCAGTGTTTAGTAGGAGACTATATCTTAAAAAATGACTATTCTTGTATTTTTTCCTTCTTTAATGACACTTTCCTGCCCGCTGGTACCCTCATTGAAATATTCATTATGCTCTCTCTCAACCAGATGATAACATGATTGTTGTTTCATTAATGGTAGCATTTTCTGTATTCCATATTTTTCTGCTTGTGATAAATTCAGCCTGTGAATAATAGTTACCCATCATGGAAAATAAATGAAAGAAAAAAAAGAAATACATTAAAAACTTTCCTCTGATGTCCAAGTTGGACATGAGAAGCTAACTGAATTACATAATTCTAAATGAAAATCTACATTGGAAGTAGAGTTAGAAGAAACATGTCACATTTTCTGTAGAACTGTTCTCGGGTTACCGATGACAGAACTAAATCCCAGAAAAATACCATAACTGGCCCAAGCCTCCTCAGTGTTTGAGCCGCATTAACTCAGGTTGCCTGTGTCTCTGTGTGTCCTTTCAGCACGTAGCAAGGTGACGTTCAGTTAAAAGTCTCCCTCTGGCCGCATTCTTAGTGGGGCGGTGAGGGGAGGATTCAGAAGCAAGAAGCTGGCTGATATCCCTGGTCACATCAGTCTGTGGTTTGCTTATAGATTTTGTCCAAGGTTAGAAGGAGGCCTGTACCTCTAAGGTTTGTTAGGTTCCAGAATGTTTGGAATCTTCTGGCATATTTGGAAGCCCCGGGAGTCTCCTTTATTAACCTTTTAGACCCCAGAACAGCAGCTTCTGAACCCTGTTTTCAGTCTATGTTCATAATGATGGTTTACTCTGGAAGAATTTTTAGTACCGACTTCAGAGCTATCACTTGAAACGTGGCGGGGATTGGGGGATAATCTTGGCCTTGTTCCATCCTGAAGGAGGGGCGATGATGGGGAGAGAAGGGAAGTTTGTTTTTCCTTCACCAAAACTTGCATGTCTCTGGATAAGGATCTCACTTTACAGAGTTGTAAAGTCGATCAAAGACTGCAAAGCTCATGGCCTCCGGGGAATCAAAACCCAGGAAGAGAATGTTGGAATCCCTTGTTTTCCATTGAAAACACCCAGTGATCTTTGGTCTATTTCAGAGTCTTTCATAATTTCTTCCTGTAATAGTCTGACCTCCTATATTCAGTTCATGAGTGCCTGTGAAGGTCCTTTGGCAGGCTTGCTCACTGTTAGAGGAATGATTATCTAGCATGTTGTTGGATTTCTTAGTCACGTCTGTAACAGAAGCATCTTTGCTGTTATTATTATTTTCTAGAATCTGTTGGCAGTATAATTGAAGCTGTAAATAAAATCGATTCAGGTGGAGGAGTTTCAACAAATGATACGAGTCATGCAGCATCAGGAGGAGTATCAACATTTGTAAGTAGGAGAGAAAAGCCTAAACGCTGTGCCTTTTCTTAAGCTTCTCTGTTTTCTTTTTTTTCTTTGTCTTTTCTTTCATACAGAAATATTATTTTCCAAGCTATTAGTTCATTGTTAAATAGGAAAGATAAGTGACAAGAGTTTTCTTAAAATATGTACTAAATATTTAGAGAATTTGAATGAACATGGGGCTAAGATGTAGCCTTATATAACTTTTACTTTCCTTTCTTTAGTATAATTGTACAAGTGTCTTTTCTTTCTTTTGGAGTATTGTTGGTAATCCTCCTGTAGTTACTGTTTTTTCTAACTTTTTAGAAAAGGATATCTATTTAAGTGTCTCTTTTGAGTCTTGTTTTTTTAGGGAAAGCACTGATAGATTGTATTTTGGAACTGTTTCGACATCACTGCAAATAAAGGTCCTCCCACCATGTCAGAAATTCTGATAGAATGGTAGTTATAGCTCATGTGAAGTTTGTTGATTTACTGTCTCCTGTACTTAGGCTTTAACAAAAAATCGTAGCGCATAAATAGAAAAAAGACATTTGACGCATTCAATTTTGGTGTTTCGTGACTCAGGGCAGACATAGTGATAAAGTTAAAAATCTAATTTTAACCCTGAGAATTTGATCGGGTTATCAATATGATTTTACCCTAGAATAGGCATTGGCAAACTTTTCTGGGAAAGGGCCAGATAGCAAATGTTTTTGACTTTGTGGACTACATACTATTCCTGGTCACATATTCTTCCTGTTTTTCTTTTTTTTTAACCACTGTTTAAAAATATAAAAACCATTCTTAGCTTTCAGCCCTTGTTTGACTCCTGTTTCAGAATGAACGTGGTTGACTATTGGACATCATTCCTTTTTAACTTATTATCTACTTCACACATTAGCGGCACACATCCTCACTAAGTAGAAAAATACAATATCGAGTTAGATGAGAGACATTCCTAGTGAGGAACCTAAGGTAAAAAAATCTCATTAAAACCATTCTGAGGCCATTTGCTTATCTGTTTACATTCAGTTTATACAGTAGCTCCTATGGGGCAATTCACTATCTCTATTTATGACCTATTCATTATTATTATTATTTTTTGTATTTTTGAGTTTGTAATACTTGCTGAAATAATAGGTCTTGTCACCATCAGAGACATGAAATTTGAAAATGAGACATACAATTAGTAAGAAGCAAATTATAAAAAAAGTCCTTATCTGTAAATGAAGTTCTTTCCTACACATTTTCTAATTGTATTCTATTAAAATAAAGTCTAATGAAACAATTATGACACTCCATGAAACTCACGAACATGACATTCTATTCACCTGTCTTCAAAAGCAAAAACCAGGTACATAAGCAGTTAATAGGTTTGGAAAAGTTAAAATGCTAAGGATTTGACAAAAATATTAGTGAAAAAATAATTTTCTTTCTCTGTCTCATAGACTAGAGTCATTGGCTATAAATTCCCTCCATTTTCTTCTACTTACACGGAGCTGGAAGCTATTATGTATGCCCTTGGTGTGGGGGCATCAGTGAAGGAGCCAAAAGATATGAAATTTATATATGAAGGAAGCTCTGATTTCTGCTGCTTGCCTACGTTTGGAGTTATTATAGCTCAGAAACCTGTAGTAGGTGGCGGATTAGGAGATATTTCTGAGCTTCCGGTCAGCTTGGAAAAGGTATGTATAATAAGAAACCTTTATTTTGCTTTTCTTTGGTTTCTTCAAATATGATTGATAAATCTCACATTGTGTGCGTATTAATAAAATAGCTTGTGGTGGTTGGCTCAGGAATAAAGATTTAGCATTTCTTTTGATTTTCCTTTTTAAGTACACAAGAGAAGAGACTTAGGTGAAAGGGCAAGAAGAAAGAAGAAAACAGCAGTTAGGTCCAGTCTCACGACCCTGACATGATGGCCTTCATCCTCTCTCTACCATTTACTTGCTGTTTGACCAAGGGTACAGAACTTCCCAAAGCTTGGTTTCCTTATCTATAAGACAGATGTGATAACTCTTGCTTGATGATAGTGGTGAAGGAACAAGCCAGGTAATGAGCTGGGAAGAGTATCTGAGACAGCTAGAACAAGTGTAAAAGGCCCTGAGGCAGGTGCATACTTGGCTTATTTTTAGAGCAGGTAGAGGGCCAGTCTAGCTGCAGGATGAACCAGAGGGGCCGTGGTAGAAGAAGAGGGCCCTGTAGTCATTATGAGGACTTTGGCTTATGCTCTGAGTAACTAACATGGGAGGCTGCTGTAGTGCTTTTAACTGAAGAGTGACATGACCCGGCTGTGTTCACTCACAGGCTCATTTTTGCTGCTGTGTGGAGAATAGATTATATGGGAGCCAAGCAGAAGCAGGCAAACCAGTTAGGAGTCTGTTATGGTAATTTAAACAAAAGGCTGGATGTGAGTCAAAGGAAAGAGGAGTCATAAATGATATTTTTGTTTTTTGTGTTTTTTTGTAACTGGGATGAAATATATGCATATATGTCTCTATACATTATTTGTAATCAATCATATAATGTATTTAGTATGTATAATAGTTACATAGAACATAGTAAGATAGGTATATACAATTACTTTAAGGTGGGGATGGTCAGGAGTTGGCTTTGGACAGATTTGAGATTCTCTTATACAGTCAAGTGGAGACGAAAAATGGGCAGTTGAATATTTGAGTCTTGAGTTTGAGGGGAGAGGCCTCACTAGGGTTCTTAGACTTTAAGTGATATTTGAAGACCCAAGACTAGATGAAATCACGTAACGTGTGAGCGTAAGTAGAGAAGAGACTGGGCTCAGGGACCCTACAAGTGTTGAGAGGTTGAAGACATGAGGAAGAATTGGCAAGGGAGATCGAGAAGGAAAGGCTGGTGAAGTGTGAGCTCTGCCGAATACCAGGAGAATGTGGTATTTTAGAAGCAAAATGAACAAATTGTTTCAAGAAGGAAGGAGTGAACACCTGTGAGAACACCTTTGAGGTGAGGCATGTTTCATTTCTTGGAGTCAAGGTTCAGGTAATGAGTTCAGGGATAGCTGTTGAATCCTAGATCTCTGAGCCAATTTCTGTGCCTTTGGTGATTCGAGGACCCATTGACTGGAGGATCGATTAGCCCATTGCTGCTCTGCATCTGTGAGAACTTTATGTATCTGATGAATTGGGAGGGAGGCAAGAGATATGGACCAGGCATTTTGTTGTTCTAGTAACTGTCCCATGGTATTTGCTGCATACAGTTCTGTTTGGATACATGAAGTGCAAACAGTTAAAGCAGATGTTTCAGAATTCTGCACTGTTCTTGTTCAGAGTCAGGAGTTGGAAAATATGGTGTTCAAGATCTGTGGCCAGAAATAATGGCCCTTTGAATTGAAATCCCTGTCTTCCCAGCCTCGAGTTTCCAGGCCATTAGATACAGTGGGCCATCCTCCATTTGTCCCATTTTTTCCCCCTTCTGGGTCCTGAGGAACATAGAATTAAAGGTGTCCCATAGCAGTGGGGTGTGGTCATTTGAATATGTGGGTCAGGTTTTGTTTTTTCTGTCCTGTTATTTTCCTACAAATATTGGTGTATTCTTGCTTCCATACATTGAGGTCAAATGGCCCTCGGGTTGCACAATGTCCTTAGTATCTACTGATAGATAATTTATAAGATGTGTCTGTGTCTATATCTGTATCTATAGAAAACTTGTAAGACTACACTCAGGAGATATTGACAATGATAGTGCTTTTACTTTGAACATGGTTTTAATACTCTAATGTTTTAGTTGAGTTGTTTGTATTTGGTATATGTGATTTGAAATTCATTTAAAACTTATTTTGTTTTATTTTATTTTTAAATACTTTATTTTTGAGAGAAAGACAGAGACAGATACAGAGCAAGAGCAGGGAAGGGACAGAGATAGAGGGAGACACAGAATCTGAAGCAGGCTCCAGGCTCTGAGCTTTTGGCACAGCGGGGCCCAAACCCACTAACCGTGAGATCATGACCAGAGCCGAAGTTGGAGGCTTAACTGACTGAGCCACCGAGGCGCCCCAACATTTTTTTAACTTGAGAGAGAGAGAGAGACAGAGACAGAGAGAGAAGGAGAACGTGTGTGAGTGAGGGAGAGGGGTGGAGAGAGAGAGAACCTTAAATCTTAAGCAGGCTCCTTGATCAGCACAGAGCTCAATGCAGGGCTCGATCCCATGACTCTGGGATCATGATCTGAACCAAAATCAAGAGTTGGGGTGCTTAACCGACTGAGCCACCCAGGTGCCCCCAATTTATCCATTTTGATTCAACAGATATATGTTAAATACCCACTATGTTCCAGGCACAGTGATAAGCACTGGAAATATAGCCTAGTTTAGTGTTTGCATCAGCAAGTGATCCATAATTAACAGTCAGTAGGGATTTTTGAATGTCAAGAAAGAACACATAGATATCTTTTCTGCTCCTAAAGATCTGACAGTCTTTAAATTGGGAGGCTGATTATTTCTGAATAAGATTGATTATGATTATGATTAAGAAGTAGAAGCCAAACTGAGACCCATAATTAGGGGGAGTAGTGATGTGAGCGTGTGGCCAGTGAAATATCACTTGTGATTAGCAATATTCACAGCAGAGCTTGTGGAACAGGAAAGTCTGCTAATAAAATTTTGTTCACCCTAACATAGGTTCTCCACGGGGAGCATTACTTGGAGTTATATAAACCACTTCCCAGATCAGGTGAGTTCTTGATACACAGATTCCTTAGTCATACCCTGATTTTGTTTCCTGACTGATCTTCCAAACTGTGTCATTGTGTTAAACTGGCCTAGAGTGACTTAAATAAGTCATTTCACAAGGCCTGGATGTGATTGATGGGAAGCATAACCTGTTTCAGTGACCTTAAGCTTTGTCCTTTAATAGTGTTATTTAATAAATTATTTCAGAATACTAATAATGTATCTCCAATGAGGTATGTGTCCTTAACAACTGAAAAGGAGTCTCTGCTGTGATTGTGTGTTCTAAACTGAGTAATTGTATATAAGCAGCTATGATTCCTATGAATGATGGTTTTTGGTTCCTTTCTCAGGTATTTATGTCGGTAGCAATTTTCATAAAGCAAACCACAGTAAAAGAGAATTTTTTGTAATTAACTTTTCCTGTTTTGGAGTAAGTAAAATCAAGTCTGCCTTAATAATGAATTTTCTTTTTTTCAGGAATATCCTACTTGTTCAGTAAAACTGCTTTTCTTATTCTTCCACTATAATTTGATACATTTGTTTCAGCGCTCTAATGTCAGCATACCGTCTAATTAAATACTGACCAAATAAGGTGGTAAAATACAAAAAACATGCCTCTTTATCATTTCACCTTATGTAACGTGAAAGTCAGCAGGTGGCTAGAATAGAATCCTCCATTCCTGTTTTCCCAAGTCTTTTTATTTGACTAAAAAATTTATGAGATCATTATTGTTTAAAGCCAAATAACCTTATTTCAGTGTCACAGCGGACGTTTTCACACAGCTGTTTTTATCTGAAGCCTTCATCACACATCCGCTAGTTTCCTGCCATGTGCAAGGAAGGCAGAGTTTTCAGTCCTAGATATGTTTTCTAACCTGGCTACCTACTGACCCAGCCTGTTATCACGTCATAGGACGTTACCTGTTATTTTAAATAAAACGCGGTGTCTGGATCCCCACCGTGGAGGTTTTGTGTGCACGCATGCGCCGTGTGAGCACGCATGCGCCATGCGCACGCGGTGTGGTGGCGGCGCCGGCGGCCATGGCGGAGGCCTGCAGGCGCCCTCTCTGTGGCCTGTGCTAGCCAGCCTACCATGGGCTCCCTTGGGAACCAGGGTTATAAAGGAAGTAGGAGTGTATAAGGGAGATTCCTGCCCTTAGGGATTTTAAATACGAAGAGAGAGACGCAGGGATGTACCCCAAAACGATTACACCTGGAAAGTGATATGAATAGGTGTGGAAACTGTTTTTCTTAATTTCTCGTACCCCCTTAGCCTCAAATTACGTTTCTCATGAATTATTTTTCTTCAGTAGCTTCTGCACGTTTTCTTTAAGGACTTTTAAAGCTGCCTCTCTAATAAATATGAACATTTCAAAATTTGAGATACTTATGATTTGGAACCTCTTTAGACTGCAGAAAACTAAGGTATGACTGCTATTTATAATCTTCCCATAAAACCCAGCAGGTGATGAGACGCAGGACCATAAGCATCAGGAGACTGATGTCAGCGTCTCTGTGTCTCTCATTGATTTTGTCAGCTTCAGTGTTACTGTCAGAGGCTGAGTGACCCCTCCTGGGTGTAAAAAAAGAAGCATTAGACAGAGAACATGAAACCTAAAAGCATTGTTTTGTGTGCATTGTGAACTAGACCATGATCTAGTTCAGGATATGCTGGTCTCCAGATTTTCTGGGTTTTAAAAGTTTGATCTTCATTATGTGTCTAGGTGATGTTTCAAATGTAGTGACTAAGGTATTCTCTTTCCTTTTAATGTTGAATGACTCAGCAGTACCTTGAAAACTATTTCAAAGCATAATTTTGTAGTTTTGCTGAACTTACAGTGGAAATTTTGTTAAATCTCTCAGGTCTTAATATAATGACCTTATGTTCTTTTTAAAACAGAAGATTGATTAATTTTGCTGTTCATTTCAGGAACCCTAAAATGTGAAGCTGTTGTTGCTGATGTCCTAGATAAAGGATCTGGTTTAGTACTTCTTGTGGATAGTAAGTCACTTTCAATTATTACAATACTATTGTTAGATCTACAGGTCTTGTGTTTGTAACATGATGCTTCACCATAGAAACTGATCAGTAAGTTCACATTCATCTTTCACTTTGTGAGACAGCAAGATAAAGATTAGCGTTCTAAAACTTTATAAGCTCTTAGAAAATAAGTGAGTATTGGGAGAAGGAGCAAGTTGGCGTAGAGGTGGGAAGAGTGGGTCATTTTAGGGGATTTGAGACCACATGACCAGAGCACAGAGCTGCAGACTGGAGCTGGTGGAGAGAACATAGTGGTGCCTGGAGTTCAAACTTGGCAGGAAGCAACACATTGACAGCCATCACTGGATAATTGGGCTGTATTGTAGATACTTAGGTTTTTGTTAGCTCTTTGGAACTTGGAACATATTTGACCTCTCAATCATTTTCATAAATGGTGGCTAAGTACCTAATGTTGTGCATTCAAGCCTGTTGAACCCAAATGTGGTTTAATCACCACAGCTATATTTTATTTGCTGTGGGAGGGAAAAAGATTACAGTAGTTTAATAAAGGTTGACATACTAGTAATTAGACATCAGCTCAAGATACATTGCTTAAAATTTATGTATTCTCAAGTTTAAGAAGAAATAGATCTTGGGGCGCCTGGGTGGCTCAGTCGGTTAAGCATCTGACTCTTGATTTCAGCTCAGGTCATGATCTCATGGTTTGTGAGATTGAGCCCCACATCAAGCTCTGCGCTGACAGCATGGAGCCTGCTTGGGATTCTCTCTCTGCCCCTCCTCTGCTCCTGCTCTCTCTCTCTCAAAATAAATAAATTAACAAAAAAAAATCTTTAAGAAAAAGGAGAAATAGATATCTAGCGTCAAAAATTTTGGAAATAGAGTGGGAAGTTTAGTATTTTCTGATAGTTGGAATGTAGGCTTCATCATCTTTGTTCTAAATATATAGAAGTTATATGTATATATACTGTATATGCTACTTGGGAACTTGCTTTATTTTTACTACATAATATGTTGAGGACATTTTTGATGCTCTTAAATATTCTCCTACTACATTGTTTGTGTTAGCTCACAATATTTCATAGTATGTCTTTTCTTTTCCTCTTGCTGTCTTTCTTGTATTCCTCTTCCTCCTCCTCCCTCGTCTATTTTAGATTTTTGTGTTTTCTTGTCATTCCAGAAGTTGGTCGAGATTTGACTGAACCTATCATAGTTTTCTTTTTTTTTCTTTTTTTATTGTTACTATTTTTAAGTTTATTTATTTTGAGAGAGAGAGAGTGAGAGTGGGGGGAGGGGCAGATAGAGAGAGGGAGAGAGAGAGAGAATCCCAAGCAGGCTCCACGCTGTCAGTGTAGAGCCTGACATGGGGCTCAGTCCCACGAACTGTGAGATCGTGACCCAAGCCGAAACTTAGAGTCAGGTGCTTGATTGACTGAGCCACCCAGGTGCTCCTCTCCCAGTTTTCTTTTACTCTTCTCCCCGAGCTATGGAACGTGTGACATACCACAGAATGAAGTTTCTGCAGTAACCTTAGCTTTCATTTTTATTATTTTCTCTTGACCTGCTTCATTTATTTAACTATAGCTTGGTATTGGGTAATACTGTATTAGAATTTGTAGACAAATTGCAAATGAAATCAGATGTCCAGTTTCATGTTTAATATAGATAAAAATCTTATTTTAAATACAGATTGCCATGACCTTCCTTATTTTTTGTTATAATTAGATTTTTTCTTTAATACGCAGTTCAAAGTCATATTTCTAATTTTCTAGAGCTGGAGATAAAGATAGTACACTCTAACTAGGAAGTTAGTAGCAAGAGGGACAGCTGTCCTACATTCATTCATTATTTGCTTACTTACTCACTAATTCATATCATTTATCATTACTCATTAACTTAATAAATATTGGTTAGGTGCCTTTTCTCTCCCAGGTACTATTCTGATTGCTGGGAATATGATGGTGAGCAACTCACCCATGATTCTGTCCTCCTGAAGCTTATGCCTTGATCCTCACTTATTTCTTTTTTTGTATTTTAGGTTCTTTTTTTTAAGTATTTAAAAAATTTTTTTTAATTAATTTATTTTGAGAGAGAGAGTGAGAGCAGGGGAGGGGCAGAGAGAGGGAGAGAGGGCAAATTCTAAGCAGGCTCCATACTGTCAGCCCAGAGCCTGACTGTGGGGCTCGAACTCATGACTGTGAGATCGTGACCTGAGCCAAAATCAGGAGTCAGATGCTGAACCGACTGAGCCGCCCAGGCGCCTGCCCCCCCCCCTTCTCTCTCTTTCTCTCTCTCTCTCTCTCTCTCTCTTTCTCAGTATTTATTTATTTATTTTGAGAGAGAGAGAGTGCAAGCAGGGGAGGGGTGTCTGAGCCATGCAGACGCCCCTCCAGGCTCTTTTTGAGTCCTTTGGCAGAATGTGTGAACGTTTGAGAGTGTGGATACCTGCACTGTATAGTGGGGTTTTGTGAAATGTTTGAGATGCGAGAGTTGAGATAGGATAGGCAGTTGGGGAGGCTTAAGAAGAGGTGAAAGAAACGGCTATTTCATAGTCAAGGAAGGGTATGTGAAGGTCCTGTGCACTCTGCCTTCTAGACACCGGTAATGAAGGAATTAAAATGATGCTTTTAAACTAAACAGACTCTAACTTATCAGACCTTCTAGTGACTAGATCTTGTCTTTGAAACTTTTAAAGGAATTGCTGATCATGTCTTGGTTAACTGGTCATGTCTTTTGATAATAACTTCCTTTAATTTTTCTTTGATTTGCTTTTCAGTCTATTCTTACTTTGAGAAGGAACTTGTATGCTATAATCAGTTTTCTGTCTTCTTCGTTGACGGTGGAGGCTTTGGTGGAAAACGGACGTCAGGCAAAGTCAAGGTAAGCTATGGCTTTAGAAGCAAAATAATAGGGGTACATAAGTATCCGGGTGTATGTTTTGAACTTCTCATATTACCATATGTGTGATTTAACAGAGTAGATCCTCAGTAATTCACGCTTCTTTGAATCAGAGTATCCTTGAATTAACTGGAAGTGCTACTTATGTTTGAATATTTTAATATATAACACATGGTATATAGATAAGTTTGGCTGACATAAGTATAATGTACCTGAGATAATTATGGGAATGTTTTTACCTTCTTCTACAAACTTTGCATCACCCAGAAATCTTTAGGAAAGCCCAACACATGCGAGTAATCCTTGTGTAAGAAAAAAATCTTCATTCATTAAATGACTTAAGACGATTGTGTTAAGACAATTCTAGTTACTCTTTAGTTTTCAAATTCTGTCTAAAAACACTTTTTTCTAAAAATATGTTTTAACTTGAATGTTACTTTTAATTTAACTTGGCCTTTACTTCTGATTTATTTGAGGTAATGAGATTATAATGTAGCAAATATTCTGGATAAGTGAAGTACGCTTAAAGCAGTATTGAGAAACTGCTTCTGGAATGATGGTGTGAGGAGTCCCCTGGACCCTCTCCCCAGTGAGTCCGTCATAACACCTGACTGAAAACATAAGTCATAACATAACAGGTCTAAGTTAAAACAAAAAGAAAAACATTTAAAGTGGGAATTGTCCTAGGGGCACATAGTAAATTAGGAAGTATTTATTCAAGAAAGTCTTTATCTTGATAAGAACACTGAGATTCTGTGGCATCAGAAGCCACAGTCTTCTCCTTTCTCCCTGGTCACCCCGCTCAGCATAATGGCAGCTCCAGTCTAGGCATGTGCAGCCCAAGCACAGGATCCCTTGTCCTTGCTCCCAGAAAAGGGCCAGGCTGGCTTCCCAGCAGGAGCAGCTCACCGAATTTTCTTACCCCCGCCCCCTGGCTTGTGTTGTTGAAGCTCTGTTCCAGATTGAAGTGGCTAAGAGTTACAGCATTCTCATTCTCTACCCAGCCTCCATGTGCTCCACCCATAGTGGGCTGAGAAGACTCAGGGACCTAATCCCTTTTGCTCCAACTTGCCCACAGGGTGAGGGAAGCTGAGGAGGCCAGAAGCTATTACACCCGCCCAGCCCAACTCCTTGTAGAGTGAGTGGGCCACCATCTTCGTCCCTACGTTTCCTGCAGTGGAGTAGAGGTTATGCCCAGGGGCTGAGGCAGGCTGTAATAACAGAGATCTCTGAAGCTCTTCCCAAGGAAATGGACTCATCTTGGAATAGAGTATTTGGAAATTCAAAGGTAAGGGTGCCCACAGATGCTAGGTTGTAAATAAACAACCTCGAGGAGCCTAGTAGCTCCATGAGAACAATAAGCTAACAACTAGCCCACCAGAAGTTCTCTAGAGAGAACCATGGAAAGAGAGAGCTAAGAAGAGCCTGCATCGGATCATAACAAAGACTGGCCTGACCTTAACTGGATTGGACTGTAGAGTGATTTATGCCCCAGGGCATTATTGAAAGTAATAGAGCAGTCACCTGGCAGTCAGTTGAGCCTAATAGTTGGTTATGATACCACCTGAGGCAGACACTTGAGCAGAGAGGTCCTGGGAGGCAGTCTCTGAGAATGCTGGTAAACCCACGGTCCTCATCCCAGGGTAGCTGACTCTGTTCTTGCCCAAGGCTCTAGCTCTGAGGAGCAACACCAGAAGCTGCTCACTATTGCAGAAACAGACGTAGCTGAAATAATGTAGCCAAGGCACCACACAAACAAACAAATCAATAGTAACCACAAGCCTGCTAGGGGATAGGAGGTCAGTATCCAGAGTTGCTGTAATAGGTTATCTAAAATGTCCAGTCATCAACAAAAAATTATAAGACATGCAAGAAACAGGAGCACATGACCCATAGACAGTAAAATAAAACCAGAACAAAACAGGCAATAGTAACTGCTTTTGAGAGGACTTCATAGACAAAGACTTCAAAGCAGCTCTTGTAAGTGTGTTCACAGAACCAAAGGAAAGCATGCTTAAAGAGGTACCATGGCAGACAGTCATCAAGTAGAGAAAATCAATAAACAGAAATTATGTAGAAGAACCAAATAGAAGTTTTTGGAGCTGAAAGTACAACAAGGGAAATGAAGAATTTTCTAGAGCACTCAGTAGTAGATTTGAACTGGCAAAAGAAAGAATCAAAAAGTTTGAAGATCTTTCTCTCTGTCTGTCTTTCTATTTATCTATCTATCTCCAGAAACAAAAAAGATGAAAAGAAAAAGAATGAGAAGTCTTAGTGAAATGTGGAATACCTTAAGTATAACAATATGCATGTAATGGGAGCACCAGAAGGAGAGGGGAGAGAGAGAGAGAGAGAAAATAATACAAAGGAGTGATGGTTTTGCTGAAGAACATTAATCTACACATCCAAGAATCTCAACCAATTCCAAATAGGATATAGATGGAAAGAGACCCACACCCTTAGTAAAAAGTACATTTAAAGATTAAATCAATATAGGTGGGAATTGTTTGTCTATTTCTTATAGTTATTATCACCTTTTTTACTGGGAAAAGAGTCTTTATCTCTTTCTCTTTGGCGGCTCAGAGACTGGATCTGGTTGTATAATTCCTTTCGTTAAACAGGCTCATTTCAGGGAAATCACAGCATAGATGAGATTTCAAATGTTATCTCCTGAACAGAAATATTTTAAAAACTGGTTTATCTAACTTGCAGATTTTGTTGTTCATCAAATACCAGCTTGAGTAAAGAGAGTACCAGTTACTTTGTTAGTGTTTAGCCTATGATGTTTTTTGATTTCAGGAAGCTGTAGCTGTGCCTGACAGGCCTCCTGATGCTGTGCTTACAGATACCACCTCACTTAATCAGGTAAGATTGTGTCTTTGAAAAGCGATGAAGCCACCTGACCGCTGGCTCTTGAATGTGTAACTCTTGATATCCTGTAGTTTTGTGAATCTAAACATAGAGGCTTTGTCCTTGAACGTCACAGAGATTAATGGCATATTTCCATAGTTGGAATCCGGTCTTTCTACATTTTTGCTCATCACATTTCTTCACCATTTCTTTTTCTTTTTTTTTTTTTTTTTAAATTTTTTAATGTTTTATTTATTTCTAGGAGAGAGAGACAGCGTGAGCAGGGGAGGGTCAGAGAGAGAGGGAGTCACAGANTTTTTAATGTTTTATTTATTTCTAGGAGAGAGAGACAGCGTGAGCAGGGGAGGGTCAGAGAGAGAGGGAGTCACAGACTGAAACAGGCTCCAGGCTCTGAGCTGGCAGTCAGCACAGAGCCCGACGCGGGGCTCGAACCCACGAGCCGTGAGATCATGACCTAAGTGAAAGTCGGACGCTTAACCGACTAAGCCACCCAGGCGCCCTCTTCACCATTTCTTAAAAGAAAATTTAGAATGACTTTTCACGTGTCATTTCAGGAAGCACCCTTCTTTGCTGGCCACTGCCTAACTTAGTAGTGAAGAATTTCATTCCAGCCCTAGTGAGCAGGTTGAGAAGAATTAAAAGGTCACCTTTTCCTCTTTCAGGAAAGAAAGTTGAACTACATTACTTGGGAACAGATTTAAAAAAAAAATTTTTTTTTAATGTTTATTTTAGAGAGAGAGAGAGAAAGCGAGTGAGTGGGGGAGGAGTGGGGGGAGTACTGAGAATCCGAAGCAGGCTCCTGGCTCTGAGCTGTCAGCACAGAGCCCGACAGGCTCGAACTCACAGACGGTGAGATCATGACCTGAGCCAAAGTCGGGTACTTAACTGACCAAGCCACCTAGGTGCCCTGGAAACACATTATTTTATGCCAGCTTTAGTGGACAAGCAAAATAAAGCATCTTAGGAGGGGTAGATGATTTAATGTCTTTTTCTGGGCATAAATGATTTGTTTTCTGATGGAGGAGATAAAATGTCCTATCAGTTGACAAATTCTGTGAGCATGCAGAATCTTTCTTATTTAAGAAACAAAAGGTAACCATAAAGATGAGAAAAGCCACTTTGTGTTTGAGAGTCCCCAGAGATTGTTCCCAGGGTGGCCAGAGGACTAACCACGCAGGTACAGAACGAAAACACAAAGCTCTGAAGATATGCTGTGAGGTATCTCTTGTAATGACAGCAAATTATTTATAAAGTTTACATCATTTTTGATGCTAACTTTGATATGCTTGATATGAGAAGTTCCACAGGATTTCTGTTTGCCAGCAAATACAGATATAATTTCATGAGCCAGAAAGCATTAAGATTTGTACATATTTAATTATATTTTTTTCCTGGGCTTGTATAACCAGGTGACAGAGAGAAGAACACTTTTATCCAGAGATGAATTTTTGCCTCTTTAAATGTTTTGCCCATCCCCATTTCTTATCAGTTTGTTAAGAATGCACTCATATTTGTGTTTAATTAAAGTTTCATAGTAAAATTAATTTTATTAAGGCACTAGAAAGAACAGAAAAGGGCTTCATGGTTTCATGGTTCAGAAAACCCAGCTGTGCTCCCTTATTATGCTGGGGTTACCAAAATGATGAAAGGTACCTGCTGTAGATAAGAGAAGCTGAATAGTTTGCAAAGCTTGAATTTCTACACACAACAAGTAGAGAGATTTTTTCCCCTTTTTTTTCAGAGAAGTAGGACTTTTCGTTCATTTTCAGTGGAGTTCTCCTTTGCTGTGTGACAAAGGGCAGTTTTTAAGTTAACAAATATTTTTTGTATACGTAACGGGCACCTGTCATTTGACAGAGCATTTTGGTCTCATGGAGTCATTTGAAAATCTCATGAAAGCACCTTCTGTTTCTTCAAAAGCCATCTTTCACTAAACTTTGCATAAACTCCAGGGACTTTATGGACTGTTTTAAACTGAATCTGTGCTATAAGAGATACAGATCAAGTGGGAAAACTGTGATCAAGAAGCTGAAAGACACTCAGATACTCAGGATATAAGTGTCAGAATAACTAGGGTACCTCTTCCATGCCGTGAGTGATTAAACACATGCTTTGAATTGCTGAATAAGTGCTGTGGACATTCACAGAAGGGATACCCGCAAGGGAATGGTGTTCAGCAGGCTTTGGTAGGAAAGATGGAACTTAGCTGAACCAAAATGGCGTATAGATAGTCTCTCTTTACCAGAGACGTAGGGCTTGCAGTTTGGCTGGAAAGAGGGTAAGACGTAACGAAAGCTGACTGTAAGAGAAGAGCAGAGCATGGTGGTGTACAAGGAGTAAAAACTGGAGCAGCCACACGACAGAGAAGTGGGAGATGGTCGTGGATGGGTAGATCTTGCAGGAGGAGTGGAAGTAAGGAAAAAATTACACCATTATAGCGTCAGCTGTATCCTAGGCTTTAAATTAAGTCAGTAACTTTTCAATCACTAAGGAAGCTGGCAACCCTATTTTTAGCCCTATCGGTATCACTTCTGGGATAATCTGTTTATCATGTCCTTGGGGGAATTTCTTCATCTTCAAACTGGTATGAAGTAATAAGTGTCCTTTAGAGTCTTTTACAATTAGTAAATAGAAAATTCATTTTTGTAATCTAGAAATGCTAAAGAATAAATAGTATTAGATGTTAGGCTTTACAGTTGGGGGAGGAATGAAAACAAGTGTCTGTAGTTTCCCAGATAGTTACTAAGCCACTTATTAACAGGATTTTAGCTACTCTCATTTTTTAAAAATTATTTATTTATTTATTTATTTATTTATTTATTTATTTTGAGAGAGAGAGAGAGAGGAAGTGGGGAAGGGGCAGAGAGAAGGAGAGACAGAATCCTGGCGCCGAGCTCAAACTCACAGTGAGATCATAACCTAAGCCAAGATCAAGAGTTGGATGCTCAACTAATTGAGCCATCCAGGTGCCCCAGTACTGTCCTTATTAAATAAAGTTAGTTTTTGACATATTTGTAATTAATTAGTATACTATCCTTTAAAATATTTTTTATTAAATTACAAGGTGTATTATAAGTACTACTTTTTTTTTTTTTTTAATGTCTTTCCGGGTTGACTGGGTGTTCCTTCTGCCTTTGCTTATGTAGCTGTTCTCAGATGGTGGCTGGGCAGGGCCAGGAGGCCCAAGACACCATCTTTCCTAAGTTTAGGGGCTTCTTGCTGACTTTCAGCTGGAGTGCCTCTAACTTTCTCCACAAAGCTTCTTCATGTGGTATCTCCTCTCGCAGGGCCTTTCTGTATGGCCCTCAAGGGGACTGATATGTGTTTAGATTTCTGGAGCTCTTTTCTGTGTAGCTTTCTCCTCTTCAGTACGTACACATTCTAGCTGCATAGTCTCCTGGAACTCTGAGCTTTCTCTCTTTAACTCAGGGAGACATTTTTGCTGTGTTTGTGTTTCCTTTCTTGCACTGCAGTCTGAAAAGTGCTGTCAGAGAGCTGTGGCTGTCTTGTTTGTGTCTCTTCTATCAAGAGTCCTAATCTCAAACTGCTTACTGTGTAACATCTAAGAACAGTGCCTTCCTATTGACCTTAACTTTTTTTTTTCCTAGTTGTTGGCAATAGAAAAGTACTCTCTCATGGCCAGAAGTGTGGATCATAAACCTTTTCATATGCCCTTGGTATCTCATTTTCTCACTTATTACCATACGGTTTTTCAGTATTTATTGTTGTCTTGTTTTTTTTACTTGTTTCCTGTATTAAAGTTAAAGAGCCTATTTTATTTTCTTGTTTCTCTCTCCCTTTTTTTCATCTTTTGAGATGCATTAATTTTACTTTTTCAGAGCATTTAGCATTTATGTATTCTTCATCTACTCTGTTCCCCATCTTTGTTTTTGTCATAGATTTGAAACCGATTGTATCTTTCTTTTTTGCCAAACCTTCCCCCATCACCTCCTGTTTGGATAAAGCCCCTCCTGTGGTAGGTGCCCCAAGAAGGGCTCATGTATATAGTGTTCCTTTGGTTCTTGCTTATTTAAAACTGCTTTTCTATACCTTGCATATTTGAAGAACAACTTGGCTGGATATAAGATCTTGAGTTTCTCAAAAATGATGTTCCACTGACCTTGCTTTGCGTGTGGCTTTTGAGCATTGTGAGGCCAGTCCAATTATCTTTCTCCGAGTTACTTGGTCTTTATTCTTGAGGCTCTCAGGATTTTTCTTTATCTGTTTTCTTTACCTTTAAAGTCAAATAGTTTTACTAGGTTATGTCTCAATGTTGCCCATTCCTGGTTAATGACCCCATGTTGCTGGTAGACCTTTTTAATAGGTATATTTATATAGTCTTTTATTTTTAGAAAGTTTTCTAGGATTATAATTAAAATTTTTTTTAAAAAATTTTAAATTTATTTTTGAGAGAGAGAGAGAGAGACAGAGCACAAGCAGAGGGAGGGGCAGAGACAGAGGGAGACACAGAATCTGAAGCAGGCTCTAGGCTCTGAGCTGTCAGCACAGAGCCTGACGTGGAGCTCAAGCCCACGAACCATGAGATCATTACCTGAGCCCAAGTAAGCCACTCAAGCACTCCTAGGATTGTAATTGTAAATAGTAGTTCTCATTCCTTGTTTTGTTTTTCTTCTTCAAGTACTTCAATTATATATGCATTGGATCTTTTTTCTTCCTTGAGCCACTTTATCTCTGACCTTTTTTGCTTCTTTCTTGGTCTCATTTCTTTCATTTCCTTTTCTTTTTTTTAAGTTTATTTATTTATTTTGAAAGAGAGAGAGAACAAGGAGCAGGGGAGGGGCAGAGGGAGAGGGAGAGAGAAAATCCCAAGCAGGCTCCATACTGTCAGTGCAGAACATGATGCAGGGCTCGATCTCATGAACCATGAGATCATGCTCTTAGCTGAAATTAAGAGTTGGACAGTTAACCGACTGAGCCACTCAGGTGCTCCATCTTAGTCTCATATTTGTTCTCTTGGGTTTTTTTTTTTATAATCTCTATTTCTTCTATACCCCTTATTAAATTTGTATTTGAATATGTTTTCCTTTAGGCATCTTACAATTTAGTCTTCATTTCTGATAGGATTTCCCCCTTCCTTTTGTTTCCGGAGTTTAATTGTATCTTATTTCATTCTTTCATGTTTGTTGTCCCTTGATGTTTTTCTTAGTTTTTGAATTTTAAATTCATGGTGTTTGTTTCATGTCCCCAAAAGCTTGAATGTTATGTTAGTTTTCTTCTCTTTGGTAGTTGTTTTGTTTGGGGAGATTTCATTTGTGATAATGTTTTGGTTCTTATTTCCTCTTTTAGTCTTATAGTAGCTTCATAGAGATGGAGATTACCCACTTGTCTGCAGTTTGAGGGGAAGATTGGTAGTTTGTGATGGTTTACAGGATTCTGTTATTAAGGAATTCAAGATTGCCCTCTTCTGTCAGTATGGCGAAGGGCATTTTCTTTGAGAGATGGCTTTTTTGGAGCAGGACATGGTTGGAAACTGTTTTACTGAAAACATTTTATTTGTTCTTTCTGTTGATCTGTGTGCTATTTTCTGGAGCCTGTGAGGATTTGGGAAGCACAAATTCCTGATCTCTTTTATTTAGCATTTAATTTAACTTAAAGATACAATTTTTAAAAATAAAATTAAGAACTAATTTACTCATATGTAGAAGATACTCCCACTCACATATAATACACAAGTAAGACGATTTATAGCTATTTTTCTTAGTTGTGTGTGTGCATATTTGCAAGTCTTAGTGATTTTTTAGCGAGACAGAAGTGAAATAAAACAAGCTTTTAGCTTTCCTTCTGAACTTTAAAATATGAATGTCCCTCAAAATATTCAGAAAGTAAGCCTTGAACACAAGGGTTCCTTATTGTTTGGAAAATGGTTATTTTGCTTTATGATTGAATTTAGTCAAACATGCAATTACTTGACGTTAGTCATGTCTCATGATGGCTCTTTTTTTGTCTTTGCTTTCTCTGCCATCTATAGGAGGCAGTGCTGTCATTGAAAGAGTATGAAAATTCTCAGGGCAGCTGGGTGGCTCATTCGGTTAAGTGTCCTAATTTGACTCAGGTCATGATCTCATGGTTTGTGGGTTCAAGCCCGGTACCAGGCTCTGTGCTGACAGCTCAGAGCCTGGAGCCTGCTTTGGATTCTGTGTCTCCCTCTTTCTCTGCCCCTCTCCTGCTCGTTCTTGCTCTCTCACTCTTGCTCTTTCTCTCACTCTCTCTCAAGAATAAATAAACATTAAAATAAAAGAAGAAAAAAAGAAAAGGTAGAAAAGTTAATAAATGTGGAGTGCTTGGGGAGCCTGAGTGGCTTAGTCAGTTAAGCGTCGACTTCAGCTCAGGTCATGATCTCACAGTTCGTGGGTTCGAGCCCCACATTGGACTCTGCTGACAGCTCAGAGTCTGGAACCTGCTTCAGATTCCGTGTTTCCCTCTCTCTCTGCCCCTCTCCAAATCACGCTCTGTCTCTCTCAAAAATAAGCATTAAAAAAAAAAAGAATATGAAAATTCTCACATTCCTTTAATGGGATTTCTTTAGGAGAATTTTTTTTCCCATTTATAGGAATGATATCTCTGGCATAGGACTACTGGTACTAATCTGAAAACTTGGCCGTCCTACTCTTGTACAAATGCAGTCGGGGACTGACACTGGCCTCCTGGAGCTGTCTCAGGTGACCTCAAGGAGACTTCAAAAGCAGCAAGAGCCAGAGAACTGATTAAACAGAGACATGAAAGCAGTATTTTTAAACAATCAGATATATAGAAACCTAATGTATTTTAAGTTTATTTGTTTTGAGAGAGACAGAGACAGTGAGCGGGAGAGGGGCAGAGAGAGACAGAGACACAGAATCCTAAGCCGACTCCACACCCAGTGGGACTCGAACTCATGAACTGCGAGATCATGATCTGAGCCCAAATCAGGAGTCAGTCACTTAATTGACTGAGCCACCCAGGTGCCCCGAAACCTAACGTATTAAGATGATCTAAGGGTCTGTCTTGTGTCTCTGTGGAATCAGAAAACATTAATTTTTACATTCATAAAACATATACCTTGTGACATTCAAGTATTTGGAGAACTAACTGCTTGCAAGCACACGTTCCCCTCCCCCTGGAGCTAACATGCTGCAGAGGGGACTCAGGGCAAACGGAAAGACTCTTTTCCAGGTTGGAGTCCTCAGTAAAGCAACAAATAAAGCTGCTTTGAGGTCAGCTTTCTTCCAGTCGACATACTATTGCTCATACCTTTTAAAATAATAACAATAGCTCACATTTATTGAGGTATTAATATTTATTATGGGTAATGCTTTCTAAAAGGTTTATCAAGTGAGCAAATTGAAGCTCGGGGTGGTAGGGAAACTTGCTCATTAAAGGAATAGCTGGATTTGAACCCAGCTGGTATCAAAGCCATGATCTATCTATCATGTGTTGGACAATTTGCCCTTCAGACTCTGAAAATGTATCTTTGTTTTCATTTGTATGCAACATAGTGATATATATTTGGCTAATATTTTTATCGTTTGTAAAGAGCTTTTTAAATATTATCATTTAATCCTCCAACATATTATGCAAAATCTTCCAAGTCACCACTGTAAGATAATTGTTGATTTGATTTACTTATTTTTAGAAGGTAATATAAAAGGGATAATATTGAGCAATTGAGGAAATGAATAATTTAGGCAACTATTATATGGGGTGATGGAGAAGAGAAAGAGCTTATTAAAATTGTACAAAGCATATTAAAAAAGAAAGGACATTTTCCTATGCATTATAGAAAACGTTTTCTATAAATAAAATCTACTTAAAAGGAATAATAATTAAAAACAATAAAAACCCAGTAATTAAGAAAGTCAGATATGCTGACATGATTAGTCTTTATGCAACACTTCCATAGTCTTGGAAAGCTTAACATCGCAATCGATGAGAGTGGGCAGAAGTATTGAGGCAGATACAAGGGGATCAAAATTAAATACAAAATTAGATATATTAAATGCTTACTTTTAGCCATTTTGTGACTCTCTCCCCTTCTGAAAAGTACTCTCTAGTTTGAACAATAAATAAGTGAAGTGCAAGGCTCTCTGGTAACTTTTTTCCTATTGTTATCTGTATCTTTCTGCTCATCTTGCCTCATCTACGTGAAGAAGTGATATGAAAATCTGGGCCAAGCAGAAATGTAATCTTCATGGCAGCCTGTCAGTCTCTCTTCTTGCATGATGAGCTAGTGCTCAGGATTTAGGGTACCAGGGGGATGGACGTTTCTGTTAATCTTTGATGTTTATGTGTCTAGTATTGGTTTATGGCTTCAATTGAAAGCACCCCATTAATTGACCTGAATTATGCTTGGTTAGAAGAGGCTGTAAACATCTACCTTATCTTCATTATGGGTTTTTTTTTTAATGTTTATTTGAGAGAGAGAGAGAGAGAGAGAGATTGAGCACGAGTCAGGGAGGAGCAGAAAGAGGGGGAGACACAGAATCCAAAGCAGGCTCCAGGCTCTTAGCTGTCTGCACAGAGCCTGATGTGGGACATGAACTTGTGAACCTTGAGAGCATGACCATGGCCTAAACCAAAGTCAGATACTTAACTGACTTAGCCACCCAGGGGCCCCTTCATTGTGTTTTAATGAGAGTAGATTGACGGATTCCTTTCTGTGACTTGCTCCTTAGGCAGAGGTAACCGTGGTTTTACCCAGGTGTATTTCTTGGCCCCTTCCCATTACCTGCTAGGTTCCCTCCTCCCCAGGTAATTATAGGGGCAGGTGTTATAAAAAGCATTTGATTTACAGTTCATCTGTGTTAGAGATAGTTATTATTTAAGTAGAGCTTCAATTAGGTATATTATGATACATTTCTTATATAAAAACTGAACATATTTCCTGTTTTTCTTTTAACATTCAGAAAGCACTGAGTGTTATTTATTTTTATAATTCTTTCTCTGCAGGCTGCCTTGTACCGCCTCAGTGGCGACTGGAATCCCTTACACATTGATCCTAACTTCTCTGGTCTTGCTGGTGAGTTGCTCATAATATGTACCAATGAAAACTACTAGTTCCAACGTCTAAATAACACTTAGAGACACTGCTACTTAGGACAGGTAATTTGAGTAGTATTTAAAAAATTTTTTGAATGTTTATTTTTTAGAGAGGGGGGTGGGGCAGAGAGCGAGGGAGACAACAGAATCTGAATTAGGCTCCAGGCTCCAGGCTCCGATCTCACAGCACAGAGCCTGATGTGGGCCTCAGACTCATGAACCACAAGATCATGACTTGAGCCCAAGTCGGACCCTTAACCGACTGAGCCACCCAGGCTCCCCAGTAGTATTTTAAAAATAGACTTTTCCTAATGTATTTATGCTAAGGGTAGGAAAGTAGGAAGTAGTGTTCAGGAGGTGGGGTGCTTAGAATTCATAATTCAGATTGTGGAGGAAGGAAGCTCCTGGTGCAGGGTTAGGATCTTCTCATGTAGGTGGGTGTCTGAGTTATCCTGCCAGGCAAGGACATTGGAGGAGACAGCAAGGAACTGAGAGATTAGGAAAGGATCATCTTCATACCTGGATGTTGAAATCAACATGGACGATTTCATTGTTGCGACCACAGCCAAACACAACAATTCTTTGTGTTCCCACATCTCTCACATTCCTTTCTTGTTTCTTCTCTGTTTGTTTCATAGTTTTCTCCCTGGAAGTATTATTTATGAAATATTTTCCATGTTTCTTAAAATAGGTGGTATTAATTCATCCTAGTGGCATTTGAAGATGTATGTTTGAAATCCTGAATTAACTATCTTTGGCTTTTATATGTATATAGAGAGAGAGAGTGCGTGTGGAGGAGGGGCAAGGAGAGAGAGAATCCCAAGCTGCTTGCCAGAGCAGAGTCTGATGTGGGGTTTGAACCCATGAAACTGTGAGATCATGATGTGAGCTGACACCAAGAGTCAGTTGCTGCACTGACTGAACCACCCAGGCGCCCCTCTCTTTGGCTTTTAAGTTGGAATTGGGTCTGTATGTAACTAAATTCTCTCTCTCTCTCTTTTTTTTAGGTTTTGACAGGCCCATATTACATGGATTATGTACATTTGGATTTTCTGCCAGGCACGTTTTACAGCAGTTTGCAGATAATGATGTGTCAAGATTCAAGGCAATTAAGGTATACGTGTACTATTGCAGAATTTGAACATTAGTTCCCTTTTTTATATTTAGAAAAGAAAAGGAGTTTCAGTGACTTCATTTGAAATAGGTACTGTAGTGAAGCAATATACATTTTTATTATTTCATTGAGTTGGCAGTCAGCCCGTGTTCTTATCGTAGCTATAAATACCTCTTACCCATGCACCATGAAGGATATCGTATGCACTTATAATTTCAACAGATTAATTGGATTGTTTCATAAATTAATTAGGAGCACACGTGCATATGTCAGTATGTACGCATTAACAAAAACTTGAGATTTAGTTTAAAATTTTTTTTTCTTGACCCTTTCGTAAATTGCCTTAATTTAATTGAAAAATGTCAAGCGGCTGCATTTGAACTCCTTAACATCCACCTATGTCAACATGACAGCTGCATATTGATTTTAGTTTTTCTACTTTCAAGTTGGTTTCATGTCTTCATCCATGATGAATTACCAAAAAAGCGCTATCTCTGCACACAGTATCTTTGCAGAGGTTGAGTCTAAAGACAGACACTAAAAACAAGTTTAAGACTGTGTCAAATGGCTCCAAATGCTTTTCTCAGTTTGTGTTCCTTGCAGCAGTGAAAATGTATTTTCTGATGTGTTGCCTTTAATAACACAGATTATTTTCATGCTTTTCATTTTATTATAACTACTCTTACTAGCTAAATATACACAGAGCAAATGGCATAGAAAATTATGAAACGAGAAGTGGGATTATTTAATTCAGGAAGCCACCCCAGGCCTCAGTCCCCAGATACAGTTAGTACCACTTTCACCTGCATCGTTTAAGGTGTTCTGGGGCAACCTGCGTAACTATCCTTACCACGATTATGCTTCTGTTTCTTGATTTATCAAGATTAAACACTGTTGATGGATTCTGTGCTTCGAAAGATAAAGAATGAGTTTATAAGGACTGTCTCATTTCTGTAATTTTATCATACTACCATTTTTGTCCTTGTAAGAAATATATTTAAACCTCAGTTTTCTTCCTTTTTTTGTTTTCCAACCTCCACTGGAATTTCTTTGCCCACAAGTAGAAAGGTTTCATTTTAAAACATTGTTAACCCCCAAACTCATTTCTTTTAAAGGTTCGGTTTTCAAAGCCAGTATTTCCAGGACAGACTCTAAAAACCGAGATGTGGAAGGAAGGAAATAGAATCCATTTCCAAACCAAGGTATGAGTACTATAGTCATAGGTGCCTTATTGTCTGGTTCACCATGTCCTGTAATTGTATTCTGTTTTACAGAGTTCTTTTGGTTAGTGTTGTGGGTATGATAGAAAACCTAGAAAGTTTTCTTTTAATCAATGGGAACTTCAAAAAAATTTATTTATTTTGAGAAAGAGAATTTTCACACATGCATGCACATTAGTAGGATAGGGGCAGACAAAGATAGAGGGAGACAGAGAATCCCAAGCAGCCTCCATGCTCAGGGAGAGCCTGATGCGGGGCTTGATCTTGTGACTGTGAGATCATGACCTGACCTGAAATCAAGAGTTGGATGCTTACCCAACCAAGCCGCTTGGGTGTCCTAATCAGTGGTAACTTTTTATTGAAAAGAAGCTGCCTATGGGCCTTGTTTTTTATTTTGTTTTATTTTTTACTAAATTGGTGCCTGCCTCTGTAGGGGAGGCACAGCTGTTCTGAAAATGCAGCCTATTGTATCTTTTTGGCCCAACCAATCAACTTGTTGTCAAAATATAATCTTCAGAATATTAAAGGTATGACTCTCACACAGATATAAAATGAAAATACGATGGGCACCTGGGTGGCTCAGTCACTTAAGCATCTGACTTTGGCTCAAGTCATGATCTCACAGTTCATGAGTTTGAGCCCTACATTGAGCTCTGTGCTGACAGCTCAGAGCCTGGAACCTGATTCAGATTCTGGGTCTCCCTCTCTCTCTGTCCTGCTTCCACTCATATTCTGTTTCTCTTGTAAAAATAAGCATTAAAAGATTATTTTAAAAATGAAAATACGACAAATCTATTTAATCGTTTAATGAGGGAGCAGGCAAGATGATAAAACTGGTCCAAAAGAGAATTGGAGCAATTATATTTATGTGGCCCAAGGGGACCCACTCTAAAATAATTTTGCTGAATTAGTGACAAAACTAGTTAATGTCCTATAGGACAGTAAAACCAGACTCTTTATGGGCATGTTTTCTACTGGACATCCGGTCACACAAAAATCCACAAATTGTGGATGGAACTAGAGGGCATTTTGCTAAGTGAAATAAGCCCGTCAGAGAAAGACAAATACCATATAATTTCACTCATATGTGAAATTTAAAAAACAAAACAGATGAACACAGGGGAAGGGAAGGAAAAATAAGATAAAAACAGGGAGACAAAACGTAAGAGACTTTTAAATATGGACAACAAACCAGGGATGGCTGGAGGGGAGGTGGGTGGGGGGGATGGGCTAAATGAGTGCTGGGCATTAAGGGCATTAAGGAGGGCACTTGTCCTAATGAGCACTGGGTGTTCTGCATAAGAAAGGAATCACTAAGTTCTACTCCTGAAACCATTATTACACTATATGTTAACTAACTTGGATTTAAATTAAAAAAAAAAATCCACACATTAACACCTTAGGTCACAGAACCTTGGACCTAATGAATAGTAAGCGACAAGACACAAAGTATGTCTCTAAGAGTTAAGTAATGTTTGGGTGAGGCTGTTAGCAGTGTTCTGGTAAAATACTAAAAGGACATGTGATGATTCCTTTATGTTTGAGATTTTTAAAGCTAATTTTTGTTAATACAGTTGACCAAGCTGGTACTTTTTGGCCTGATCATTTTGTACCACGCAGGTGGTTTTTGTTGGGCAGTGTAGACACCCCCATGAATAATAACAGTAGCTACTAAACACCTCTGAGCAGGCTGTACTGTTATCTCTAATATACCTAAGAACTCTATATTTGATGAAAGAAAATCTGGATTCAGGTGTCTTTTTGTAAAAATTCTTTTGAACATTTATTCATTTTTGAGAGAGAGCATGAGTGGGAGAGGGACAGAGAGAAAGGGAGACAAAGGATCCAAAGCAGGCTCCACACTGCCAGCACAGAGCCTGAGTGAGGCTGGAACCCACGAACCATGAGATCATGACCCGAGCTGAAGTTGGTTAGTTAACTGACTGAGCCACCGAGGTGCCCTGGGTTCGGGTCTCTTAAGTACTTGCTGATGGTCACGCGTAAAGTGGTGGAGCTGGGGTACAAACCCAGGTCTTCTGGCTCAAAGCCTACCTCCCGGGGCCCTAGTTCTTCTTACTGTGTCACAACTTGTTTCATAACTAACTCTGCAGCACTCTTCTTGATGTGGTTGCCCTGCTCCTCTGAGTCCTCCGGCTTGCAGGACCACCTGCTGCTTCCTTTGTGTACACGCATCACTCCCCATCACTCCCTTGGCTTTCTGGCTTTTCAGGCTCCTTTCAATCTCTTACCTTGCCCTTGGAGGCAGCAGCCCGCACCTTACTGCTCACTCCTGTTTCCTGCCCACACAGACTCACATGTGGCCTTTCTTGGAAGTCCTCCTGCAGTTAATGTTTGTGCCACATACTCTAGAGCCTTTCTAGTTTCTCATTATTTTGATTAAGTTTGATTTTTTGAGTAAGGTGAGAAAATATGAAAGTGCTAAGGTCCATTAATACATTACAGTTTTCTGTTTTCTCCAGTTCTAGTAATGAACAGCACAGAAATAATTTCCATGGAATGAAAGGGCTAGGAAATAATGTAATGTCAGAATATAATACCTCCTTGCCATTTTGGTGAAACTGAAGCATATCTTATCTTTTCACTATATTTGCTCTTTCCCCTCAGTGATTAGAGACACTCTTTACTGTTAGCTATATATAGGAATTCTCCCTCCCTTCCTTCCTTCCCTCCCCTCCTTTCCAGCCTTCCCTCCTTCCCTCCTTCCTTCCTTCCTTCCTGCCTGCCTGCCTGCCTGCCTGCTTTCCCCTCCTCCCCTCCTTTCTAACCTCCCCTCCTTCCTCCCTTCCTCCCCATTCCTTCCTTCCTTCCTTTTTTTCTTCTTTCCTTCCTTCTTTCCTTCTTTCCCGCCATCCCTTCCCTCTTCCCCTCCTTTCCACCTTCCTTCCTCCCTTCCTCCCTTCCTTCCTTCCTTCCTTCCTTCATGTTGTATTTTAAAAAACATTTTAAGCTAATATTCCAAAATGACGTGCTTCCCGCCATCCCTTCCCTCTTCCCCTCCTTTCCACCTTCCTTCCTCCCTTCCTCCCTTCCTCCCTTCCTTCCTTCCTTCATGTTGTATTTTAAAAAACATTTTAAGCTAATATTCCAAAATGACGTGCTTGGCTTGGTCACAAGAAGGTAATTTACTAAAGTGTATTTTGTTCATAAATTGTCTCTTTCCATGCTTTGCACTGTATATAATTAGAACAAAGTGAACAAATTCTTTGAAAAATCTTTTTTCTCAAGTACAATGGCAAGTAGTCAAAGGAGAATTATTTTTTTAAATGTTTTATATATTTATTATTTTAAGAGAGAGTGCACAAGCAGGGAAATGACAGAGAGAGAGAGGGAGAGAGGATCCCGGGCAGGCTCCACACAGTCAGCACAGAGCCTGGTGTGGGGCTCAAACTCACAAACCATGAGATCATGACCTGAATTGAAATTAGGAGTTGGACGCTTAACCGACTGAGCCACCCAGGTGCCCTGAGAATGATCTTCTTAAGTGTTAAAAATCAACATTAATGAATGCCACCTTAATTGTTAGACATTATCCTGTATATCTGTAGCAATATCACATTTTTATGAAAGAGTAGCTATTGGAATAATTTTAGATGAAGTATTACAAATTAAAATTTGAGTTCCTTGAATAAATATTTTGATGAAAGTCTATTTAAGGGTTTTGATTATGCTATGTACCCTTCCTATTTGAAAGAAGAACTTGGATTATTACTTTAAAAAGACCACTACCGTCTGTTCCTAGCCAGTTTTATTCAATTAATAGAACAAACACACTTCTGAGTACTGGTACCTCATGGATATTGTGCTGTGCCTTGTACTGTTTATACGAATTCAGCAATTCTCACCCTGGCTCCCTAGTAGACACACTTACGTTTAAGAAAGAAATCTCCAGGGGCCCCTGGGTGGCTCATTTGGTTAAGCATCCAACTTCGGCTCAGGTCATGATCTCCTGGTCTGTGAGTTCAAGTCCCGTGTCGGGTTCTGTGCTGACAGCTCAGAGCCTGGAGCCTGCTTTGAATTCTGTGTCTCCGACTTTCTCTGCCCCTCTCTTGCTTGCACTCTCTCTCTCTCAAAAGTAAATAAACATTAAAAATTAAAAAAAAAAAATCTCCAAATACGAATGCCAGGGGTCCACCCCAGACTATTTAAATTAGAATTTTTGGAGATGGGAGCTTGGTCACAGGTGTTCTTTAAAAGGGCGTCAGTTGATTCTATAGTTGGGTTAATAACAGTGGTATGAAAACAGTAAGACTTATTTATTCATCTTGATATTTAATTTATAAAGCTTATTTAATCTGGATTATTTTTTTTCTTATTAGGAAAAACTTTAATTTTAAATGACTTTATACTGCTTTACAATGATACTGTGTTTTCATTGGAATCATCAGAGTGAACTGGTTTTTTTCCTTCTCTCTCTTTGTAAGGTCCACGAAACTGGAGACATCGTCATTTCACAGGCATATGTGGATCTTGTGCCAGCATCTGATATTTCAGCTAAGAAGCCCTCTGAGGTAGGTGGTGGAAACCGGTATCCAAGTCATTTCCTGAGTTACGCATTTCAGTTAAGATTACCTCTAGAAAGTTCAGGCCGCTTTAGAAAATTAAGAGCTGTGAAAGGTTCTTAATTCTTGAAGGATTTTAATTCAGAATGGCTTCAAGTAAAAGGAATATTTTGACAACTTAGGAATTTTTAAAACTTTTTAAAGGGAGACACTGGGGTGCCTTTCAAGAGAAAATACTTCATTTTTTAGTTTTAGAGTAACTAAATCAGTTGCTTAATGAGAAATCTTAAGCTAACAATATTTTGGAGAAAACCAGATGAAAAAGTTAAATATCCTACACCGGTTCTTGATTTACAGATCTGTGTAAAGTTTTGTGCGCAAATATGAAAACAATAGCATGTGTTATTTATTAAAATGCTGTGTTACTCTCTTAACATGCTGAGGCTTTTAATGCAAATGTTTATATTCTTGTTCTTGAGAATATTAACTTTGTAATCTTGAGGTTCTCAGACTCAGGATCTTTAATGGTCTCTCATGAACTATATCACATGAATGACTGAGGATTAAAATCCCTTAAGAAGAATCTAAGATCAAAAACTTGAGGTGTTAAAGCTACAAGGAAAATCATATAACTTAATCCCATGTTACCAAGAAAGATGAGACTGCAGAGGTTAGACTGACTTGTCCAGTATCTCCCTGCTGAAGTTAGTTAGGATGTAGGTTGTCTAGTTCCTAGTGTGCTTTTAAAATACTATTTCTGAATTCTGAGAAGAGTAAAATCCTCATTAAGAGGACTAAGGTCCTGGGTGATGTGAATAAATGTAAAGGAAGTGTCAAAGAACGCTGGTGTGCAAAAAACTGATTTGCTTTATTTTTATGCAGATTTAAAAAATAAGAACTTTATTGCCCATACATTTTGCAATCTTTTTCCCCGTGTGTCATTTTACAAAACTTTTAAAATTTAATGTTCTCTTTTTGCTAGGGTGAGAAGCTTCAGAGTACCCTGGTGTTTGAGGAAATAGGACGCCGCCTTGGGGATATTGGGCGTGACGTGGCGAAGAAAGTGGGTGCCATATTTGAGTGGCACATCACTAAGGGGGGAGACGTTGCAGCCAAGTGGAGTAAGTTCTCTCCCTGACTTTGTCGTACTCTGAGGTGACTCTTAGCACACGGACATAGAGTGTCTGTGCTGTAATTAGAGCCTGTCTCTTTGAAGGTATGTAAGGTAAACCCTACCTTTTCATGGGAAATAATGGGTTTCACAGCACTCGAACCCATGCGTATTTTTCAGAGATGCAAAGAATCCATTAAAATGAAAATATCTGTTTTAAAGTTATTATCATTGTAGTGACTGAAATGAGTACTTGTAAACAGCCATGTTAGCTCTGTGCTTCTTTCGTCTTTAAATCACCCTTAAACAGAAAGTAAATTTATAGGTCAAATGAACTATTTTTAAGTCTTTATATTTTGACACATTTAAAATTGTTTTCCTCATCCCAGCACATTAATAGTTTGGATTTCACCTTCATTATCAGATTGCTGTTTAAGACTGACTACTTTAGTGCCTTGAAAATCAGTTTGTTTTATTCTTCCCTACAACTTAAGATTGCTATAAATTCTCACTTAGAGCAGAAAATTAAAATATATCTCTAAATCAGATGAAACTTTTTGAAAAAGTCTTTGGTTACGTATTCCTAGAAGAACATTTTGAAGTTTTGTTGCACTGATCTTGGATTGATATTAACAACCTTGTTAATACAGCAATTGTTGTTCCTTTTAAGCAGTGTATGCCTATGACATAAATTTTGATATATAAAGGCATAAAGAAAAAAATAATGATCTATATAATGCTACTGCCTTCCGTTAACATTTTGATGCTTGTTCTTCTGGGAGTCATTGTGCTTCTAGGAAGTTAATTCAAAAGGGCTCTGGGGGATAAAGAAAGGAAGGCAAACATGTAATAGGTATTCAGTCCCCCGAATTTCAGTATCTTATTTTTGTCTAGATAACTTCATAGATCAACACTGTGTGCAGGTGTTATCACTCGCCTTTCTTTCTTTTTTCTGCCCTTCCTATTTTCTTTCTGTCTCTCCATGATGGAAGTCAGCTTTTCCCCTAGGGGTGGACATCTGTTGGAAGTTGAGTTACAAGACAAAGCACAGGATCTTTGAAGAGACTGGCAGAGGAGAGGAATGAGATCTGTAAAGAATGAGGGAAGGTGCTCGAACCATGGGTCTCAAAGCTTGCACCCTAGAGCCCTGCAGAGATTCGTAAAGTAGACAAGTGGGTCACTCCTGGCAAGCTGTCATGTTGGCAACTCAGATTTGCCCCTTGTCTTGGTGGTACCGTCCTCGTGGATAGTGTTGGCAAATGTGCTTCCCTTTACAAATGACCTTAATTAACTTAGGAGAAGGGTTTTCCTTACATTTCCACTGGAAAAATGGGAGTATTGGAATCCTATTAATAACTACTTAATATTAATGCCCGGCAGCTTTCGCCTGCTTTCTCATCTCTTCCACAGTCCTTAGTAAGGCTCACGTCACACTGGGATCGTAAAGCTTTCCCTAAAAGCCTTCACCATTCCCTTTGGTTGGCTGCCTGTTACTGGACCTGCTTCTCTGCCGTGTTGTGACTGTCCTTCTGGTTGATGCTTTCTCCCGGCCTCCGTGTCACCGACAACATCACCATGGCTGGCGGCAGTAAAAGCGGCCTAGGCTCCAGGCGTATGGTGTCTTAGGACATGATTCCATGTTGGCATCTGTCTTTTTCGTCTTGGCGCTTAATGCCATGAAATGGATGATTGAATGCTTTGATTTAGGGAGTTCCTAATGTGTTTTTTTTCACAAGCAGTTTTAAAAATGTTTTCTTAAACACCTTGTTACTAAATAGTTTGTATGTTAAATTGCTCTTCACTGTCCCAGCCTTGTTCGTGTCTGGTCATGGCGAACAGACTGAAGGTCCTCACTGCTCCTGAGCTGAGCGTGGGTGTCCCTGGAGGGACAGTCACCAGTGACTGACCTTGTACGAGTCTCAGAACCCAGGGGTTTGGGCCTAGTGCCCTGGGAGGTGCATTCCACCCTGCAGATATTGGACTGTGCTCTTTCCCCCAGCCTCCCCCATCCTGCCATCCAGACGCCATTACTGATACCACCCACTCATCTGTAGTTAGAGGCAGGGAGAGTAAGAGTTGTTTGAAACTAGATTCATCTGAGTCGCGGGAGAACTAGCTGAGTTCTGGTGTTGACGCAGGGTCAGGCTTGGTTTTTGGCTGTTCACACGGAGCCATAACTGTGTCTTTAAGGTGAGGCTCCTGTGAGGCCTGTCGTGCGTGGTCACACAGGAGCAGGGGGTCAAGGGCCGGCATGGCCTCTGCCTTGCTGGGCCAAGATGGCCTCAGAGAGGCGCCCGTCCCTTCCTTTCTCACTGGCTGAGAGCGTAGAACAGAGAGATGAGGGCCCTGGATCTGCATAAAGAGCCAGAATCAAGGCCTTGGTGAGGAACTTCGGGAAGCATATCTTGAATACTCACTTGCACCTTCTTATTTCTGCTTCTGGAGACAATGTTTTGATTACAAAGTATTGTTTTAGAGTTACTAAAATGTTATGATCCATACACAGTGCTTCCTTATGTAGATAGAAATGGAGAGAAGCCTACTCTTCTTATTTCACTGTTAATGTTATAATAGTATGTAATGTGTAATAATGTATAATATTATATATCAGATAATAACTATATAGTAATGTATAAAATATTATGTGAAACATATAATCCTATAACAATATCAAGGACACAGCGGTCTTGTTATCTGTGCCTTTTTATGACTAATGCGGTTGAAAGCCTTGCTGTCTGTGAACACCTTTTCCTCATACTCTGTGCCTTTGGGTATTTTACCCTTTTGAATAAAGGATCTCCTTTGGCTTTTTACTTCCCGAGGGAGTCTTTGATTAGGTTGCACAGGTATAGATGCACATCAGGTAGAGAAAGAAATCTCTGACTTTCCTTTGACCAAGCTGTTATTTGTCACAGTCTCTTACTGGGCTATGGTCGTTCGTAATTAGATATCTCCTCCCATCTGACCTTGGGTGTGAGCCTGAGAAAGAGCTGCAGATTAATTTTTTATTTCTGGCTTCTAATACAACCTATAACACAGTAGGCTCTCTCCGTGGATGTTGACTAAGTGCTGAAGGCCATGTAGAGTGTGTAGTCTTAGACAAATCACATACCTGCTTTTCTTTTCCTTAAAGTTCTGAAATTGGTACCTTCTGTCTTTTAAAACAATAACATGTTGTGTGCATATTTTCTAGTTAGTATGAGTGAAATCTTCAGGGACAGCGTGATCCCCCTGAAACCTTTTGTAAGTAAGCAATATAGCTTATAACATCTATGACTGTTAATTTATTTTATTCTTTTTTTATATCTTTATTTTGAGAGAGAGACAGAGCATGAGTGGAGAAGGGGCAGAGAGAAAGGGAAACACAGAATCCAAAGCAGGCTCCAGGCTCTGAGCTGTCAGCACAGAGCCCAGTGCGGGGCTTGAACTCACAGACCTGAGATCATTACCTGAGCCAAAGTTGGACACTTAACTGATTGAGCCACCCAGGTGCCCCATGACTGTTAACTTCTTCTTCTTCTTCTTCTTTTAAATTTCTGGGAGAGAGAGAGGCACTGTGAGCAGGAGAGGGTCAGAGAGAGAAGGAGACACAGAATCAGAAGCAGGCTTCAGTCTCTGAGCTAGATGTCAGCCCAGCCCGATGTGGGGCTCGAACCCATGAACCATGAGATCATGATCTGAGCCGAAGTCGGATGCTTAACCGACTGAGCCACCCAGGCGCCCTGACTGTTAACTTCTAAAGCCAGTCAAAAGTTGTTCTAGTAAACCCTTTGGATCCCATTCAGTTGTTCTGAGCAATAGGAAAAATTCAGAGGAAATGAAAGATGACAGGAAGGCATAGAAGAAAGTAAAGAATTGGAGGCTTTACCTGAAAATTAAAACACAGCTTCTTCTGTCTGCCTCTCCAGAGACCAAAAAGTCTAAAAATGGAAACATTTTTTTCCTCCTAGCTCATTGATGCCAGAACCTGACTGGAACTTATACGATACAAATAATTGTCCCCATCTCACCCCCCGTGAATGAGTTGAGTACAGAAATCGTGTATCTGTTTACAGAATGTTGCATCATGGAAGCTCTTCCATGAGATATAATACATGTTTTATGCACTGTGTTTCCTTTCTGAAATCTGGAAAGTTCTGAATTCTAAAACACGTTTTGCCTGGAGGAGTTCAGATAAGGAGTCGGGACCTATTCCCATCCATAAATAATTCTGAACAGAATTGATAAGAGACGTGAACGAGGTTTCACAGAACAGGAGGATTGGCTCATTCAAGTAGTAATTGAGGGTTTGCCATGGGCGAGGTTCCCTGCTAGGTAGCAGGTCACCAGTTTGAAACGACGGGCTCTGCACTGTTAGAGGCGGCACACAGGAACATTTGAATACCGAGGTTGGAGACACCAGGGCTTTTGCACTGCAGATGAAAGGGAAGGAGGACCTAAATGAAGATCATGGCAGGAATGGAGAGAGGAACGCATGTGTGGATTATTGTATTGCTAACAAGAATTGACTGGTTTGGCTACTGATAATGTCTGAAAAGCAAGAGGAAAGGGAAAGAGTCCAAACGGATGCCAGAGTTTGGAGCCTGTGTGGCTGGGGTTGTTGACTCCATTGCCAGATGTGTGAAACATGGGCCAGGGGAGGGGTTTAGGGAGAAGGGGATAAGCCATGGTGCTTGCCTGTAGCGGACTGAGATGTGGACTCGGGGGTAGGAACCATGGGCCTGGAACATGGGGTAAATAAAGGCACAGCCGAGGCAGAGACTTGGAAATGACGCTCACAAAAATGGTAGGTGGGACTCTGAGTATTAGCTTTGCTTCTGCAGTTCATGGCACGCAGGAAGAAGATGGACAGAGATTCTTGTTATTCCAGCAAGACTGTCTGCTGTTCAGCTAAGGGCTCCAGCATTTCTATTTGTCTCTAAGTAAAGTGAGCATCTTAGACTGTGACCTGGGAATCTTAATGATGAAACTTGTTGTAACTCTAGGTGTGAATATTAACCCCATTTCCAAATAAGAATCTATCTGTTGTTTGATTGTATTCAGTAGATGTAGCTGAACTGTTGATAAAGACAGATTGATTTTCTTGTAGTAATGATACAGTGTTGCTGAGTAAAAAATATGTTCTGTTTTTCTTCTGATGATAGGTTTAAGCTGGTTGGCAGTTGAACAATTTGGTTGTTTTTCCCCTAAAGGAAATTTTGTTTCTTTTCACATATTTGTATTTGTTTCTATTATAGGAACATAATTGGAATTGGCATTAGTATAGCAAGATTGTAGAAATACTATGCATTATTGTTTGCATACTGCTGCTTAGATAATGAAATTATTTGAGATTAAAAAATATATACTGAAATTAGTTGTGTGGGGCTAAGCCTACCTAATTGGACTAAATCCAGGCATCCATTATGCACTACGTAACAGTGTCTGGACAGAGATGTTCTTTAAATATTAGAGGTCATTTATTTTGGACCTTAGAAATTTGCCAGAATGTGGAAGAATATATACAGATTTGGCAACTGGCATTCTTTTAAGATCAGAATGTATTCATCCTCAATGGTACTGTTTGATCATTAGGACCAGGGTCCTAATAGCTCCAGGGTCAGTGTTCGTCTTCCAGCAGACCAACCAGTTCACCCTTGAGGGTTTCTCAGCTGGGGTATAAACTCAGTCGTAAGGATGCCGGTTCCACCCTTTGGACTGGGATCCAAAAGCATCTCATGGGTTTATAGAAGAAACTTGGAAAGATGACCTTTGGAAAGAACTGTGGTGTCCAGACAGGGGTGGGGGCCTATGTGTTGGAGTGGTGTCTGCTTCAGGTTACTCTTGATTCCCTTTGCACCGGTGACCACATCCCCTCTTCCAGCACGGCCCCTGACCACTTGCCCGCACTCACATACACACACAGAATCACTTAAGTTGTTAATGACTTTCCTCTTGCTATGGGTGCTATTCATCTTAATAACATCTTTTTGTACTTTTTTATTTTGAAATGATTTCAGATTTACAGAAAAGTTGTAGGAATAGTACAGAGCACTGTCTCTGTCCTTAACCCAGTTTCTCCAAATTATGATTTTATTCCATATTCTTTACTATTTTTATCATACATATTATCATTTTTCTAAAGCATTTGAGAGTATTTGGAACTTACAGTGTCCTTTATTCCCCCAGATGATCCAGTAGCGTTCCCTAAAAACAAAGACTCTCTCTTATCTATTCATAGAACCACTATCAATAGTGAGAAATTAACATTGATGCAGTATTATTTAGTCAACAGACCTTATTATTTCACCAATTGTCCCACTAATGTTTTTTATAGCAAAAGAATAATAATAGGAAGAAAAATAACAACAATAATAGAAATGAAGAAAGAAAAAGAAAGAGCTTCCCAGGGTCAAGTTGGGATCAGATACTGCATTTCGTCATGAGGTCTCTTGAGTTTGTTCATCTGGATGAGTTCCTAAGTCTGTTCTTGTTTTTTGTGGCCTTGACATATTTGAAGAGTAGAGCCCAGATATTTTATAGAATGTTCCTCAGTTTATGTTTATTTGATGTTTCCCATGATTATTAGCTTGAATTGGAGTTTTTGGCAGGAGCAGCACAAAAGTATTGTGTCCTTCATGGTGTGATTTAAAACAAATCTTTGTTTTTAACCTAAGTTTTCATTTTGTTGTTGTTACTATTTTTTAATAGAGGTGCTTCTTCACTGTGCTCTTCTAATCATACATTAATAAATCGTTTCTAAGTACTTTGTATTCAGGGAAGTGTAGGGGACACAGACATGACAAGAGTTTCTCGTCCCAGCAAAACATTCATGATCTTCAGGGAAGGAGGCATCAGTAAAAACAACTGCCTTCTCCTTTGTGATTTGTGAGGTACATACACCCTAAGGTCTTGAGAGATCTTCAAGTTTCTGAACGCCATGTTCTCTCACCCCCATTAAATGCTGTCAAGTACAACCGAAATTTTCATGGACTTTTCCAGAGCCTTAATGATCATATGAATACAGAGCTAACGTCATTCATAAAGCTTTTAAAATAATTTCTACCAGTAAAAGAAAAAATATATAGTCTATTTCTTCCTTTCAGTAAGATTAACCATGACCTTACCAGTGTCTGTAAACCCAAGGTGATGGTGGTGGATAAGGAGTCTCCTGCACGAGCCGTGTTGTAGACCATGACCTGAGCCACCTTGGAGTTGGACGTTCCAGTCCTTTACCCTCACTTCGGTGTTCTTGCTAAGAACCTTCCCTTTCCGAGCCCTCTTTTCTTTCATCAGTCGTAGTTACTAGCTTTCCGCAGAAGAGAGTCGTGTTGCTTTGCATGAGTCATGGGTGTGAAGCCACACGTAGACCCAGGGGGAGTGAGGGGGCAGGTGAACAGATAAGAACCTTTGTTAGTTCAGAGCCTTCCTCCTTCACCTGGGCATTAGAATGTGTGCAGCTCACTTCATTCCTGAGCAGGACTGGTGTGGGCTTTAGACTTACTTGTGAAGAATTAAATTCATGGAGGTTATTTGTTGAACGCCAGAGGTTTGCTTTTTAGAGTTTAGAGTTTGTCTCCTACCCTTTCCTTCCCCACCCTTCCTGACTCCCTCCCTCTCTTTTTCTGTCTTTCTTTTTTTTTTTTTTTTTTTTTTTTTTTTTTTTTTTTTTTTTTNTTTTATTTATTTATAGGAGAGAGAGAGAGAGAGACAGCGGAGCAGGGGAGGGTCAGAGAGAGAGGGAGTCACAGACTGAAACAGGCTCCAGGCTCTGAGCTGGCAGTCAGCACAGAGCCCGACGCGGGGCTCGAACCCACGAACCGCGAGATCATGACCTAAGCGAAAGTCGGACGCTTAACCGACTAAGCCACCCAGGCGCCCCTTTCTGTCTTTCTTTTTAACGCTACAAGAGCAAAAACGAAAACACATGTGTCATAGTTAAGTGCCAGTAAGAACAGAGCCTTTGCTCTTCACACGTGTCTTCTAGTACCTTGCATTTGTCTGACACTCATAGTAGGAACTCAGCAGTGAGGTGAGTGAATGAGGTGTACAAAGCAAAAACATCCCCTTCTCCTTCCCCTCCTTCCTCCCCAAGGTCACCATTATCGTCTTGTTTTACCTTAGTTGGCCAAATTCGGTACTCTCAAGAATTGGAGTGATAGCATTTTCCCTCTGGAGCAAGTCTTGCGCTAAGCAGGATGCAGTTAAGCACTCTGGGTTTTCCTCGTGCACATGTAGGTTGGCCCTAAGCTGGGAGTTCTCTGCACACTTGTAGGGACAGGGATGCGATTATAGCTCCTTCACTGTAGCAAGAGAAAGCGCCTTCCAGAGGCTGACACTGGAGAAGGGGATGATGGTCTCAGTCACACGTGAGGTAGTTGAAGCTTCCTAAATTGTGGCTTTGGCATTCAGCTCTATAAATGTCTTAGAGAACATTGAAGGAAATTTTTCATAGTTTTCCCAGTTACTCAGCCTGTTCTGGGATACTTAATACTTCCGTCAGAAACAGTTAAGGTAAAAGAAGTTACATTAAAAAAAATTTTTAATGTTTATTTATTTTTGAGAGAGAGAGACACAGAGCGTGAGCAGGGGAGGGTCAGAGAGAGCAGGAGACACAGAATGTGAAGCAGGCTCCAGGCTCCGAGCTGTCAGCACAGAGCCTGATGCAGGGCTCGAACCCCTGAACCACAAGATCATGACCTGAGCCGAAGTCAGATGCTTAACTGACTGAGCCACCCAGGTGCCCCCAGCATGCACCTATTTTAAAATTAAGCTTTCTTCTTTTGTTGACTGTAGAGTCTGTATTTGAACCTAAAGGCCTTACCCATATAACCTCCAACAACTTAGCTTCCTTATATCTTACTCTACATTAATTCACATTTAAAATGTCTGTGTTGTATATACTTCTTCATTGAAGTGAAACTAGTATTGATTTTACTGTTGTGAAGAACTTCTTTATAAAAAAGACATCTTGAAAAATAAAGAAATTTTCTAAATGACAGAGAACGTGTAATGTAGAAAGCGCCACGATAACTTGGAAACTATAAAAATGTTTGCATTTTGTTTACTTTGTTTTACTCTCCTGTTGTGAAGAAAAAAAAATAATACACATTACCCTCTTCCTATCTTTGACAGCTATTGACCTAAAAAGTGGTTCTGGAAAAGTTTATCAAGGCCCCGCAGAAGGCTCTGCGGATACGACCTTCATACTTTCAGATGAAGATTTCATGGAGGTGGTCCTGGGCAAGCTTGACCCTCAGAAGGTAATGTTCCTAACAAGTCCATTCATCATCATTGCTTCCTATTTGACAATTGCACTTTTCAGCTGACTCCCAAATGCTGATTTATAAGACACGTTCCTTAGATCTTTGAAGAAGACACAGTTGATATCAATATCTGGGTTGACAGATCATATATATTTTTAATGGAGTTCCAAATAACACCTTTTAAAACTGAATTTGGGGGTGAAATTCAACTTCAGCATAGACTAAAACAATATAAACCCACATCTAGACCTTTAAATATATTCTATCATTAATTTACAGGTGAAAAACCATACATTAGTAGATATTTTTGAAATTAGAAATTCATTCCTAATGTGGAAGATTATTAAGTTGTCTTAATCATCATTGAAAACTGCAAATAGAAGGATAGGATGTAACAGTTAGTGTCTGTCTTACTTAAGGTGAACCATTTAGAGGCCTTTCCATGGAAGATAATGGTTACAACAAGACTGCCCTCTCTGACCACTATTAATTAATATTGTTCTGAGACTTTTAGCCAATCCACATACACACAAAATTAAAGAGACTGATGTAACAATAAGAACAGAGAAGAACCTGTTACTTTCAAACCATTGTTGCATAGGTAGAAATCCCAAGAGAATCAACTACCGTTTCTTAGAATTGAAGGGCTTCAGGCAAGCAATTGAATGTTCAGTAATTATTAAAAAGTAGCTTTCACACAACAGCAAACCCAACCTACTGAAAATAAAAGTCGTTTATAACCACAACCCAAGCTATAAAATCCAGTGACTTCCCTAACAAGGAAAGCCTATGAGCACAGCTGTGCAAGTTTACAAGGGGCAGAGTAATTTGAATACCTGTGAAAGTGCACTTTCCCTGGGTAGAAAAGTTCTTTAAAAAGAACTGTACAGTAATTAGTGTAGCGTTAAAAATATAATCTTTGATGTCAGATAGGTCAGAGTTTCAATCCAGGCTGTCACTTATTCTCTAAATCTCCGTGTTCTCCATGATAAAGTCAATTGAATCATTGTAATAATCCCAAATGGTAGTCATAACTAAATCTGATAATGTATATGAAGAGCACAGTCTACTTCTTCGCACCAAGTGTCCTCAGTTGATTCCTTCCCAGAAATTTATTCAGCACTTACTCTGATTAGGGTACTAAGTGTGACTCAACGAGACAGCGCCCCCTACTGTTTGAGCTTAGTTCTAGAGGGGAAGGGAAAAGAAATCTAATTTCAGGTATGAAGAAAAATAAGGCACAATGATGGGTCATAGCACTGGTAACAAACTTTTTGGTAAAGGGTCACCTAGTGAACATTCTAGGCTTTGTGGTCCAAATGGTCTCCACTGCACCCCCCTCACTTCTGCCTGTGTAGAGTCAGAGTAGCCACAGACAATGTGGAAGCGAATGAATGGGGCTGTGTTCCAACTGTGAAACTGTATTTGCAGAAACGAGTTTGGCCCTCAGGCTGTAGTGCCGGCCCCTGGATTAGATGGTGACACGCTGGGGGAACTGAGATGGGGTTGTCCACAAAGGCCCGACAGCGCTGGCCAAAGTGAGTGCTCATGGATGAGCCACGAGGCCAAGAACACTCAGTGTTGAGGCAGGAGTAGCCGGGCTTTATTGGAGCACTTTAACTAGTGCTGCTGGAGGAGGCTGGTGAAGAGCATCAGGAGTGGGGAGGAGGGAGAGTGGGAGAGCAAGGAAGGGCTGGTTTGCACAGGGCCTTAGAGGTCTTGGCAAAGAATCTAGATCTTGAGTGTGATAGGAAGCCATTGAGTGGTGGCATGAGTGTGCAAAGTCATTCTGGCCACTGAGTGGAAAATTGACTCCAGGGCAGAGAGTGGGTCGATAAGAGTTCTTTTTTAGACATGTTACATTTGAGATGCCCTTATATAAAGATTTAATGTAGGATCAGGGCAACGTTTTTGTAATTGCCAGGACGACAAGACCCTTGGGGGTGTGTGTGTCGTTTAGTGGATAGCACAGGGCAGTGGCATAGAAAATGGTGGTGCTTTCCTCACGCCACGTGCCTAAGTCACCAGCAGATGGAATGGGAGGAAGTATAAAAAAATAAAAGCAGAAACAAAAACTTGATGAAAACCTAGGTATTCATTATTCTTAATGATAATCCTTTGAGAAATTCTAATTAATATCAGAGTTTTTCTGAAGCCATTTGGCTCTGTTACCTTCTCCCCGACCTCAGTGCTACTATCAGTCGTCAGCCATCACTGGCCACATCTCCTCTTATACAGTCTTCCTCTCTCTGCCACCTACTCTTGTCAACTGTGGTGGCTTCCTTCATGATTCGTAAAAATGGCTTCTCAAACTAGTGATTCTTTGTTCATTGCTTTTCTGATTGTCTTTTACTCCATTCCAAGTCCACTTTAGCCCTTCTTAGCATCCAACTGAGCTAACCACCAACTTCTCAAAATAATATCATCCCTCAGCTTTCATGACACCATATTCTCTGGTTTTGCTTTCTCTACCTTTGGTGCTTCTCAGGGCTCATTTCAGGGCTCTTCTCTAAGTAACAGTCTTTCCCCAAATGAGCTCATCCATTCTATGTTATTTAAAGCCTTGGATGTATAGACAACTCACAGATAAATGTCTGACTTAGTTGTCTTTTCTGAGTTCCCTAGTGCCGTCAGCATCGCTCTGCCTGACCTCTCTGATGGGAGGTCTCATGGGCATCTCTCACTGACTGCATCTAAGATAGAACTCCTGAGTTCATTTTCTCCCCCAATCTCCTCCATCTCGGTAAATGGCACCACTGCCTATCTGCCCAAGTCAGTATGCTTGATAATGTAAGGATTATCTCGGCATCCTTCTATATATACCTCTGTATTCTGTTTGTCCTCAGTTCTGCCTGATCTTTGTAACATTCATTCTCTTCATTGTTGGAGACACCACCACGATCCAAGCCTCCAGCATCTCTGCTGGCTTACTCCCTTGGCTTCCTGGCTGGTCCTCCTGCTTCCAGCCTTGCCTCTCCACCAGTCTGTTCTCCACACAGGGTCCAGGGGAACCCTTTAAAAATGTAAATTAGATTATTGGTCACCCCATCTGAAAACCTCTCTAAGATTTCCATTTGCACTTGGATGACATCCAAACTACAGGACAGTATCTCACATGGCGAGTTTCTTGCTCGTCTTTCTTGCTTCAGCCCACAGCGCTTGTTTCCTCCCATTTCTTCCCATCACCCTTTACTCCTTCGGTGTCTATGCCGTTACCTTTTCTGGAACTTTACTCCCAAGCTTTTTGCATCAGTGGCTTCAATTCATCCAAAGCAGTCCCTTTCTGTTAGAAAGGATGTGAGATAGCATCCTGCTCTCTCCTTCCTAGTGTTTATAACGGGTTTTAGTTACTTGCTTACATTTTATTTTTTGACTTCCCCACTATAACATTAGCTCCCTGGGAACAGAGGAAGATACCTATTTCCTGCCCAGACTATCACCTAGCATACTGTGGGCCATGACCAATACTTGAGCAGATTAAAACAAGGATAAAAACAAGGAACAGAAGCTCACCAGCAGCACTTTAGTCCATGGGGAAACCAAAAATGCCAGCATGCTGGACTCCATGAGGTTCTCCCATAAACCTGGGGGAACTAATAAAGACAACAATGATACACAGTGTAGTGGTACCAGTAACCTCTGCAACATTCTGGAAAGCACCAAATAGAAATAAGCACGCAAAAGACATGAACCAGTAGTCAATAAAGAAATAGAAATGACTAACATACATAAGAAAAACTATTAACTTTTTCCAGGAGCCACAAAATGCAAATTAGCGGATGTCATTTTGCCTCAAATGAACAGTACCGTCAAAGTTGGGATGAGAGAATTCAGGTAGCTGGAGCGAATATAAATTTGGTGTAGCCTTTCTGGAAAGCACTGGAGGAGGGCTTCAGACTTTGTTCCTTCGTGGCAATTTTTTGCCTCGCACTCCTAGGCTCAGAGAAATACCTGACTGTCCAGTTTATTAAGTGATTAGGTCCAAGCAAGAGTTGTGTTTGACTGATGTCACTGTATTTCCCTCGGAAATGTTAAATGTTCCGTACTATGCCTGTGATTTGCCGTGAAGCCGTGCCGCACAGTTTGGAAATTGGTGATGGGGAAGCGTGGTCATGTCATGATTAAGTAATTGTTCTTCTAGGAATCTATCCTAAGGAAATAGAGGGAACCAACGCCAATACACAAAATTCTTCCACTCTGTGACACTGTTCACTTTGGTTTTGGCGTATCTCTTGCAGGGAGTTAGGGGTTCTGATCTTCGGTGGCCAGTTCGTCTCAGAGCTGGGACGCAGCAGGCCCTTTTCTGTACTGATGCCTCTGCCACACTTGTGGAGCACAGCGCCACTCACTGCCCTCCAAAGCCGTCTTACCTTTAAAATCCCAGGCTCCCATTTGGACACCTTGCACTTGATCTTGATGGTGAATGAGTTCCCCTTTACTGCTTTCTGGGTTAAAAAGTTGACGTATCTTTGCTTTCCCTCCAGTTGATGAGGGTTTTGCTTCCAAGATTAAGTCACTGTTGGTTGATAAGCCAGAGGCTGTGTTGAGGAAGAACACGTGTGAGTACACAGCCTAGCCCCACTTCTCACTGGCGCTGCCCCTTTAGCCGGGTATTATAGCTCTCTGGACTGAAGTTTTCTCCTCTGTCGACCGGCAGTAAACAGGCCCACTGCAAGGCGATGGCTTGCCTTCTCAAGTGAGACTATATTTCTAGGGCTGCTTTGTAATGGTAAGAGTACATGGATATCACAGTATTTTCCATCCATCTAAAAACCTAGGGACTTCTTGTTCCCTTCATATTCCATATACTGTATTTTCCCAGTGAGCTATATGACCTGTGATGTGTGTATTCTCTTACTGGCAGGAAGTTGACGACGAGGTTGAACTTGAGGAACATGGACAAGTCTCAGTCAGGTCAGACACACAGGTGACTGTACTACCTGGTGTTTGAACTCACCAGCCTTCACTTGGTCACAATGATGAGTTTGATAGGCCACATGTCACACGCTAAGCTAAGCGCTTGACACACTATCTCATTTAGCTCAGCGACAAAGCTGCATTATTTAGGGACTGTTGTCATGCCCCAGCGGATGAGGAGGCCTGAGCTCTCAGAGAGGTTAACTAATTGCTCTTGCTTGTCCTGGGTTTTAACCCAGCCCTTCTGATGCTACAGCACAGGGTCGATTCACTGCTGTCTTACACGGACTTATTTTGTCCGTACGTGGCTTTCTCTTTCAAGAAGGGTAAGAAATATGTCTATTGTCAGGACTATAGCAAAGCCCTTTCTTCATAGGGTCTCAAATTCACATTTAAGAACATAGACCGACATCCAAGTGTGGGTTGAGACACAGAACTCCCAGATCTGTCAATTCAAATACAATATTCTGTGGTTTTCCAAAATACACAAGGAGTCTTTTTTTTTTCTTAGGTATCTAGGAATTTGGGGGCCATCCATAATCATTAAAGTATCATTGCTAGGTGAACGCTGCCTTTGTCGTCCAGAGTTATTATCTCAATTGTATTCAGTCTGAACAGTGATCTTTTAAGAAAAGAAATGAAATGCAACGTGATAAAATCTGACACCCTCCCCCCACCCCTACCCCGCTCTCCTTTCCAGGCATTCTTTAGTGGCAGACTGAAGGTCAGAGGGAACATCTTGCTGACCCAGAAGCTTCAAATGATTCTCAAAGACTATGCCAAGCTGTGAAGGACATACCACCTTGTTAATAAGAATAGAGAATTCCAATATTCTCTTCACCCAGATATGCAGAAGTGATCACAGTTAAGATACAGGGGACTTTGCTTAACATTTTCAGATTTTAGATAACTTTTCAGATTTTAATTTTTTACTAACTTTTCATGTTATCATTATTTTTACAATGAACTCTGAGCTAGCATGTAATTATCTTTGTGTTCTTAGAGCTCTATCTTCATAATAAAAAAATTTTCACCCACATCTTCAGAACTGCGATAGCATTTATAAGTAGAAAGGAAAATTAAATGAGGAAAGCCACTTTCATGTCTTTTGGACTTTCCCTAATTTCTGTTCTCTAATGTATCGATAACCCAGTTTTAACATGAATTGTCACATGTATTCACTTATTCTTCATACTTTGCTATGATGGTGTTCTACTTTAAAGCAGGAAAACGGTCTTTATGTTCGCAAATAGTTTTCCTTCTTCTTGCCTCAGTTTTGTTGAAATTTCTTAATTTTCACGTGATGCCTGTAAGTCTACCACACATAAGAATTTTCTTATTTAATCAGTAATCTCAAATCAGAAATAGGTCACAGGCAAGTACTGTCACACTAGTCTTTTCCCCACCGTGTAGCCCGGATGACGTGTGCTAAGGAGTTGGCCACAGAGGCGACCAGCAAGTGGGATGCCGAGGTCGGAGATGGAGTGCATTCCAATCGTGGACCCCAGCCGGGAACATCTGTGCGTAGGGGCCTCTTACAGGCAGCGTTCCCTGGCCACCGGACTTTGACATGGAGATCTACGGGCAGGAAATGTATTTGGGCGTGTTGTTGGGATCAACGCCTCGGTGGGGAGTGGTAAACGGAGGAGGCAGAGAGAGAACAGAGGAGGCTGTGGTGCCCTTCAGCATTGCCCTGCACTAACTAGTCACCAGTTACAGCCTACCCTGCGGAAGGACCATGGCCCAGGGCCGAGGAGTGTGCTCACAGTCCCCTGATTTGCTCAGTCACTGGGGGACCGGCTTCAGTCCCAAATAGGGCTTCTGGGACCGTGGACTGGCACGTTGCTTCAGGAGAGAAGACCGAAGAAACTAGAGCTCAGGGATCAAGGGGAACAGGCTCAGAAACATGGAATTGGAATATTTAGCCCAGTGGGGGAACGCGGAGGTGCACCTCAGTATCGCTGACTAAATGAATGAGCAGGGTGCCTAGAAGACCTAGAAGAGAAGTTTACGTATTGGGCATTTACACCTCAGTCTCATGATCTCTGTATGTTATCCTAAAATTAACTATAATTCAGAGTGATTTATTGTTATACCAATTGAATTTGTCATTAAAGTGGCAGCCTTTTAACGTTGGTCTTTTGTTGTGGTAGCTGTTGCTCCTGAACTCGGAAGAGCTTGGTGTCCTCCACATGGAAACAGCATATTAAAAGTAATCAAATGCCACACACTGTTGAGATTGTTGAATATAGACCCTAGGTCTTTACAGCGTGTTAAGAAAGAGATGTTTTAATGATCTTAACTAATCTTCCTCTGTCAGTCTCAAGGGTCAGAGAGCTGCTGGTATCCAGATTTAGTGCCGCCTTCTTTGTCTTCATGCTCGTTAACATTTTCTGTAATCTTAATATTGTTGAATGAACTATCCCCCTTAATTCCTTATTTCCCTTTTATCCTCCATTAAGAAATGTATTAACTTATTAATGAACCCAAAGGGTTAGTCTCCCTGTCTTTTCCTTGTCTCTTTTATAATTTCTTCTTTCTACCTATCTTTGTAGGATCAGGTTCGAGGTTTCAGGCCTGCCCACTCTTTGGAAGACATTTTCTTCCCTGGAGCCAGTGCCTTTGAACCTGTATTGTAGCTGTGCTCCCTCCATATTCCCACAGTCCCACCCACAGTTATAAGTCATTACTAGGTCCTCTGTTGTCATTGTGTATGAACGCTCAAGATAAACACATCATCTTCCCGTCCTCTCCTAAATGTGCGTGTATTCTTGTTGCCTTGGTTAAGAACATCACCTTTTAGAGGCAACTGGTTGGCCCATTTGGGGAAGGGTCAGACTCTTGATTTTGGCTCAGGTCGGGATTTTGTGGTTGTTGAGAGCCCGGCATTGGAGTCTGCACTGACTAGGGATCCTGCTTGGGATTCTCTCTCTCCCCCCCTCTCTCTGCCCCTCTCCTGTTTGCACTCTCTCTTTCTCTCAAATAAATAAAACAGTAAAAATAAATAAATAAATAAATAAAAAAGAACACCACCTTTTAGAGAATACTCCAGGGTTTTCCAGCTGCCACTACCCAAGTATGACTTACTGGTGTTCTAGCTGGGCTCCAGTTTTTCAGCACCCACCCTCCTCCACCAGAGGGGCCTTACTAGTACACACACCTGAATAAATATGTGACTTCCCAGCTCAGAAACCTGACAGGGTTCCTGTGTGGCCATCTCTCCACCAGACTCCGGTATGGTTCCATGTTGCATCAGTTGGGATTCCTGCAGTGGCCAGGAATAAAACTAGTTCAAGTTGGCGTAACACAACTTGCCAGTGTAACCAAGAAAACATCCAGAAGAGTAGGACTGTCTTTGAAGGGGCATGATTGTGATCCTGCCCCAATTCCTTGCCTTCTCTCCCTGCTTTATCCACAAGCTCCGTGTGGTACCCTCCCTGGTAACCCCAGCTCATTCCTATTTGGTCACAAGAAGGCCACCACCAGGTGCAGCCTCACAGTCCCATCCTGCATCAACCGGCCGAATAAAGAGCCCTGGGTTCTCAGAACCCCAGCGAAAGCTTCATCTGCTCTCACTTGAGTCAGAAGCCAATCCTCCATTCACCTCTTTAGAGATGTTGGCTATGCCGATTGGGCTGCATCTACCAGGGCCCAAATGTATAGCTAAGGGTAGTGTGTTGGGAGGTCCTTAAGACGCCCTTGGTTTTGATGATTTGATGGAAGGACTTGAGGGACTCAGCATATAGCCATACTCAAGACTACAGTTTATTATATCGAAAAGATAAAGCAAAAGCAGGAAAAGAAAAAGGCTGCATTGAGTGAAGTCCAGAGGAAATCAGGTAAAAGCTTTCAAGGCTTTTTTCCCCCAGGGAGTCACACAAGACACACTTAATCCCCCAGCATCAAGTCGTGAGAACGTGTGTAAAATGTCTGTCAAGACTCAGTGTCCAGGGTTTTCACTGGGAGGCTCATCACACAGGCCTCTCTTGCCAGACCACATAGCAAAATTTTGGATTCATAGAAGGGAAGCAGGTATATGTAGCATAAACCCCATAGTACAGTGTGGGTACAGAGAGCCACTCTGCGGCAACCCTCCTGAAACCTAAGTTTCCAAATGCCAGCCCAGGACCAGCCTTGCAGGCAAACCTTTCTGAGGATAGCTGTCTCAGAGCTGCTCTGCTAACTCTTCTCCATCCATGAGGTCAGTTCCCCCTGAACCTCATGGTCTGAGAGCTCATCAGGTGTGATATCTGAGGAAATTGAGAATACTGGGAACACAAATCACATGCTCCCTCTGCAAAGCCTCCTTAGCTCTCCCAACTTGCTTTTTTTTTTTTTTTTTAACCTCACCACCTGGTAAACTCCTCTATATTCTTAAGCTTTCCAAGTGTGCACCTTTGTGAAACTGTTCTTACTAAATACTGCTAGAACAATCTCTGACTTCTCACAGAAGTTGGTATATCTATTTTATTTTTTAAAAAATTTTAATGGTTGTTTTTGAGAGAGAGAAGCAGAGCACAAGCTAGGGAGGGGCAGAGAGAGGGGGAGACACAGAATCCAAAGCAGGCTCCAGGCTCTGAGCTGTCAGCACAGAGCCCGACGGGGGGCTCAAACCCACAAACAGAGAGATTATGACCTGAGCCGAAGTCGGACACTCAACCAATTGAGCCACCCAGGTGCCCCGGATATATCTATTTTAAAGGAAACAATCTGTGAAAGTGGATTTTTACAGTGGAGGGAAATAGATTTGAGTAATAATCTAATAATCGTGTCCCAACATAAAGTTTACCCTTTATTAGGTCAACAAATAGAGCAGCAAAATTAAATGATAACCTAATTGCACTGAGAAATCCTGAAGTTGAGAGACCTCAAAACCCGAAAGGGACAGAAAGTGATTTTCTGAAGAGCAGAACTTTTTAATTCAGTGTGGACTAAGGTATTTAAGAGGGGAGAGGAAAGAAAAAAACAAACAAACCAAGCAACTGTTTAAAAACCCATAAATAGGCCAAAAAGAAAAATTGCAGGCCTTGGCTAAAAAGAAAGTAGATTTATTTTACATGAATATTTAGTATATTGGCTCAAAATTGCCTAGTAAGTGATCTCTAGACATTGGGGCTAACGTCGCTTAAAAGTGGAAAAAGATAACCTGAGGGGGTGAAATGTCGAGACACTCCAGTTCAAAATGTACCCATGTAAGAGTGAGCTATTTATAGCCTTGTCCCAAAACTAATTTTTTAACGTTTGTTTATTTTTGAGAAGGAGCACACACACGTGGGGGAGGAGCAGAGAGGGAGGGAGACACAGAATCTGAAGCAGACTCCAGGCTCTGAGCTGTCAGCACAGAGCCCAACACAGGGCTCGAACTCATGAACTGAGAGATCATGCCCTGAGCCGAAGTCAGATACTCAGCCGACTGAGCCACCGAAGGACCCTCTGAACCTGTGTTTAAGAAGTTGTCCGCATAAATTGTCGCCAGCTGATGAGAAGATCCAACTAGACAAGTAGAGCTGTGTGTTGCTGGGGAAATTTCCTGCAGGTAACATGGAAGAAGATGTAAAACTGAACCAGAGAAACAGACTAGAAAGTTATCACATCAAGGGAGTGTCCTTTGAAAGGAGGTTGGACAGCTCGGCTCTGTATTCTGTAATGTCTTTTGATGTTACAGGTATGTCAGTCGGTAACAACAATGGGTTAAATGAAGTCTCAGCAAACACTTTCTTTCAAGGACCAGATAGTAAATAGTTTAGGCTTTTCAGGCCACATCTGTAGAATCTTTTTTTTTTTTTAACAGCTTTGTGAAAAAGGTACAAACTTGTACAAAAACAACCGGCACGGGGGGCCGTGGGGGTGTTTAGGTTTGGCCTGTAGGATGAGACCTGGGGATAGATATTGAGTGCTGGTTAAGAAAACAGTACTTTGGGCACCTGGGTGCCTCGGTCAGTTGGGCATCCGACTTCGGCTCAGGTCATGATCTTGCAGTTCGTGAATTCGAGACCCATGTTGGGCTCTGTGCTGACATGGCTCAGAGCCTAGAGCCTGCTTTGGATTCTGTGTCTCTCTACGCCCCTTCTCCACTGGCACTCTGTCTCTCAAAAATAAAAACATTTCAAAAAACAGTACTTAAGGGACACCTGGGTGGCTAGGTTGGTTAAGCTTCCAACTCTTGGTTTTGGTTCAGGTCACAATCTCATGGCTTGTGGGTTTGAGCACCGCCTTGGGCTCCTGCTGGGATTCTCCCTCTTTTCTCTCTCTCTCTCTCTCTTTCTGTCAAAATAAATGAATAATAACAAAAAAGAAAACAGCATTTAAGACTATCATCCTTACTTGCTGTAAACCATTAAGAAAGTAGGCAAGACCCTCTCCCTCCTGCACACCCAGGCAGTTAAAACTGCCTGGCACACGCAGTTACCAGCTCTCAGCCGCCCGAGCCACCAGCACCTGCTCGGTTTGCCAAACCAGCAACTCAGGGATCCCCCTGATCTTCCCTTTTCGGCCTCCGTCAACATTCATGAACCGCCGCTGTTTACACAGGGCTGTTGTAAACATTGCACTGCCTTGGAATTGTTTTCTTAGGTTTAAACTTTCAGGAGTGGAATTTCTTACTGAGTCAGATGGTAAGAGTGGCTTTACAGCCGACAGGTTCCCGTATGCTTGTCTCACTTGGGGGGTGAGGCGAGGAGGGCAAGTGTCAGTGTGTCCGTAATGGTGAGTTTTGTCATAAAAAAAAACAAACAAAACGAAGTGATGGCCTTACACAAAGTCAGTGCCTCCTGACTGCAGCAAGGCTTTCATGGCTAGCGTTACTATGTTTTGTATGGCCATGCAAGAAAAAGGAATGGAAGCAATAAGCCTTAGATGCCTGGTTCAAATGCGGTGGTTGTGGGAGTAAATCAGACAAGAGGTACACGCCCTGTGTTGGGAGGCAGTTGATGGGCCAGGAGGAACGGGCCTCTGTTTCTGATATGAAGTAGTTCATGATCTGAACATAACAGTCTTGTTCACCCAGTGTATCATAAGAAAATGAGTGGTGTTGTGTGTTTGAGTTGAATCTTTGACTTAAGATTTTTTTTAAGTTTTTTTATTTATTTTGAGACAGAGAGGAAGAGAGAGAGCGAGCATGAGCAGGGGAGGGGCAGAGAGACACAGAATCCCAAGCAGGCTCTCTTCTGTCAGCACAGAGTCCGATGTGGGGCTCGATCTCATGAGTCATGTGATCATGACCTGAG